GGCTGCAATAATTCAGATCTTGCTGCTCTCTTTTAATAGAATTTTAGAAGCCTAAGATAATTTAGGGTTTCACCATTTTTCCACCATAAATTGACAAAAGAGCATGTCCCTCTGCAATGACAGAGTTGCTTGCATTTCACTGGTTTTCTACTTGTTTACGTTGTAACAAAATGTCGGAACATCGAAGGTTTGATTTTTCTTTTTTCTTTATTTCACACATTGTAGGCAGAATTCCCACAACATTGTTATCACAAACATTTATCAGTATTATATGCAGAGCTGTCAAGTGTCCCGCTAATGGCGGGATTATCCCGCGAATTTGATCAAAATTAGGCTAATTCGCGTGTCCCGCAATGTCCCGCGAAGTCCCGCAAATGTGGCTTTGACCTCCGCGAATTTCCGAAATTATTGCAATCCCCTATATTGTGATAATCTTATCTTTTATAAGAAGCTAAGTTTTTGCACTTTTGAGGAGTAAAGTTTATCTAATTTTAAGTACCTAGCGTGCTGTTGTTTGGTATCAAAATAAAGGGGAAAGGTTCAACTTTCATTTTAATTACGAAAATAGGGATGTAGGTCACAAATAGTTCCAACGGTGGCCTTTTTACTACCCGTGTGGCCTTCATCTGAGAACTGAGCAAATATAAGCAAACGCGAGTTACAATAAATGGACGCTGATATCTAGAAAGGGTTTGTAGAAAAACACGGGTACCGGGTAGTAAATCCTCCATGCTGGGTTCAAACTTGGTACCCGGTACCCGGTCAAAAAAACGGCAACCCAAAAAACGAAAAATACGAATATATAACATAATAGATTATGAGAAAACGTGTAAGATTTGTTTTGAATTTACAAAAATGTATATAACATCCTTCAAAATTGAGCTAGAAGCTTCAAATAAAAAGCATATTTTAAGGCTCTTTTCTTCCTCTATCGTCATGGCCATATTTTCATTGGTTATGGGGGGGGGGGGCTGCGATCGCACAATCGCATCCTCTCCTGGCTACGCCTATGACATTGTAAGACATAACAATTAACAATTCAGTGGACATTTTGTCGAAAATTGGGATAACTTAAATTATGATTAATAATCAAAATCTTACACGTTGCATCATTTAAATTAACACACGTCACCTCTCTGCTAAAGCAACGATAGCTATTTACAGGTTTAAATCATAATCAAAACAATTCATGTACCAACATACGAAGTATTGAAAATAGAGTAAGATTGATTTGTCTTGTTTTTCAAATCGTCTTACAATGTCATTGGCGTAACCAGGAGGGGGTGCGATCGCACCCCCCCCCCCCTTCATTACCAATGGAAATTTGACCATGATGATAGAGGAAGAAAAGAGCCTTAAAATGCTTTTTATTTGAAGCTTCTAGCTCAATTTTGAAGGAAGTAACATACATTTTTATAATTCAAAACAAATCTTACACGTTTTCTATGATCTAATTATGTTGCATATTCGTATATTTCGTTTTTTGGGTACCCGTTTTTTTCGACCGGGTACCAAGTTTGAACCCAGCATGGAGGATTTACTACCCAGTACCCGGTTTTTTCTACAAACCCTATCTAGAAAAGTAACCTCATTTCCTATAATTTGATGTAGATTAATCGAACCCCTATATCACGGGCTTTCAATTGAAAGCCCATGCCTACAGTATATGAATAGGTACATTTTAATATATAACATTATGGGGGTAAGCGTTTCATAGTTGGTCACGACGCCAGAAGTGCAAAGTATTGTTCCGAATTTTTGAATTTCGTGTTAGATTACGGTACTCACACCTGAAGCATGGTTTTTGTTTTTGATAAATTACAATGAAGTATAATAATATTCCTATGCGTATTTTGTGAAATTGTGTTGACGTTTATTTAAGTTACAATGTAACGGTGCATTATATTTGATTAATCAGTATCTGGAAGTTTGATTTAAGTACTTTAACACGCTTTTACATTAGTCCCAATCACGCAAATCCCTTGAATGTCCCGGGACATCCTGCAAATTTAGGTGGATGTCCCGCGAAATCCCGCAAATTTAGGGCACTTTGTCTAAAAAATCTGTCCCTCTATGAAGTTTTTGGTGGTACCCCTGTTAACTGTCCCGCAATTAGGGTGTTTGTCCCTCGAATGGTCCCGCGAAATCCCGCGAATTTGATAAAAAAAAGGCCTATTAGCACAATCACGCAAATCCCTTAAATGTCCCGCGAAATCCCGCGAATTTAGTAGATGTCCCGCAAAATCCCGCAAATTTTGGGCACTTGGTCTAAAAAATCTGTCCCGCGAGAAAATCTTTAGGGGTTGACAGTACTGTATATGTTTAAAAAAATGTTCATATTTGCGAACAAATAGTTCAGAAGACAACAGAATCTTCGATTTAATTCCTCAGTTACATAAACGGTATTTCGATAAACAATTAAGATCTGCACTTTTAACCCAAACCGTTTATTTAACTTAAGTAAGGAATTAAATCAACAATTCTGTGAGAAAAAAACATCGTGGGGATTCTGCCTACAACGTGTGAAAAAAAGGAAAAAAGAAATATCGTACTTTCGACGTTTAGACATTTTGTTACCGAAACGACAAGCGTAATCGAGCGGATCACCAGTGCTTTTGGTAATTTAAAAACAACCGCTTGTTTTCTCAAGAACTCACTCTTTTTTATCTGCCTCAATGACAGCTTCTTGTCTATGCCATATATAACCTGAATGCGTTGTCACACCCCAGAAAAGAAACAAGATATTGTCACAGACCACTTTTCCCAAAGACAATCTTATTTCATTTATATTCCAACATTTTGTTTCTTGGGTTGCTGCTTTTGGTTCAGGTTTGAAGAAAATGTTGAAGTTTGTGTTTTGTGCATGATAAATGAGAAGCACAAGGAGATCTGTATGAGTACTGTATTTGAGGTTTGGACACTTTGGATTGCAGTTTTCACAATCACAATATCTGCATCAGATTCTGAATGCAGCACATGTACACTCAATGTTTTCCAACCTGACAGACAGAATTACCATCATTCCTATGCACTGAAATTATATTAATGAAAGACTCCCCAGATATCTGAGATTTTAATGTTCTCTGTCAGTTTAAATTCCGTTTAATAACCATAAATTCGTTTCTACAGCATTATACATCCAATTGATAGTTCCATAGTTATGTACTCTTATGTAATGATTTATTTATCTGATGAATTTAAATATATGCAAATTTTGTAATTGCAGATTGTAATTAATAATTTAAACAATATTAAATTCTACAAAATCTACAACTTACATTATTTAGATAAGCCTAGTATAGAGCAGTTATCAAATACCCTAATATCAGAGTGGTGATATGTAAATTATTCTTCAAATAAAAGTGAGGTCACCTTAACATTTCACCTGGTGCAACTAATAATTCCTATTTTTCATACTAATAAGGTATAAACCTTCACAAAACTTGTATTTTAGATGATGACAAGCCTATATAAATGATTTAGATGTCAACTCTAATACAAATGTGATGCATTGTGGGAGTTAATCATCAAAACTATAGTCTCCCCTATAGTGGGCGGGGCAAAACTATGAAAATGAAATAATTTTTTTCTTCCTAAGTATACACCTTAGAATTCTGACACTCACCAAATATAAAGTTCATATCAATATGTAACACCATGATTTTTTTCATGCTTTTCTGACAAACTGATCCTAAAATATGTAAATAGATATGCGATAACATGCCTGTTTTGTGGCCTATTTTGTTATACTTTGGGGTCAAATGACCAATTACTGGTCTCAAAATTGATTAAAATAATATTTAAATTATTTGTGAATATGTGATCTATCATAATAAAGCTTGAATACTTGACTAAAGTATTCCATTTGGGAAGAAAAAATTGTTTCCTACCAATACTCAATTTTGGGGTAGGGTTGTTGGGGGTACCTAGGAAGTGAAATTTCATATTTGTCCACTGCATACATTTTTCTATATTTTTGATATGTTTTTCAACTGATATTAATACATAATATAAGACTAATTTAAAAACTGTTGCAATTTTTGGGATGTTTGGGCCTTTTATGAGCCCATTTGCTTGGCCTATGATGCATCACACTCCATCTAACTTTTCAACCATATAAATCTGAAACAATAACATTAGTCTGTAAAATTTGAACCAAATAACTACAATTAGATTCATCGGAGATTGTATTTCTTCTGAAAAAGAGGCCATTTTTTAAGATAATTCATTCTTAGTTAAATCTCTTGACTGGGAATTATGGATTTAATCAGAAATAACATCTTGAACAACCCTTATACAAGTATAATACAGTGTGGAACATAAAATCCCTCCCTATATACTTCCCTACCTAGGTTTGTAGAAGGTATGTTAGTGTGATGACATAGAGCTTGATTCAAGACTAAAGATAAACTTTATGCACACGCATTTCAATTTCAATTTTAAGGATAAAAGCTGAAATGTTTTGACAAACAAAAAGGGAGATGTTAAAGTGACCTTAGTGCAGGTTTTTTAACGGCACATCAAATCAAAGGTACAAAATATACTGAAAATGTGCATTTAATTCTGCTTTTACCACAAGGTCCACCCTTAATATCATGAAAACTGGTGAATATTTATATAAGAGGAATAAGCACAAACAGGAATTAGAAGCCTTCCACTTACCGTATTCTCACTGATAAGCGCACAGTGCACTTCCCAAAATAAAATTTAAAAGGGAGATTCTAATAAGAACACATACAAGGCAATCTGAATTAGATTTTGAATATAACCAAAATTGAGTAGCCATTTACAAGAAGTGCTGATTTTAAAAGCAATATTTCCTTCAGGTAAAAACAAAGAGAGTGCATCAATCAATCAACCCATTCCGGCCATATAAGCATTATGTTAAAGGTATAGCCAGTAAATTACTTTTTACATACGGACAAAAGGCTTTGCTATATCCCTTCTCAAATTTTGTTCAGTGGGATAATTAACCGACACAAATTGTTATAACCATAAACATTTTTATCAAAACAGATATAAATTATTTAGGTTAAGAAGTAAAATGGCACTGCTAAAAGGAGTTTCACATCTTTTTCGAACGAGCTCTAAATACTTTGGTGCAAGTGGCTTGCAGAATCGTTGGTATTCTGAAGAGGTTAAAAAAGCACACAAAAAGCAAAATACTGAGATTATGTTCTCAATGGTAAGCAGGATAGTTTTTCTAAAAATTCATATATGAAGTATTTGTAGTTCAGCAATGTTGTATATCAATTAACCTTTTTTATTTTTGTGAATGGATTTTGGATTGAGTGTATTGAATGGACTATTGCAAAACACTTTTCTCATTTTTTTAGAATTGGGAAGATGTTGCACCAATAAGACATGCAATGGGAATCAAAAGTGGAGACAGAATCTTCACAATTGCATCATGTGGTGCCAATGCTATGACCCTTCTCCTGGATGATCCTGCTGAAGTTGTGGCCCTAGATTTATCAATTCCACAGCTACATTTGGCAAAGTTACAAGCAGCTTGCATCAAACATCTGACGTACCAAGAGTTCATTGACTTTGCTGGAGTTGACAGAGAAAATGTAAAAGCTGAGGAGCGTGTCCGCATATATGAAAACATCAGGAAAGCATTAGAATCAGATGTAAGAGAGTTTTGGGACTCAATGACACCTGAAATAGAGTTTGGCATTATACATTGTGGAACATATGACACAATTTTCAGGAATACTGCTGAGGATATGGTCTATGTTGCACTTGATACACGTGACATCAAAACATTCCTGGAAATGGGTGATGATATTGAGGAACAGGCTAACTTCTTTGAAGAAGTGATTAACACCAAACACTGGAGAAAAGCAATGTATAGGCTGACCTACCATACAACAAAGGATATGGACTTCTCCATCATTCCAGATGTGGATTATGCAACATTTTACTACAGGAGAATGGTTGATGTTTATAAGAGCATTCCAATGAAGGAAAACTATTTTGGAGAATACCTTTTCACTGGCGGATACTCTGGGAAAAACAAGCTCAGAGATTACCTTCAAGAAGAGAACTTTGCTGTAATGAAAGATCGTGTTGAACGCTTGCAGTGGGTCCATGGAGAACTCACAGATTGGCTTGCCAAGTACCCTGCAAGCACTCAGCCACTAAAGTTTGATGGCATCTGTATATCTAACATAACAGACTGGCTATCCTTAGCAAACCACAATGCAGCAATTGAATCAGCTGTCAAAATCTGCAATCCAGGTGGACGAATCATGTTTTGGAATTTAAAAGGCATGTCCAAATACTGGCCAAGTGAAATGATTGACAAAGCAATCAAGGTTGAACATGAAATTGAAACTTCGGCAACATTACTAGATCGAGCAGTTGTCTGGGAGCCACTCAGGGTTGCAACAGTTATATAGACATTTTGATAAATTGAACAAAGTAATAAAATTGTATGGCCATCAAGTGACATTTCATTAAGCATACCTTTAGCACCTAAGACTTATAACCAGATGTCAAAACCGAAAAATGAGTCGATAATGCTAATAAATAAGCAAGCTGGATACTTATTAGGTTCAGACCTGAGCACCCACAGCTATTTCTGATGCTACGTTACCATAAAATAAAACAAATGACAAGGTAATCTAGATAACAGAAGTAGGAAAACAATAAACATATCAAGGGCATTAATTTAAGGAGAAAGTACAAAACACACAACTTTTCAAATATATAAGGGCAAAAATGTTTTCTGAGCTATCTCCAGGGTTCAGAACATTTTTTTAATTTTCCTATTGAAGCCAAAAGTTTTTTTAACACCATCATTCAGTGAAATGTGAACTATAACAGATACAGGCCTAAAGCTTTTTCATAAAAGACCCAGGTCTTCATGAACTAAAGAGTTACCCCTGTATCTAAATAGAAACTTATCAAGGCTGACAGTATATCCTTATGAGAGTAGAGCAGTACAATATGTCACATAAAATAACATTTTTATATCTAAGTAAACAACTTGAAAACTAGAAAACAGCAACTCCCAAAAGAAGGAATTCCCAAAAAATAGATGGTATTTGAGTTATCGGAAATTTTTTCATGGTTGATTATAAAACTATTTTAGTTTTGATTTGAGTCCTGGGTCCATTGTATAATCTATTATAAAATACTGTAATAAAAAAACAATATTACACTCTCCAAGTACATGCACACTGATATTCCAATTAAAACCAATACTGAAATTCTAAAAAAAAAGATTTTCCATCCTTTCTTTTTATGGTAAAATATTATTTTGAAAAAATTCAATAATTCCAAAGAAAAGTATACATTTTCACAATAATATGTACATTGACCTTTTTCAACAGAGTGCAATATTATATTTCACCTAAATGTAAACCAGAACAACGGCAACGCCAAAGCGTAGCGAATCCCATCGAACAGAAATGGCTGGCATTTTTACAAACGAATAGCAAACATCATAAAACAACACACCAGAAAGGCCACCATTTTCAAAATGGTTGCTCACTAGCCAAGATGTCATCAGAAGAAATAATATGCTTTTAAGTAGCCACCTCTAAAATCTTTGAAAAATCATACATGTACTTGTAAAATAACACACATAAAAATGGTGGCCATTTTTCACAATGGCCAACTACTCCCCAAAGTTTTATTAGACAATGTGCCATGCTTAAAGTATTCACATATCAAATATGAACAAAATCGCTCCATTACTTTTCGAGTTATAGTAAAATACGTTAAAATGGCGGCCATTTTTCAAAATAGCCACCTTCGACCAAAAGTGTCATTAGAAATAGACAGTGTGCCATGCTTATAGTATTCACATACCAAATATGAACAAAATCGCTCCACGACTTTTCGAGTTATAGTAAAATACGTTAAAATGGCAGCCATTTTTCAAAATTTTTTTCAAAATGGCCGCCTTCTACCAAAAGTGTCATGGGACAGTGTGCCATGCTTATAAATAGTATTCACATACCAAATATGAACAAAATCAGTCCACTACTTTTCGAGTTATAGTAAAATCCGTTAAAATGGCGGCCATTTTTCAAAATTTTTTTCAAAATGGCTGCCTTCTACCAAAGGTGTCATAGGACAGTGTGCCATGCTCATAGTATTCACATACCAATTATGAAAAAATCGCTCCACTACTTTTCGAGTTATAGTAAAATACGTTAAAATGGCGGCCATTTTTCAGTTATAGTAAAATACATTAAAATGGCGGCCATTTTTCAAAATGGCCGCCTTCTAACAAAAGTGTCTTTAGACAGTGTGCAATGCTTATAGTATTCACATACCAAATATGAACAAAATCGCTCCACTATTTTTTGAGTTACAGCAAAAATCGTAAAATGACGAGTAAAGGCCGCCATTTTTCAAGATGGCTGCCATGTGCTTCTTTAATATCTACATTTGTAGCATTATTAATGCCCCTTATAATTTTTTTTACATTTAAAACATATTGCTATTACAGTTTTACATATTGCACCTAAATTACTGTAAAATCGGCCCTAAAATGGCCGCCATTTTGAAATGAGCCGCCATTTTGAAAATCGGCTTTCGAGCAGAACTTCTACCCCCATAGGTTATATGTGTACAAAATATGAACAAAATCGGGCCAACAGTATTTGAGTTATTGCCCGGACGGACGGACGTACGGACGGACGGACGGACGGACGGACGGACGGACGGACGGACGGAGGCGTTCCCTATATCCCTCCAAACTTCGTTCGATGGGATAATTATGACAATATTTCATCATTTTGGGAGAATGCAAATAGATTATGAACTGAGTGGCATGTTATTTTCCCGGACAGGGTGTAGCACTCAGTTGCTATAACGCTGGCAAGATCTGGGCTCAGTATAATCCTGTTTAAAAATTACATGGTTTACACCAAAGTAACAAAGCATGCATTACAGTTTCAATATGCAAAATTATCAAACATGAATCACATCACTTTATTCCATTAGTGTCATGTGAATCTGAAAATAACTTGAAACATGTAGAAGCAAAAAACATCACAAGAGGTTTTCAATACATTGAGTTGACATTAATTGTTCATTTGAATAGCATTAACTACATATATACATGTTTTTCTCCATTTATTAATTTCCCTTGGAGCTAGCGTACAACTGGAAATGTATCCAATCTATTGTTTTCCTAAACTTGAAAATTGGATTTTGGTGAAACTTTGCACTTTTGTTACAATTTATAATGTCAAAGATTTCCAAATGTTTCTTTAGCAAGAGAATAAGGCCTGGTGTTTTCTAACTCGCATTCAGGGTTGCACTATTAAGGGGTCCATTTTTGAAAACATTTTAACATTCAATTTAGTTGCAAGTCGATCAATGTTACTCTTGTTTTCAGGGAATCTTTATGAATGTTCCAAGAACTGAATGCAGTACCACTGAAAAAATTTATAGAATTCATTCTGATTCATTGCTTTATAAAATAATAACAAGGTGTCAACTGAAACATTCAGTTTGTTTTTAGATGCATGAAACACATAAAAAGGCATTTATTGCTTGCTTAAATAATATTTATTCCTTTTTACATGTTCTTATCATTTATTTAAATTACACTTATTTTTGTTATGTCTTTTGGTGATCTGTTCGTTAAATTTTAACAATAATGACATAACAATAGTAATAGTAACAGGATTAAATGGCATATGCATTTCTTGAAGAATCATGAATATATCACAAAGATGTAACATTACAAAAATTAATCTTGAAAATATTGCTAAATTACTGTAGCTGTCTGTAGGACTCTAAATGTGCTAATTCATAACATTAAATACATTCTATTGCTTTCAGACTGCAATCCAAAGTAAACTACACAAGCTATTACAAATACAAGAATGGATGTCTCTCAATATATTTCGAATAGACAGCAAAGAATGCAAATTCAGCATTATAAAGTCTGTCACCTAATTTAGGTTTAATATTTAATTCAAATATGAACTCACAAACATGAATACAACAGTGATACTAATATGCATAAGTAAATGATCTTTTTGTGATTTTCTTGCACAAAGATAGATTAGAATCAATATCATTTTCTCAAGCAGATAAATCCAATTACCATATTCTCTGTAATTAGCGCCCACCCCCTAATAAGCACCCACCCGCTTCACAAAGTTAAAGTACAAATATATCAGAAAAAATCACATTCCCAAAGAAATTCGAGTGGGCGATAATAGAGTACTTATACTAAACTGATGTAAATGTGACACATTTTGCAAGTCGATGCGTCCTCCCAATAAATATCTATCCTTGGCTGCTTCCCACATCATACTCAACTAATATTATCTCAAAATAGTCCATAATGAATGAAAAAAACGTTTGAGTTTTGAGAACTTAGATCAGCATTTTACCAAGATAGTTTCTGCGCGGGATTTCTCTATACCTCAAAAGATTGTTACATTTTTCATTTCTTCTTAATATTTCTTGCCTTTAACAAGACTTCACACGAAAAACGACGATCTATCATCAAATTAAAAAGACAAGGCATTAACATGACAAAATGTCACCACCTAGTTGCTCACAATATTATGAGTTTAATCTTAAGTCAGATTTGAATTTCTGAGAACTTGTAGATGATTTTGAAAAAATGAATCAGTCAATTTGAAGTAAGTTGAAAAAAGACCTTTTTGACCCTGAGAAGGTCATCGGGGGAAAACAATTCCTTCAATTCGAGGGGCTCTGTTGGGGATTTCTTCAATCACTGTCAATATTGTCTATAGTTAGATTCTTGCATGATCTTTGCTTTATTTTAGCGATCTTTACCGTAATCTCGCCAATAACAATACATGTCATTATTGTAAAAATATGCTATTACTTCATTTTGATGTTGCAAATAAGGCATTCTTGGCAGGAAAAATTCCCATGCATGAAAAACCTGGGGATTTTTGACTTCTTTCATATATTGGCGGCGCTTATTAGAATGGTCTGAAAGATGTATTTTCAATTGTCTAAATGCCCCAGGCGCTAATTACAGAGAACACGGTATGGATGTTGATCTTTTATTTATATGGCAACATGCTGCTCTCATATTAAAATGACAGTTTTTGATTATGGTAAGCTCGAATTTTATGAGTTTGAGAACTCACATTTCAAGCACTTAGCTTTTTCAAAGTAGCAATACACAGTAGAAACGAGAAAAAATAAAATGTAATTTTCAACAAAAAATGTTATTTGAGACATTTAGTCGGGGCCTTGGAGGAGATTCAAACATTTTCCAGATACATGTATATCATTATCACTGTACATACATTCTGCAAATGTAAGAAATAACACTAAAACCTACAATGAAAAAGATGAGGAAATGACATTATCAAGAGAAAGTTATGGTAAAATATGGTTAAGTTTTGCCAACTTTCAACATTTTTTGTGAAAATACTTATGGTACAATATGGTATCTTTTTAATCCTTTTCAACCACAGAACAAACAGTCTGATGACCTATCAGTCTCAGCTGAGGCATTCTTGCTCCACATCTTTGTGAGAAAACTGATCATATAACTGTATCCTATTATAAAATTTAATACATATACGAGGGGTGATCCAAAAGTCTTGGACGCCCCGCTCTAACTTTGCTATTTTTTAATATAATTACATGAAACTTTCAGATAATAAAGAGCAACATCTTAACAACTTTATGTATAAGTTTCAACAGAAAATAATATATTTTAGCTACTTTTCTGAATATCTTTTAATACCGGGTCCCTGCCACCCGGAACGGTATTTAAAGATTGCAAATCACGTCACAACTGCTATAATATGACAAATAATTTAGGTGCAGGTGCACAACCTAACACCAGCCATGATATGAGAGAATATGAGAGTGTCATCTGCCATCATCATCTTCACATATTCAGGCCTACTTTTCAACATATTTTCCACGAATTTGAACACATTTTTCATACCGCTTTACAGTGGAGACGATAACCCCATTTAACGTGAAGTACGGCAATTGCCATGTTGCACGACAATTGACGTGAAATTATGAAGCATAAGTGCGCATGTCAATAGATAATAACGGCAATTGCCGTCATGTCAGTCAAGTGACGTGCAATATTTTGCACGGCAATTGACGTGCAAACTATTATCTTGTAAAAGTTTCTCATATTATCGGCAGGACAACAGGCAGTGGGTAAATCATGATCTGCATCGTATGTAATAGTTATAATCATAAACATTTGCTATTGTCCGGGTTGCATTTTGAACTAACAACTAATATGTTGTGCTTACGTCAATGTTTACAAGAAATATTTATTCAACAGCAAACCGGAAGTAAACATATGATGAAAGAAAACTAATAAATTCTGATCTAATGAGGATAGGAATTTTAATTGTTCAAAATTCGTTTAAGGTATAATCATTAGATCATTGTAAAGAAGGTTTAAAAACTAAATCCAGCCAGAAAAAACGAAAAAAAATCAGCAACACACCGAGGTCAGGAAAACACTTCCGGCCAAAAAGAAGAGGGAAAGTAGACCCCATTTTAGTGATTTCCAGTGGTCTTTTCTCGGAATTGGGGCTCACGTTGTGTTAAGAGATTAAAATACCATTGGGTCAGTATCAATTTTGTCGTCAAACCCGTCGGAAAGACGATATCTAGACAATTGAAGGAGTATTAGTAATTCCAATATGGCATTTTTCTAGGATTCGTGAGAGGTAACTTTGATTAGTTCTAGCGCAAAATTCCCACATAGGATCGCGAATTCCTGCATACAAGTGCTAGATTAGATTAAATACTTGAAGAAAATGCAATAAAAAGCGTTCCATCGATCGATTTAGACTTTCCAAGAATGCAAGTTCGGTGGTGACTTCATTGGTTCGTAACATTGACAGAAAATTCACAAGATTGAACGGCATTTTTCTCCACAATTTTGGAATGAAATACTTCCCTGGGATTTAATATATCATAAATGTTTACCAAAGTATACGTACTATAAAAGACATGTTACTTAGATTGTATATATATATTAAACGCTAGGTCTTCTAAATAACCTGGTGTTTAAATTATGATTACAATGGACATTATGCTTATTGGCGTGATTCACGTCAATTGACGTGCAAAATGGCGATCTCCGTGTTACACGTTAAATGGGGTTATCGTCTCCACTGCTTTAGCAATGAATGGAAGACATTTATGAAACCGCCATTGCTTATGTGATACAAATGCTGCTGGAGTGCCACTCTAAACCTCATTCAATGAGTAAAAAACATTTTCTTTCAACCCTCCTTTCCACTTGGAGAAAAGGAAGAAAATCACACGAAGCCATAGATAGACAGTTTCGTGCATATGGTAGCTGCTCAAGGTCAATAACAGTGAAAATATCTTGTAGTATTCTTTGTTCCACTTTGATTTCTTTCGTGTTCTGCATTTCAGCAGCCATCTTGCAGCAAAAATGATGCCAGATTGAGGGTTGCTTGTCTGGTGGCATTTTCTTAGAATTTGACATGTACGGCCATTGTCATATGTGACATCATATATAATTAAAACACAATTAATTGGTTGCCTAGTAACAAAGGAAGTAAACTAAGATGGTTTAACATTCAAAAAGAAAGAAAATATAGTGGTCAAGACTTGCGAAACAAGTGAAATGGTGGTAACATTTAAGGCTCAAAGTTGCTATGTGCGAATACCGTTCCGGGTGGCAGGGTCCCTGTATTAAAAACTATCTAGAAAACTATATAAAATATATAATTTCTCCATGAAATTAGTACACAAAGTAGTTAGGTTGTTGGTCTTTAATACTGGAAAGTTTAAAGTAATTTCATCAAAAACCAACAAAAATAGAGCAGAGCGTCCAAGACTTTTGGATCACCCCTCGTATTTGCTGTTTTAAGCTGTTTATCCGAGAAACCAGTCCAGTTAGGGTATAATAATATTATAAGCTACTAGCTTTTTATAAATGCTTCAAACAGTTCATTGTATTCATAATGTTCTGGCCATATTTTAGAGCTACATTTCCAAAGTGACTAAATCACATTTCTGACCACATTCAGCCCATTACTATTGACCAGTTTGGTGTATTAACTCAAGGCTCACCGACACATTACCTTATATAGTCACAGCTCAAAGTCACTACCTTATATAGTCACACCACATCAAACTGAATCAATTTTGTCAGTTTGTCATATTAATTGCACAGTGTGGCATATTATTCCCGTCACAACAGACCAGCCTGTCATCTTTACTATCAGGTAAATCAATAATACCAGTCTATCATATTGATTGACCAGTCTACCATATTACCGAAATCGTAACAGTCCATTCTGTCATCTTAATTAACTATCAAGTCAATTATAAAACCAGTATGTCATATTAACTTACCAATGTCACCATATTTATGACCTCAGTCATAACTTGCATGTCACCTTAACCATGTCACCTTAACCAGTCAATTTATAACTTACCAATGCTCCCAATATGAACCAACCACTTGGTAAAATAAGCCATTCAGTACGTCACATTAACTGATCCATCTTATCATACTAGTACCCAACCAGTGTGTTAAACAAGTCACCCATTTAGTCATATTCTGAACTTTAAAACTAAATATGACTGAACTGACGTGTCTGATCAATCCGATACATTCATCTTGGGGGAAGCACCATAGTTGTAAAATCACATCACTCTGATCCTGTCTATCAACTTTGAGCTCTTTATCCAAGTAATACAGTTCAAATTCCAAATCATGCTTCATTGTCATGTACAAAAAGCATCTCAGATTTGCCAAGTCCAGCTTCAATAAATGTGGGTGCTTCACTAGAGTTACACAGTAATGTTTTCCGTGGAAAGTTAGTCATTATTTGAAAGTCATCTGGAGCGTCATCGTGACAGAGGACATAGTTGTATAAGCACTGAAATGACAGGGAATACTATGTTGTAATTAATGAAACTACAGGGATCACTGTGTTGTAAGCACTGAAACTACAAGGAACATTATGTTGTAATTAATGAAACTACAGGGATCACTGTGTTGTAAGCACTGAAACTACAGAGAACACTATGTTGTAAGCACTGAAACTACAGGGAACACTATGTTGTAAGCACTGAAACTACAGGGAACACTATGTTGTAAGCACTGAAACTACAGGGAACACTATGTTGTAAGCACTGGAACTACAGGAAAAACTATGTTGTAAGCACTGAAACCACAAAGAAAACTATGTTGTAAGCACTGAAACTACAAGGAACACTATGTTATAAGCACTGAAATAACAGGGAACACTATGTTGTAAGCACTGAAACTACAAGGAACACTATGTTATAAGCACTGAAATTACAGGGAACACTATGTTGTAAGCACTGAAACTACAAGGAACACTATGTTATAAGCACTGAAATTACAGGGAACACTATGTTATAAGCACTGAAACTACAAGGAACACTATGTTATAAGCACACTGAAACTACAAGGAACACTATGTTGTAACACTGAAACTGCAAGGGAACACTATGTTATAAGCACTGAAATAACAGGGAACACTATGTTGTAAGCACTGAAACTACAAGGAACACTATGTTATAAGCACTGAAACTACAAGGACACTATGTTATAAGCACACTGAAACTACAAGGAACACTATGTTGTAAGCACTGAAACTACAAGGAACACTATGTTATAAGCACACTGAAACTACAAGGAACACTATGTTATAAGCACTGAAAGTACAAGGAACACTTTGTTATAAGCACTGAAATTACAGGAAACACTATGTTGTAAGCACTGAAACTACAAGGAACACTATGCTGTAAGCATTGAAACTACAAGGAACACTATGTTGTAAGCACTGAAACTACAAGGAACACTATGTTATAAGCACTGAAACTACAAGGAACACTATGTTATAAGCACTGAAATTACAGGGAACACTATGTTGTAAGCACTGAAACTACAAGGAACACTATGTTGTAAGCACTGAAACTACAAGGAACACTATGTTATAAGCACTGAAATTACAGGGAACACTATGTTGTAAGCACTGAAACTACAAGGAACACTATGTTATAAGCACTGAAATTACAGGGAACACTATGTTGTAAGCACTGAAACTACAAGGAACACTATGTTATAAGCACTGAAACTACAAGGAACACTATGTTGTAAGCACTGAAACTACAAGGAACACTATGTTATAAGCACTGAAATTACAGGGAACACTATGTTGTAAGCACTGAAACTACAAGGAACACTATGTTTTAAGCACTGAAATAACAGGGAACACTATGTTGTAAGCACTGAAACTACAAGGAACACTATGTTATAAGCACTGAAACTACAAGGAACACTATGTTATAAGCACACTGAAACTACAAGGAACACTATGTTGTAAGCACTGAAACTACAGGGAACACTATGTTGTAAGCACTGAAATAACAGGGAACACTATGTTATAAGCACTGAAACTACAAGGAACACTATGTTATAAGCACACTGAAACTACAAGGAACACTATGCTGTAAGCACTGAAACTACAAGGAACACTATGTTATAAGCACACTGAAACTACAAGGAACACTATGCTGTAAGCACTGAAACTGCAAGGGAACACTATGTTGTAAGCACTGAAATAACAGGGAACACTATGTTGTAAGCACTGAAACTACAGGGAACACTATGTTGTAAGCACTGAAACTACAGGGAACACTATGTTGTAAGCACTGAAATAACAGGGAACACTATGTTATAAGCACTGAAACTACAAGGAACACTATGTTATAAGCACACTGAAACTACAAGGAACACTATGTTATAAGCACTGAAACTGCAAGGGACACTATGTTGTAAGCACTGAAACTGCAAGGGAACACTATGTTGTAAGCACTGAAACAGAACACTATGTTGTAAACACTGAAACTACAGGGAACACTATGTTGTAAGCACTGAAATAACAGGGAACACTATGTTGTAAGCACTGAAACTACAGGGAACACTATGTTGTAAGCACTGAAACTACAGGGAACACTATGTTATAAGCACACTGAAACTACAAGGACACTATGTTATAAGCACACTGAAACTACAAGGAACACTATGTTGTAAGCACTGAAATAACAGGGAACACTATGTTGTGATCACTGAAACTACAAGGAACACTATGTTGTGATCACTTAAACTACAAGGAACACTATGTTGTAAGCACTGAAACTAAAGGGAACACTATGTTGTAAGCACTGAAACTACAGGGAACACTATGTTGTAAGCACTGAAATAACAGGGAACACTATGTTGTAAGCACTGAAACTACAGGGAACACTATGTTGTAAGCACTGAAACTACATGGAACACTATGTTGTATGCACTGAAACTACATAAACTACGGGGAACATTATGTTGTTAGAACTGAATTTACAGAAATCTTTATTTTGGAAGCACTGATAATACATAACGCTATGTTGAAGCATTTTTGTTGAGTTAGTAGAAACACATTCATGTTGTAATTAGGCGTTTAATCATAGGGAATGCTAAAAGCTGTCAAAACCTTAATCATAGGGAGCTCTACATTATTATAACGTATACTAGTACAAGAAATATTGATTGCAAGATGACTGCAATAAAGTCAAATAAACAAATAACATGTCTATATTTCTAACAATAACAATCAACCAGTGCAGTACTCATCTGAGAGCAGGCCATCTATAAGTCACCCAAATAATCATCTCTACATGTATATACAGGGTGGTCAAAAAAATGGAAACCCTGCATTTTCCTTATATCTTTGTCACTTTAAGGATTTACTCCCTGATATTTCACACATTTGTACATCATTCAATTTCCTACCACCCTACCACATTTCATGACCATCAGACTGATAGTCACAATTTTACAGCACTTTGAATAACATGCTTCAGATTTGACCATTATCGCGCTGTAGGCAAAACAGCACAGTTGTCAATGAGCCAAATGCATTCCTCAGCAGGTATGGCCTGAATGACACGAATGGTCTCACTTTTAAGGTCTGCTATTGCCCTGAGGTCATTCTCATACACACTATCTTTGTCGTTTACCCACAAGTAGGGACATTTTAGACGATGAGTACAGGTTTCCCCACAACGCAATAGTGGCCACTGGGCATGTTCTTTAAAGTACTGTAACATTGTGACTATCAATCTGATGGTCATGAAATAAGTAGGCCGGTAGCAAATTGAATGATGTACAAAAGTGTAAAATATCAGGGAGTTATTTTTTAAAATAACAAAGATACGAGGAAAATGGTAATAGGGTTTCCATTTTTTGACCACCCTGTAACTGCCAAGTGACTTACCTGCAAGGAATGATTTCTATTGAATCGTCTTTCAACACGTGACCCTGATGGCAGCTTCAGCAGTATCCTGATAGCATCGGGATCATCTGCAGCCGGCTCTTCTGGAATACTGCAACGTAACTCTGCTTTTTTCGCCTCAATTTCCTGTAAGTTAAACCCAGAATTAAAAAATACATAATAATGACATGCAATACAATGCTATATATCTACCAAAAATCTGGATAACCCCTAATTGAAAAGAAAATTCTAGAATGACAAGGTAAATTCGAAATTTTTCAACTGGACACAAACCACGAGCCTTACACACATGTACTGCTAGGTCTGGCCTATTTAAATCTAATAAACCAGCATCATCTATATAAACAGAGATAATAGAACTCTGCGCTATAAAAATGCAAAATTCTGCAAGCCAAAATGTGAAATTCTGCAAAAATTCTGCATTTTATCAAAACATTTTTTTCAAAATAGTGTGAAATTCAAAATAAAGCTACCATATTTTTCTAATGTGTACATGTATTTGAACAACAGATATATTTAGTAACAATATAGAGATGAAATATTGGCCAGGAGCAATAGAAAACGCATAGGCTAAGATCGATAGAAATAATTTTAAGTAAAGATGACATGGTAATTGATCTGTGTTTATTTATTTTGTGACTCACACTAGGTGTTCCTTACAAAGCAACCTCAATAAATCGCTACAAAAGAGAGCAACAAATGATTCAAACGATCTACAAGGACCTAAAACAAGGCTAGGTAAGCTTTCAGTTCAAATTTTGTTCTCAAAGCATGAATTCCGCGAAAATCAACAGAAATTCTATATTCTGCAAATCGCAAAATTCTACATTTTTTTCTGCTGCACCGCGGAAAAACAGAATTCTAGTATAGTATCTCTGTATAAAGTACAAGTTTAGATTTGATAAATAAAGCACTTACTTTTCAGCAAGCTATTTATCAAAGCGTGATTACATTCAAAACGTTGTAGTTCAGCACAAGAATGACTACAATTTAAACCACAATGGAAAATCATTATGTTTTAACATTATCACATGATTTAATATATCCGTTATCAAACCTGTAATCTTTGCTCTGCTTCCTCTTGCTTTAGTTTCTCCTCTTCCTCTGCCTTCTCCACCATTTCTTGCTCTTCCTTCTTCTTACGAGCCTTAATAAACCAATAGAATATTAATACATTTACATCACATGGAGCACACTGTAAAATCATACAGCATTAACATGCAAAATGTCACCACCTGCAATTTGTCACAAACGCCAAAATGCAAGAAGCTGGCGAAGCTGTCACAAAATGTAAGCTATAACAATATGTCAGCACTTGTGGTGGTGACATACAAAACAAAGTTTAATATCTTCCTAAAATTGTGACATTTAGGTATAATGGTAACTTATGACTACATTTAATATGAGCTACCTTTTCTTGGTCTGCCTTTAGAGATTCTAGATAAGCTACGTCCTGCTCCTGCCTTAGGCTCTGGTTGAAACTTCTCTCATCCCTAACAAATGAAATATATTATCTCATTTAACATAATACATGTTTCTTTACATACACTTTTAACACAAATTGTGTATTATATTTCTTTATTTTTCAATGCCTTAAAAGTTATTTAAAAAAAAATTGAAGCCGTTAAAACTTGGGGCCTTTTAGCTCCTAATCTTAAATTAAGACTCACCTATCGGCTCTAACTGCAACAAGGTAGCCTTCGTTATCATTCATGCATCTTGTCACCCTGGTTACTAACTGGGCTGCATCTATTGGACCTTCTAATCTTGCGACAACTGTCATTCTATTCTCACGTAACACTATTAGGGCCAGGAAGGGGTATGTGTTTTCTCGAAGTGCTTGAGATACTGAAACAGACACATTGATATGTTTGTTGTTCTTCATTGTGGTAAGTTTACATTAATCAACCCAGCCCATATGGGTATTAGGGTTTCCACGGTTCGCTATTTTCCCCACACATGTATATCAACCAATCATTAAACATGTATTGGGGAAAATTGGTAGAATAAACTAGAAAAACAGCAACTCAAAGGAGAAGCAAATCCAACCAAACAATTCTTATTATTGAATTTGGAGGCCATGAACATTTCTTCTTGATCAGAGATTGTTAACCTATAAAGCATTTTTATATAAATTATAACCAAAGCTGAAAAGACTAACAGACAGACAAATAAATGGATGGCTTTTCTATATCCCTATACAAACTTTGTTAACATGTTCACATTTCTAATCAAACAGCAACAAATTACACACCAACTGCAACAGACTAGCCATATTTTTGGGTAGGGACAACAAGGAGTCCAACTATGAATATAAGTGAACAATAAGTGATAACAATGTCACTTAGTATGAGTTTCATAATTGAGTGAGAAAATTCTTTTCAGGAACCCATACCATCAACATTGCACTTGGTTACAACACGACTGTACAACAAGCACCTGTATGTAATGCTAATGTACCACAAGCCCAAGCTGCTGGTGGCCCATATCTCCAATATGCAGAAAAACCAAAACTTTGAATAATCAAGGAACTTAATCATTGGACACAAACAAAAAATGGAATCACTGATTTAAAAACATAAATTGTCGAAAAATAATTGTGGTCAATTAAATGATGGGAATATATACCAGGATACAGATATCGAAAATGACATTCATGAAAGAAAAACATGAATTAATCTTACTTTTGTTTAAGGCTAAATATATGAGTGTTTAGATGATGTTGATATCCCAAAAACAAATGTCAGTAGGCTACATGTGATTGCTCAAAGTCCACACATAAGTGCTCTGAATGAAATGTTCAGGTATTTATGAATTGTGAACACAAACGCTTTGTAAATACCATAAAGAATATATCGTCAAAAGGCGAATAATATAAAAAATCACAATAATAAAAGTTAATTTATCATTAACCAAAGCTCACACTACACTTGATTCTACAAAGAAATTTGACTTCCTGTTTCTACCGCACCTGAGCCTTGTTGCTTAAATACTGTATAACACGTTGATTGGGGGGGGGCAATTTTTGTGGATTTAGATATTTGTTTCTTTTCATGTATTTTTAAATCTTTTTTTCACAATGTAATGAACAATTTTAAATTCGCAGACTTACCAATTTCACACACATGCGAATATACGCGTACATGAATTAAATGTGTTTTACAGTAGCTTATTTGCATGACAACCATCCTAAACTTAAACCAATTGACAACATATTCACATAAATAAGAGATGTCAATATATCATTACTTCAATGTTAACAACAGTAGGTGATTCAAAGGGATCTAACCAGGAGAATAACAGGACGGTAAGCAAATTCTTTTCAGTAGCATTGATTTTTCTTTCATTCATTACTTTTTGACTTGTCTTTTTCTTATTCCCGTTTTATTTAATACATATATATTGTAGAAGTATCAGAATATTTAATAACATAAACAGCTTATTTTGAAAAATAATTTTTAGCACATCAGGTAAAATCAATTCCTGGTTCAGTCAATTTCATTCTGAAAAATATTTGGCTGAGTGTTCCACGACTCATTCTTAAAATGGGGAGTACTTGAATGTCTCTTTGTAACAGCACACATAAATTGAGTGTGCATGTGAAAGATGATCAATTGTAATCACAAGTTAGTGTATTGTCATAGCTGATGACATTGTTCAGCGTAGTTACTAAAGTGCCCATTGTTGCAACGAATCAAGAGAATTATTATATCTTAGGGAGTAAACATGCAGAACGAGGTTCAACAAAACGTGGTTGGCTATCAGCCTGACCAGCAAGTTATTTACACCATTCAAGCCCCACGCCCCAGTGGTAGAGTTGAACAATTCAATGGAAAAGCAGCAACCATAATAGGATCCATCATGATTGGGTTAGGGATCCTATCTATTATTCTAGGGGGTGTAGCTATTGTATTAAAGGTAGCATCATATTCCGTTGGTACAGGAATCTGGTGCGAACTTTGTGTAAGTACATAGTATATATTTTCAGTGCTACTAAATATATCTGACTGTCTTTTCCAATGATAGTTAAGTTTCCCTACACGAGAGCTTCATCTACAAATGCACAAGGCTGACACTCATATCAAACATCTGTTTGTCCATCCATTCGTTAGTGTGTCCAGGCAAAAACTCAAATACTGGTTGACAGATTTGGTTCAAATTTTATAGGCTTATGCTTTATGAGTGTAGGACCTCTGCTAGAAGAAATGTGGTCACTCGACCAGTATACGGATTTGGTTTATTTTCTGATATATTTGTCAACCACAAATGGCGTGAGTGGGATTTTATTCATATTGGAATTTGGTAAAATGTAATCACGCCCGGTGATCGTGAATATGGGACGGAGGGGGGAGCAGGCAATTTCTGCTAGGAAATTCAACAAATCTGGAAGATTTATTTTTTCAAGAAAAAGTTTACTATTGAATTGATCAATGGATAGGCGCACGGTATGGTAGAATATGTTAGGTTTTCTGGGATTTTTTCTGAAACGATACGCATCTAAGGTATGAGATCTATTAAAAAAGCGCAAGGACATCAACAGGCACAAATCAATGTTTTTGCTATAAATCAAGCAACAATGGTCTGGACGACCTGTAATAAATACTTGTAAGTGATGTTATCATAACTAAATTAATGTCATTGCTGAATTTATAAAACAAGTTTCCATATGTGAAATAAAAAATAATCGAAAATAATGAATTTGGGACGGAGGGGGGGAGGGGATGGAGGGGGGGGGAGCAATATGTATATAAGACATGATTAGAGCTGTTTCGCGACTTTAAGTTCTTTTACTCCAAATATCCCCATTTTTCAGTCTCCAGGGGTATATCATCCAGTTTCTTACTAAGTTAATGAGTTCATTTTTCAAATACAAGAATTCGTGTGAAGTTGTTTCACTTTATAGAATTATTACTCCCCCCCCTCCATCCCCTCCCCCCTCCGTCCCATTTTAATTATTTTCGATTATTTTTTATTTTACGTATGGAAACTTATTTTATAAATTCAGCAATGACATTAATTTAGTTATGATGACATCACTTACAAGTATTTATTACAGGTCGTGTAGTCCATTGTTGCTTGATTTATAGCAAAAACTTTGACTTTTGCACGTTGGTTGCGTTGCGCCTTTTTTAATAGATCTTATATCTTAAGGATGCAGTACCAGGTCAGCGTAGAAAAAGTTCCAGACATTAGATTTTGCTCATATTTTTTACATTGTATCACTATGATGTTATCATCATCCAAGTGCAATATGAAGAGGATTGACCGTCTGGTAATTACAAAATAAAAAAATTATTTTACCCACCCAAAATGAATCTTTTTACTTTTTTGAGTTAATAGAGCTGGCACCTTTCGAACCCTAGTTTTCGTATCCACTAATTGCGACTCAAGATCAAGTTTTCCCATAAAAGTGAAAGGGATAAAATATGCTTGATAAAATGTTTGCAATTTAATTCTTTTCTGGAAACACCATTATCGAAATAAACTATAATTTTTGAATAAGACTAAATGCGAAAATGACGTTCTTGGGAGCCAGCTTTCTCAAACCGGAAGTCAAACCTGCGCAAACAGACGTGAAAACCGACCCGGTACTGCATCCTTAAAAGAGTATCGGTTGAAAAATAATCCTAGAATACCTAACATATTTTATCATACCGTGCGCTTATTCAATTTGCAATTCAATCGTAAACTCTGTCTTGAAAAAATAATTTTACCAGATTTGTTGAATTTTCTAGCGGAAATTGCCTGCTCCCCCCCTCCGTCCCATTTTCACGATCACCGGGCGTGGTAATATTAATGTAATAATAACTAGATTTGTGAAATTGAACAAGTTCAATTTAAGACTCCAGATTTATTTTACCTAGATAGATCAGTAAAGAGCTGAGTAAGTAACTGAGTAATTAGCTGAGTAAGTACCTTAGTAGTAGTTGAGTAAGTAGCTGAGTAAGTAACTGAGTAAAAAGCTGAGTAGGTAGCTGAGTAAGTAGCTGAGTAAGTACCTGAGTTAGTAGCTGAGTAAGTTGCTAAGTAAGTAATAACTAATTAAGTAATTGAGTAAGTAGTCAAATAAGTAGCTGAGTAGGTAGAGAGGTAAAGTAGGGTATGCAGGAATTTTTGAAAATATATTTGATCAATCTGCATCGTGAATACTGGCAAGTGCGAATTTCAAACTTCAAAATGGCGTAGAATCTAAACCGGGGGTCGGATTGCAATTTTTGCTACAAGTATACAAAATTTCGGAGAATATCATTGAAGTGTAGTATCAGAATCGCAAAATAAGAAAAAACTATGAATTTGACCTAGATTTTTTAAACTAGGTATTTTGGTGTCCAAACTTTGAAGTAAAGTAGGTTTTGAGGTCCCATTCTTCTATGGGCTTTCATTATGTTTAGCTGTACTCATTCTATATCTCGTATTTTTACACTTCAAAAAATTATTCGGTCCCATTGATTTAACATGGGGCACCAAATTTAGCGATTTTTGAGATCTCAAAACACCATAACTTCAGAACAAGTAGTCGGATCGAAATTTGGTTTGCAGATCTAGATTTCTGAGAAAATTCTACCCTTAATTCATAACTCATACGTTAAATTTGGAAAACTTTTTACTTTGGCCTACTTTTTGGACACCATATCTCAAAAGTGGGTCAAAATACTTTCTGACGGCAAAACGCTAACACTATAAGCATACTCTTTGCTACCTGTATACAAAATTTTAAATCAAATCATTTAAATATAATGTCAGAATCGCAAAAATAAGGGAAAACTATAAATTTGACCTAGATTTTGACCTAGGCATTTTGGTGTCCACATTTTGGAGCTAAGTAGCCTTCGAGGTCCCCTTCTTTAATAGGCTTTCATTAAATTAAGCTGTACTCAGTCTATATCTTGTATTTTACACTTCAGAAAAATCTTTTTTCCCATTGCCATAACATGGGGCACCAAATTTAGCGATTTTTGAGCTATCAAAACGACATAAATTCCAAACCAAAAGCCGGATTGAAATTTGGTTTGCAGATTTGGATTCCTGAGAAAATTCTACCCTTAATTCATAACTCATACGTTAAATTTGGAGAACTTTTTAGTTTGACCTACTTTTCGGACACCATATCTCAAAAGTGGGTCAAAATACTTCCTGACGGCAAAAGGCTAACACTATAAGCACACTCTTGGCTACATGTACACAAATTTTCGAAGAATATAATTAATCTGTAGTGTCAGAATCGCAAAAATAAGGAAAAACTTTGAATTTGACCTAGATTTTGACCTAGGCATTTTGGTGTCCAAATTTTTATGAAAAGAAGGTCTTGTGGTCCCTTTCTTTTATGGGCTTCCATTATGTTTAGCTGTGCTTAGTCTATATCTCGTATTTTACACTTCAAAAAAATATTTTTTCCCATTGAATTAACATGGGGCACCAAATTTAGCGATTTTTGAATTTTCAAAACGCCATAACTTCTGAACCGGAAGTCAGATCGAAATTTGGTTTTCAGATTCGGAATCCTGAGAAAATTTCCCATAAGACTGATATCCTGGACATTGGATTCGGTGAAATTTTTTTTGGACCTCGTTTTCGGACACTGATATCTCGAAATCGGTTTGAGATACCAAAAAACTAAATCGACCCTAGGTTTTCTCCTTTTTTATGAGGAACACAATGAAAAAAACCAGGATCAAAAATATTGAAGGACGACCGAGATAATGGGAAAAAGTGACAAAGTACTGGATTTGACCTAGTTCTTGACCTTTGACCTAGATAAAAATTTGACCTAATTTCCCATCATCCCAGATACATTCCCTAGTTGATCATGTAAGCAGCTTAAAGTTAGCTCTTCTAGTTGGTGAGAAATCTTGTAAGGAGGAAGAGGAAGAAAGAATAATAACTAGACTTTGGAAATTGAACAAGTTCAATTTCAGACTCCAGATTAAGACCTTTTTTAGCCGAGTCATCCAGAATAAGCCGAGTCATCCAGAATAAGCTGAGTCATCCAAAAAAAGATGGATGAATAAAATAGGAAGGTAGGATAGGATAGAATAGGAAGGAACGATAGGATAGAATAAGAAAGAAGGATAGGATAGAATAAGAAGAAAGGATATGATAGGATAGGATAGGAAGGAAAAGATACGAAGGAAGGATAGATAGGAAGGATAGGATAGGATCAGATAGGAAGGATGGATGAATTTTTCAATATTTTCTTCTCTACTCTTGACTTTCTATCAGGATACCATCAGATCGATTTCAAAACGCCATAACTTCCAAACCGGCAGTCAGATCCAAATTTAGTTCGCAGATTCGGATTCCTGACAAAATTCTTCCCCTAATTCATAACTCATACGTTAAATTTGGAAACTTTTTATTTTGACCTACTTTTTGGACACGCCATAACTTCCGAACCGGAAGTTGGATCGAAATTTGGTTTGCAGATTCGGATTCCTGACAAAATTTTACACCTAATTCATAACTCATACGTTAAATTTGGAGATTTTTTTATTTTGACCTACTTTTCGGACACCATATCTCAAAAGTGGGTCAAAATACTTTCTGACGGCAAAAGGCTAACACTATTAGCACACTCTTGGCTACAAGTATACACAATTTCGAAGAATATAAGTGAAGTGTAGTGTCAGAAACGCAAAAATAAGGAAAACCTTTGAATTTGACCTAGATTTTGACCTAGGCATTTTGGTGTCCAAATTTTGAAACTAACTGGCTTTTGAGGTCCCCTTCTTTTGAAGGCTTTCATTAAATTAAGCTGCACTCAGTCTATATTTCGTATTTCTCACTTCAAAAAATCTTTTTTTCCCATTGACTTAACATGGGCACCAAATTTAGCGATTTTTGAGCTTTTAAAACGCCATAACTTCCGAACCGGAAGTCGGATCGAAATTTAGTTTGCAGATTCGGATTCATGGAAAAATTCTACCCCTAATTGATAACTCATACCTTGAATTTGGAGAACTTTTTATTTTGACATACTTTCTGGACGCCATATTTCAAAATCGGTAAGAGTAATCAAAAAACGGATGACACATATATGAAAGGGCTGTTTCTAAGCTACATGATGAAAAAAAGATGAAGACGTTTCGATAAATAACGACGAAGATAATAGACAGAAGGTTGAAAATGTCAGATTTGACCCAGTTCTAGGATAGGATAGGATATAGAATAGGAAAGAAGGATAGGATAGGAATGAAAGGATAGGAAGGAAGGATAGATAGGAAGGATATGATCAGACAGGATAGGAAGGAAGGATGGATGATTTTTTCTATATTTTCTTCGCTACTCTTGACTTTCTATAAGGATATCATCAGATCGATTTTACTCGAAATTTCAAAACGCCATAACTTTCGAACCGGAAGTCGGATCGAAATTTGGTTTGCAGATTCGGATTCCTGAGTAAATTCTACCCTTAATTCATAACTCAGATGTTAAATTTGGAGAACTCGTTATTTTGACCTACTTTCTGGACGCCATATTTCAAAATCGGTAAGCGTAATCAAAAATCTAATGTCATATCTTTGCTTTGACTTTTTCTAAGCTACATGATGAAAAAAAGATTTAGGAGTTAGGATAAACAACGACGAAGATAAATGACAGAATGTTGAAAATGTAAGATTTGACCTAGTTCTTGACCTTTGACCTAGATAAAAATTTGACCCAATTTCCGAGGAACTAGATACTGGACATAAATTGACAGAATAATGATCTTTATTGCCAACCTTATGGTTATCGAGAAAACTGGGAAAGAATAATAAAGAATAAGAAGAAGAAGAATACTGACGAAAACAATAGACTCCAGATTTACATCTGGAGTCTAATAAGAAAACTGGCAAAAGCAATAGACTCCAGATTTTCATCTGGAGTCTAATAAAAAGCATCATGATAACTTAACACCTTCCTCAAAGAAGATACATAATGAGGTAGGTAAAACAATTTGACCAATCAACTAAAAAACCTTTCAAATATTAAATTTTACCAATCTTCAATATGAATAAAGGCCCATTCACGCCATTTGTGGTTGACAAATATATCAAATTAATGATCTAAAGAATTTACCAAACCCCCATAGATATGCATGTACCATGATCTTTATGTTACGTTAAACGCCAGTGTTGTGTATATTCAATCAAAATTCAGATTGCAATTTAAAGTAGAGAAATTAGTTCTGTCAAAGAATGAACTGACGCATATTGAAAGAATATCTGAATATATAAACTGCATTCTGATACTCATAGCATCTTTCTGTTTCACCCCAGGGCTGAGAAGAAATGAGATGTCATGATTTATCATGATGTATAAACTGTGAGAAAATGAAATTTAATATAAAAGTCATAGAGAGAATGTACATGATCTGGAACAGATTGAAATTCAGATGCTGACAATTTGATTCTTGCAAAAAGTTTCCTTGAAAAGGTGTTCTTTTAAGTGATTTCGTATCTTTTAAGTGATACAATTAAACATTGATTACAATTTAACATTGCTCTCAATGGGAAATTATTTTTTATTTTTTAAAACAAGCCTTCACAGACACAATTTTAGGACGAAAAATCCAAAATGGCCGCCTTAACATTTACCAAGAATGTCGAAAAACTAATCAGTTCTAAACTTTCATAGGTAGAAACATCCCTGAGAATTTCAAATGAATCCCTCAAACGGTTTGGCTGGAAACCTGTAGACAAGATTATTCGGGACGCCCGCCCGCCCGGCAAACTGATTACAATATAGCACCTTAGGGTGCGATAATAAGAAATAATGGTTCGTTTATCAACACTCTATCAACTCTTTAAATGATATGAAACAATAAGAAATGTGTTTGGAGTTATAGATAGTATATCATATACTAACACGTAATCTAACATTATATAACAAAAGTAATCAAAGAAACAAAACTTCCAAAACCTCCAAAAAGAGATATATTTGTACTGGCACCTCTCACTATTAAACAGATTTAATCTATAAACAGACACATGTGCACATCTTCTATTGAAGTATATGATGGCTGGGTTATAAACACTCATCAACTTTTTAGATAATATGAAGCAACAATAAATGTGTAAATCTTTCCTAGTCCTGAATGATCCCATAAATTCATCATATCAATGTTCACCTTTATAAGTAAATAGAAAAATCTATATTTTGCAGTTCTTTATAGTGACTGGATCATTTGGCATTGCTGCAGGCAGATTTAAATCAAAATGTTTGGTAAGTAACCCTCAATAACATCAATATTTTCATTCTTCATTATAAACTGATTTCATTCTTCATTTAAACTGATTTCATTCTTAATGTTAACTGATTGTTCCGAGGGATATCCAAAAAAATGAGATTTGATATGTGGTATTTTAACACTTTAGATTTGATATTTGAACACCTTTTATTTTTCAGATCATCACATTTATGGTATTGTCAATTGTGACATCATGTGCCTGTCTCACTCTGTTGGGCCTCTCTGCAGTTGGACTGGCAAATGATGAGCTATTCCATTACGCTTGCAAAAAAAACTATTCTTGCTATTATGATAATCTGGTAGGCCTAATTTAATCCTCTATTGACAATTTGACCTGCACCATTTAAAGAAATGACACTCAATGTTCCTGATTTTACCAGAGCATTCTGCATAAAGATGATACAAATTATGCATATTGTGATGTTGCTTATTTCGCATCATAGTGTTTGACTAACACTGTGACATCATGTGGTTGGACATGGATGAAGCGTTGTGCAAACTGTTGAAACAGAAAAATTCTATACCCAATATGTTAATCAGCTTTTTTATTGTGAAAGAACTTAGATTACATTATGTACAGGATGAAATGATATTTGCAGAGTTTTACTTGAGTTTTGGATATGTTTAGCAAATTGATCGAGTTGATTTTGAATTTGAGTTACATCTCTAGATGTCAAGCAAAATGAAGATTGTGGCCATGTTTGAATAGATTTCACTTGAGTGATCTATTTGACCAGTGATGTTTTAAATTCAGGATGCAAGGGTTGCTACAAATGCATTACTGGTGGTGACATCTATCATCCAGGCAGCACTATGTATCACATCCTCTGCCTATTGCTGTATGGCTGTCTGTTGTTGCAACAATGTAAGTGAATGATATGCTTTCACTTAGAATAATAAGAAACAATATAGCCCTTTTCAGGTAATCTGCTTGTTAAATCACACTATTAATTATAATCCTATAATATGATAAAAAAAGATATCAAGAGATGCAACCCTAATGTATGTATGTATGTATAATTTATTTACCTCTTAAATAAAAGAGAGTTACATTCATAGGCATAACATATAATGGACTTTAAGTAAGATAATTAAAACATATTAAAAATTATGTGTTATATGATAAAGGATAATTAATCTTTACCCAAGAGTAATTGTCTATGCCTGTGCAACTCGTACACGTGCATCGCTATAAGTAGCAAGGTCTCCTTATCATCATTGTATACAATTCCTAAAATCACTTTAAGAGTAAAATCATCGTTCATTACATTTAGATTTCCCCTTGCTATATTGAGTAAGGGTTTTCTGACATTCGTAAAAGCTGGACAGGTAATCAGGAAATGCTTAACACTATCTCTTTCGTTAAGGTCACAAAAATTACAAATTTCTGATATAGGTGTGTCACCCTCACGTCGTCTACTATTTACATCATATGTCGAGGTTAACAGCTTAACCATCATTTTACAGAGGTACATGAGATTGGGGTTTTCTTTAGCAATCACCCACCATACATTGGGTTTTAAAGTAGACAGCGATCCTGTCACCACATTTAGATTTTTATACATTGAAGACGATAGTACAGTACAAAAATTGTGAAATCTCTTGACACGTCCGTATACTACAATTCTAAATTCTTGTTTGGATGGAATTTGAGCATTAAAAATCATGTCCTTAACATAGTCTGTGAGATTATAAAACAGAACCGTATCCCACATTTGAGCTAATGGAGACTTCCTACCCTGATATGTTGATTTTAAATACATCATTCGTATAAGTCTTTCTAAACAAATAACCTTATATATACAACTTACAGGCAACCTTAACAACATGTACAGAAACATTAATCTATCACAGTCAATTTTTGCTCTAACAGACATCCAACCAAGCAAACTTGTAGCAACAGGGTCCGGTGTATTCTTTGGCAGTGTCTGGATGCGTTTTCCGATCTCTTTGTGTAGTCCTTCCATGAGATTAATATCATTGTTTGTGTAAGGTATAACTGCGCACCCATACGTCAGAGTTGGGTAGGAGAAAGACCAATAAAGCTTCGATCCAAGCAGGGGGTGTATTCCACCACACCCATTGCCTAGGCCTAAGAGTGAACAAAATTTTCTCCTTGCACAGGATATTGCAGATTTTACATGTAAATTTGTACTACCTAGTGGTATTCCAACATGTTGAGCCGAGTTTACAATTTTAAGGGAACATTTACCAAGTTTGAAATCTTGGGCAGCCCTTTTTCTTGGGCCAAAATACATAATGACACATTTTTCTGGGTGGAATTCAAATCTCCAGCGACGACTGTAATCATAAGCTATCTGAAGTAAGGTATTCATTTGATCATGCCCAGTGGTAATGATGGCAAGATCATCAGCGTATGCCGGACAACCTACAGGGTGTTCCCCAATTTTCGCAACCATTTGACTGTCAACCAACTCGAGTAACAAGTCTGCCAAGAAAAACTGATACAAAATCATACTACAGACCCCACCTTGGTGGACTCCCCGGTGGACATTGAAAGATTTTTGGTTTAAGATTCCACTAACAAAAACTTTACATTTGTATTTACAATAGGACTGGTACAAAATTCGCCACGCAAGACCATTAAAACCGTTTTGATATAGTTTCCAGAATAGACCGTCAATCCAGGTACCGTCGAAAGCTTTCTTAATGTCCATTAACGCCAATATGACACCATCCTTAATATTATGGGCAATGGTTTCCTGTAGTAACAATGATGTTTGAAGAGATGAGCAATTTTCAATAGATGCCCCCTGGAGCTGGGGAATTTTGCTCCTAAGCCGAGGCAGCATTCTTAACAGAACAAGATTGTCAAATAATTTCCTTAAAATGCTCATGAGTGTTATTCCCCGATGATGATCCTTGTTAAGACAGTCTTTATTCCCAGATTTTAGTAAGGGAATAAGAATACCAGTGCAAAAGTCTTCTGGGATGTACTCGCTGACTCGCATAGCATTAAAAAGTAAGGTTAATAACGAAGTCATACAATCACCACCGTATTTGATATGCTCAGCATTTAGCCCATCATGCCCGGCTGCCTTGTTGTTATTAAGTTTCATTATACAATCCTTCACTTCTCTCACTGTGAACTTCGTGTCAAGAATACCATCATTGTTCAATAAAGATTCTGCATGCATGTTTTTCAAATCAGATACAACGATTTGCTCAAAATCTTGATCAAAAATATCCCTGTGATCATATGATGCTAGTTTACTGAAGTATGATTGCCAATCATTATTTATATCAGTGGGATCAGTTAAAACATCACCAGAATCTGATCTGATAGACCCCGTTGACTTACTTGTACAATTTCTACTTTTATTCAAGAGGTACCAAAAAGTTCTTTGATCCATATCATTAGCATCATAAATATCATTAAGCTGCTTCTGTTCATAGTTAACACGTGACTGATTAAATGCAGCTCGGAAGCCTTTCTTCGCTTCCTTGTAAGCTTTCCTGATAGGATCAGAAGAATCCCTTGGTCTCCCTGCTTTAGTCCATTTGTGCCAGGCTGCTTTTTGTTTTTTCTTAAGAATAGACAGATCATTGTTCCAAAATGGCTTCTGATGCTTTATAAATTTTTTCAAAGGAATGGCATCATCAGCTCTGCATTTAACAATTTCAATCAAGCGTTCAATGAAAATATCGATGTCCTTACCATCAAGTTTGCTATTGTCTGACATACTACTGATTAAAGGCTCCAAATCTGACTGCAAAGGGATTGTATATTTATCATTTACCTCATCACGAGACACCCTGTACCATGAGTAAACCTTCTTGACATATAGCGTTGAGCTTTTAACATGTTTAATAGATGGCAGGTCGAAAACACTTTTAATTGCTAAATGGCCATAAGTTGGCGTATACGCGCTACATAAAACCCTACAACTAATTACACTCTCCAACATGGATTCAGAAATAACAATATGGTCAATATACGATTTATACCCAGTGGCTGATTCATATGTATAAATAGGCCCTTGTGTTTTGTTTTGCATATCGAGGGCAACTAATCCGTTACGTTGCATCATTTGGAACAATAGTTGACCGTTAAAACTATGATCAGCAGTAGAACGCCGTGTACCATACAAATTGCCCAAATTGGCATTAAAATCGCCAATAATTACTATTTTAGCATCTGTTTGACAACTAATTACATATTCTTCCAATGCATTGAGCACGTCTTCAAAATTTTCATTTTTACACCCAATCTGTGGCAAATATACAGAAAATATAAAAATTGGCACAGTTGCCTCGACCTTTACACATGCAATCGTAAACGTTTTTGAGGAAATTGGTCACGCGTAGTATTCTGCTTTGAGGGGACCGTGCTTAATGTTTAAGCATAGAGCATTATTTATATTCGTTTTACAACATGTTAATATTCTTAGGTATCAAATACACAACATGGCCATATTATTGGACAAGGGCAACAAGGAGTCCTAGCAATGACCACAAGTGGGCCACAAGTGATTTATGTGGCTGGCTACCCTGCGTGCAGAGTCTAGTTAAACTACACTCTGCCTAGTAGAGACCATATTACAGTTTAGTGGCCCCGCCCCCACGACGGGTGCCGGTGACAGTTTGGGTAATAAATCACGTTTGACTTACGCGCTGACCTTTCTTCCACCAATCGGCGAGCTTGAAGAAACATACGCCAAATGCGTTCTAATTAAATATGCGCATGTCATTGGTCAATTTCGGGCTCAACGCTGACGTCAGAAGGAATAACCATATATAGAACGTCGGTCAAATTTGGCCGACGAACACTGATTGGCGCGGTGAGTTCACAGGTTTATTTTAGTTTGAAAGAGTGAAGACGAAGCTCTCTTTTAAGAAGTGAAGTCAAACGAATGCAAAGGGTAGTGGCTGGCAAGCCAAGCAATTCTACCCCAATGTCACAGATGAATGCCACCAGCCAACCAGGTGATATACACAAATACCTTCCTTTAGCCAACTCAATGGAAAAACAATACTGTTTAGAGCTAGAATAGTAATAATATACACACTTCAAAACATCTGAAATAAGCTATATTTAAATGCCACAAGCAAACCAGGTGACATACACAAACGCATTCCTTTAGCCACTTTACTTTGTTAGAATTACCTTTACTTTCAATGCCAATTTGGCCAATGCCAAATGTCTATTTTGATATAAAAACTAAACCTAACGAACACATATGGCACTTGAAAAATAAATGCTTAAATCTTATTTCAACAAAAAGGAAATATATATCAACACCTTAAAAACAAAAGCCGCATACTTCAAAAATTTGAGGGCAACAGTAAAAACCAAAATAAATTTCAGTCCATCTCAACAGTGACAGAGCAGCAAACAAAGGACCAGAATAGCAAAATTTGAAACAATGTAGCTTTTTTGATATAAAGTCTCATTAAATGAAATTTGATGAGTAACTCTAGAATTAAATTATCTTTAAAATGAGATATGACACACTATGAAACATTAAGGACTTTTTGCTGTAGAGGGGAGTGCCGTGTTTTTTGACACCCTGTATATTCCAGTTTTTTATTTGGGTTTACCAATTTTGAAAATGAAGAAGGAGTCGCTTGTGTCCCAAATTTGCTTCTGGGGCATGAAACTGCTTTCTACCTTCAAATTATCTGAATTCAACGTATATAATATGTAAATGAAAAATCGCTTGAGGAAGAACACATTTAAGAATTTGCACTGAATAATATCAATGTTTATTCCAGTTAGCATGATATTCATAGGATAACATGTAAAAAAAACGGTATTTTTGTAATCAGTGGTAAAATATGATATTTTTGTCTTATTTTCACTTAACCATAGCATATGGTGTTTTAGCCATGACATACGGCGCTGTATGCTATGAATTATGGATTTTTGCTCGCCGGATCATTTGGAAAATTCGGATTAAATCACTTAATTTCTGACGATTCTGAAGATGATTTTAACTATGGAACAAGACACAGGACGTGAACGAGATCACACCATCAAATAGGCAGACACTATGAACCAGGAAAACTGTTCTCCTATTATGTTTACAACTTTCAAGAACAAGAAAACAAGATGGCGCCCAAAAGTTAATCAGCTCTAGTACTTGATATCCTCTATCATGTGTGTAAATTTGAAGGAAATCCGGTGAGCAGATTTTCTGAAATGGCGATGGCAAGATTTTTCGAAAAATCTTCAAAATGGCTGCCAGAAAACAAGATGGCCGCCCAAAAGTTAATCAGCTCTAGTACAGGGTGATCACTAAGTTCTGGGAATTGGTCTGTCATTTCAATATTTTTCAACCAATTCAGTTGAAACTTCCAGCAAATGTACATTGCATAATTCTGAATTGACTGACAATGTTTCATATACTTTATACTTTTACAATTTATTTTATTGTAATTATAAAAAAAGTAAAAGTGGTCCGCGGGTCAGCAAATTTTGACTGTGTCAATTTGAAAATTTCCTACCAAAACATATTCATCTTGCCTAGATGGTTGGTTCAAACTTATTGTACTAGAGGCAGAACAGTACTCTTGAAGTCATTTATTCAGAAGTATTCTTCATTGCTTGGAAGATCATTTCATTTGTAATGATTTCCATAGGGCTGGACGCTCATGAATTGTTGTCAAACCTAGTCCATAAAGACGCTTTCCAGTCCTCCCTTTGGTATCCCTTGAAAATTTGCTCAAGCTGTTGAGATCAGTCCCTCATCGGATGATGATCTCTTATATGATGCTTCAACAGTCAAATTTAGTGAACCTAATGGTGGTTCATCTGGTGAACATTATATGGTGAATGTGGGATATGAACAACTTGTGTGAACCCTAATTCTTCAAGAGTAGGATGGGCAATTTAAGGAGTGGGAAGAAGCATAGTCATAATGGAAGATAACTCCCCGCTATTTTGAGTCATGATTGTGACTTTGAGAGTCTGACCAATCCCAAGAAAATTGAGCAAAGTACACTTTTATATCACAATACAGATGTTACTTTAGAAACTAAAGTTAGAAATATTTGAAAACATAAAAAATCACAGAAATGTGTCCACCAAATAGGTATTAATTAACCATACTTTTGGATCAAGTAAAATCAAAATGAATTCAAGTTTTGCTTGACCCGCTACGCCATTTGTCATGTTGCTATAGTAACAATAATTATCCATTGTGACATCATATGACAATGAAATTATTTTATCCAACCCAAAATTACATTCACCATTTACCTTGAAAATCTCAAGTAGATTGGTTGAAAAATAATGAAATGACAGATAAATTCCCAGAACTTAGTGATCACCCTGTATTTCATATGCTCTATCATCTCTGCGAATTTGGAGAAAATCTGGTGAGCAGTTTTCCTTAAACAGCGATGACAAAAAGCGGGACGATCACGATCACGACCACGATCACGACCACGACCACGACCAGTATGACGACTATATCCCACTGATGGTGTGATAATAAAAAGACCATCATAGGATATCCTCTATATATACATGTACATTCTTCTAAATTTGTACTCTTGAAAATTTAATTGTAAATACCATTATTATATAACACAAAATGAAAGTGCTTTCTTGTAGTCTAGTTTTATGTAAGTGGATTTAATAAAAGAAACTGAATTGAAATTACATGTATAAGTCGATTAAAGAGTGAACGAGTGACAAAATTCTTTTCAGGAGCACATACCATCAACATTGAACCTGGCTACAACACTAATGTACAACAAGCACCTGCATACAATGCCAATGCTTCTGTACCACAGACCCAAGCTGCTGATGACACACCTCCCCAATATGAAGAGAAACCAAACCTGAATAATCAATGAACTCAATCATTGAAGACACCAACAATAAATGTTCCCAACCAAATCAAATTGCATCAAATTGTTGAAAAATGACCGTGGTCAATTAAATGATGAGAATATATATCCAGGAGATACAGATATTAAAAATGACATTTCAACAATCAAAAGTAAATATCATCATAAGCTTACTGTATAACATATGCCATAACATTCATATAGAAAATTCACTGTGATCCATTGTATTAAATGAATAATAAGAATAAATTTTGAAATTAATCAATTTGATGAATATGTTTGAGGTAGAACTATTATAACATTGGGATGGGAACATTGAGCCTTCATGTAAATGTGGTGACAAGAACAAACAAATAAATATTACACGTTTTATTGAAAAATTCCAAATTACTGCCAAGTAATTTACCCAGCATGCACAAGACCCAATTAGATCTTGGCACTTTTCTGCTCTGGCATCTGTAAAAAAATCAAGTTCAACAGGTACAAGGTTTTCTTTGAAATGAGTAATACAACACCAACTCACTCTGACGGATCGATGTCCGATTGAATACAAGAACGGACAGCTTCTTCATATCCCTACCCAACTTGTTTCAGTTGGATAAAAATATAACTCATATTTGGTAGAACTGTGACATTGAGAAAAAGTCAGAAACAAAACTGGAACCAAGAGATGGACTCTTCAAAAATCAAAGATCGAAAAAATGTAAATTACCTCTATATCCCTCTGGACTATTTGTATTGCACGCCCAAAACAGCATGTGGCTGTTTATAAACTCTATCACCTCTGCATTACCAAGGCATTCCCTGAAAAACAAAACATTTATTTAAAGATTTCAAAGCATAGCGGCAAAAGGTTCACTACAACTTTGATTTCTCAGCTATCTCAAGTCAGCTATTACATTTTAAGAATAACCTTTTTACAAAACAACCCTTGAAGCCTCAGTAGAGTACAGATGTTGAACAAAATATAGTGTTTTTAACATTAGTTCAATTAATTTAATAAATGTATGTTCACATTTGTAACTTTAAAATTATGTACAAAGAAGGGGTTATTTACACTTTGCAAACATTGGTCTTTCAAAAATGTTCTGTTACACTATTTTGGGATGAAAGAAGTCAATCTGTTATGAATTAACATTTTGAAACATTGAAATATTGACTTTGTTCTTATACCTTGCAAATGTTGCAGTATCTTGGTGGTTATCTCCATGGAGGTAAACTAGGAGAAACTTCAGCTCTTTTTTGGCATCATTGAGGGCCTGGAAAACAGTAAATCAAATTCAATAATTAATTGATTAAATTGAATCCATCTTGGATTAAGTATCCTAAAGGAAATATATATTTTTCTTATTCATAATTAACTAGTATACAAATAGTGACTGCCATTGAGGGCAATAGGGTAAATTATTTCCCCGAGGGAATATCCTCTAAAATGTACTATTCCCGAAGCTACAGGGAAATCATTTACACTATTGCTCGAAATTAGGCAGTCACTATTTGTTTTATTATATACCCTATACTGACTCTTGTCCCGTTTCCTCAGCGAAGGCCAAAAGGGCTTACAAAGCCCCCTCCCCAGGTCCATTGTTAGCATTATAAGCTGTGACGTCAAAATATACTCTTGAAATTTTTTCCTAAGAAATTTCCGAGACTCTCACTTGACAAATTCAATTGCGTTAAACACTTGAAATTACACAGACGTATTGAGCTTAGGGAACTTTATCCACGTTGCTTATATTGTATTGTTCACGCACCTATCATGGTGAACGGAGTTGATTTGTGTTTGTGCTTATCCTCAATTTATCTTTTTTTCATCTGCGCAGTGATGATGCGCAGACGTTTCCAAGGGTAATAGAAGTTGCAACTTTGACGTCAGCGGGCATAGTTCAAATGTATATTCCTGCTTCTTTCATTTGAGGGAATATAACTTTCGAAGGGAAATAGTAAATCTATTTCGGGACAAGTGACTAGGTATTGACCAATCAGGATGTTACATATTGGGTATATAATACAGCGCTTGCATTAGGTTAGAATTATTTGTGAGTCCCAAGGACGTAATTTTTTTTAAAAAGTGTGTCCTTTGAAAAAAAAGTGTGTCCCCTATTTCTAGCCTGTTTTGAGGTATACCTTTATTTTAAAAGCATTTTTTACCAAAACACCTTGAAGTTAATTTTGTCACATGATTGTCTTTGCTTCAACACAACACATAAATATGTAATGTGTATTTTCTTGTATCATCAATTGACAAGGTACATGAAACTATAATTTAGAGTCAGGCTTACTTGACTGTATGATCCTTGGTAAAAGGTTGGGTGGTTTTCACCATACTGTTCATTATAATTGCGTATAAATGATATAACATCTCCTACTGGATCTGTGACATCTGGAATGAATATATTATGCGCTCAATAAAAGTTAAACATTTAGTTTCTTTTAACAGTGTTTTGTACAAGATTTTTTCTCATATCACTTTTGATTGAAATTCTCACTTATCAGTCCCAGTCAAATTAGGTCAAATCGTGCCAATATTTCTTTTTTTAGTTTTGAGTAAGTGCTACTGGGTTTATAAGTGATTTGGCAAAATCATTACATAAACATATTTAAATCTTGGATATGATTTTCACAATGCATAAAATACAAGTGCATAAATTCAACTTACTCCGCCTTGGGTCTGGCCTTAGTAGTCTAACTGAAAATATGAAAACACAAATAATTAGCATGACAGTCAGTGTACATACATAGTACCCCGGACAGGTTGAATGATGCAGTTGTGTTTTTACTCTATATTTCCAAAAGAACAGCCTTTCTTAATGAAATTTTTGTATTCGATTCTGGAGAAATATTTTAACAAAATTCCAAATTCTATGATTTTTATCAGTTTATTTCAAAAAGATGTCACTGTCAATAAAATACAGGTTTTTTCTTGAACAATTGAACTTTTAACATCATTTCAAAGATTGTCAAGCTATTGCACTTTTGACCGCCTAAAGTCTTTCCAGATGTATTTGATGCCACATTAATTACGGCTGATTATTGTTATTCATTTTTGTCATATTCAATAGGCCTAATGTTATTACAGTGCATTAGGCCAATGAAAAACATGTCACTCTGGGTCAAGTTTCCTCGGATAACACACCTTTTTCGCCACTGGGTTTTTCCGCCGCTGTCACTCAGCATGCAACCCTGTGGCACGTAAGTAGTACCATGCTTTGAATATGTCAGGTTTCCCTGACAATTTCATGAATGTGACACAGCTATATTAACATCTCTGAAAGATCTAATGCCAGAAACACTTGAAGTTGGAGATTTGTAATGTTTTACCTCATTTTGGACAGTATTGAACAGTTCGATCAGGTTGAACTCCTGTCCATTGACAAGAAGATTGACCTCCTCTATCTGGGCCTTATCTACGGAATGCTTCACAAAATGAGACCAAGAGCAACAAGTTTTTTATTGGTCTAATGCACTGTAATAATACTGAATATGACTAAAATGAATAACAACAATCAGCCATAACCAGAACAACGGCAACGCCAAAGCGTAGCGAATCCCATCGAACAGAAATGGCTGGCATTTTACAAACGAAATAAATAGCAAATATCATAAAACAACACACCAGAAAGGCCACCATTTTCAAAATGGTTAGCCAAGTTGTCATCAGAAGAAATAATATGCTTTTAGTAGCCATCTATAAAATTTTTGAAAAATCGCACACATGTACTTGTGAAATAAGTAAAAAATGTAAAAATGACAGCCATTTTTTAAAATGGCTGCCTACTATCCAAGTGTCATGAGACAGTGTGCAAGGCTCGTGAGTATTCACATATCAAATATGAACAAAATCGCTTCACTACTTTTCAAGTTATAGTAAAAACGTAAAAATGGTGGTCATTTTTCAAAATGGCCGCCTACTACCCAAAGTGTCATTAGACAATGTGCCATGCTAATAGTATTCACATATAAAATATGAAACATACCAAATATGAACAAAATCGCTGAACTACTTTTCGAGTTATAGTAAAATACGTTAAAATGGCAGCCATTTTTCAAAATGGCCACCTTCTACCAAAAGTGTCATTAGACAATGTGACATGCTTATAGTATTCACATACCAAATATGAACAAAATTGCTTCACTACTTTTCGAGTTATTGTAAAATACGTTAAAATGGCGGCCATTTTTCAAAATGGCTGCCTTCTACCAAAAGTGTCATAGGACAGTGTGCCATGCTTATAGTATTCACATACCAAATATGAACAAAATTGCTTCCCTACTTTTCGAGTTATAGTAAAATACGTTAAAATGGCGGCCATTTTGAAAAATGGCCGCCTTCTACCAAAAGTGTCATAGGACAGTGTGCCATGCTTATAGTATTCACATACCAAATATGAACAAAATCGCTCCACTACTTTTCGAGTTATAGTAAAATATGTCAAAATGGCGGCCATTTTTCAAATTTTTTTTCAAAATGGCCGCCTTCTACCAAAAGTGTCACAGGACAGTGTGCCATGCTTATAGTATTCACATACCAAATATGAACAAAATCGCTCCACTACTTTTCGAGTTACAGCAAAAATCGTAAAATAACGAGTAAAGGCCGCCATTTTTCAAGATGGCTGCCATGTGCTTTTTTTAATATCTACATTTGTAGCTTTATTAATGTCCTTTATAATTTTTTTACACTTAAAACATATTGCTATTACAGTTTTACATATTGTACCTAAATTACTGTAAAATCGGCACTAAAATGGCCGCCATTTTAAAATGAGCGGCCATTTTGAAAATCGGCTTTCGAGCAGAACTTCTACCCCCATAGGGTATATGTGTACAAAATATGAAGAAAATCGGGCCAACGGTATTTGAGTTATTGCCCGGACGGACGGACAGACGGACGGACGGACGTACGTACGGACGGACGTACGTACGGACGGACGTACGTACGGACGGACGGACGGACGGACGGACGGAGGCGTTCCCTATATCCCTCCGAACTTCGTTCGATGGGATAATTATTACTATGGCAACAAATATATCTGGAAAGACTTTAGGCAGCCGAAAAGTCTATAGCCAGACAATATTTAGAATGATGTTATAGGTTCAATTATTCAAGCAAAAACCTGTATTTTATTGACAGTGGCATCTTTTTGAAAAAGCTGATAAAAATCATAAAATTAAGAAATTCGTTAAAATATTTATTTTCCATGTTGGAAATTGTCTCTAGAACAAATCTTTAAAATTTCAATAAGAATGGTTGTTCCATTGCAAATAAAGAGTAAAAACACGACTGCATCATTCAACCTGTAGGGGGTACTATTTTAGTTGATAAACCAGAGATTAGCTCTGTAAACATGATGCTAAACACACAGATTTCCAAAGACTATATTTTATGTAGATGTTGAGGTATTAACCAATAGGAAATATTGCTCATGTTTCTAGCATTATTTTTGATAAGAACTTCATGCATGTTAGTAAATTAAAAATCTCAATACTGGTACCTGTATATGAAATGTTAATAAATATGAAAAACAGATTTCCATGGAGTATATCTAAGTAGATGATGGGGCATTAAACAATTGGAAATATTAGTTTTAATTGAATTCCTTGCATTATTTTCATGCATGTCAGCCGTCAGGACATTAAAACAGCCTCAAAAGTTTACTCTTGTAAAAAAGTTGACGTACTTTTAAAAAATTAATTTCTTTGTGTTTCCTACCGATTAAATTCACCATATTTTATAAGATGTTTATTTTCAATGTTATAAGAATTCATTAGTACGAAAAATATGAAATAATTCGTAGGAACTGTTAGAAATAAGTGAATACTTATAGGACTTCTTTGCAAGGACCTTTTGCGATCAGAAATTGTTCATTACACCTTTGTTATGCAGTTCGATTCCACCAATTCTAAATCAAAAGTGCCCTATACCAAATTCCATGGCGATCTATGATGTAAGAAGAGAGGGCCATGGTATTCCATGATGTCAGTACTGTTGGTACTTGTTAATAAATACGAAATCATCTTTATCTCTAATTGTAGACATAAAATGTGTATACTTACATATGAAATTAAATATATCAAAGAAAGTAATGTACACAAATCTAAATGGGAAGAGGATTATATGTGTGCCCCATCCTAAGAGGCCTTGAGGTTGGCGACGGTTGGTGATTATAATTCTGAAATAAAATCAAAAAAGAATATTCAATAAATGGTTGTATCACAACATAAGTCCAACCTAAAATATAAATTCTTAAATCCTGAATGTTAGTTGTAAATTCCCAGTATTGAAGAATGTGTTAAATTATTGCATCCACAAAAAGACTAGAATCCACAAAAAGATCAGACATAATGGGTCTGCAATTGGAGGATTTAAAAGATGATAGAAAAGATGGGGTTAACATACCTTTGGTCTGATGGGTTCATATTTACAGGTGGTGTGGGGGGTTCTACCCTCTCTGGTTGGTCTTGTACTATGCGGTCTCTTCCCTCCTCTTCATTAAATGTATCTTGAACAGCCATCTACAAGACAGCAAACTCACATAATTCAATAACAGGAACACAATTACAAAGCTTGATTAACAGATGACCAGTACGATTCAGGAAAATTCCACAGCACCTCATGGCCAAATGGCTCTCTATTTATACAATTGAGAAATGTTTCCAGCAACCCACTTTGAAAAAATATGTGAAAAAGCCTGAGTTTAACTCATGAGTATTATTTTTATATCATATCAAAAATGATCTATTCTAAAGGTGAAAGTCAGGAGAACATATACCTCAATATCCCAATTGCATCTTTCTAAGCGCTCACGACATCTTTCCATGTCTTCAATTCCAGTCAAATCCTGAAGATAAAATGAAAATAATATAAATTCAACATTTTAAATGCACATACTATTCCACAATGCTTTGATTTCATCTATTTTTTTGGAATTCTGCAATCAATTAAATCATGATGGTTCAATTGATTTGTGAAAGCCCAAGATTACATCAAGTCACAGAATTTAATCTACCTGATTACAGTCAAAATCATTCAAATCGTGTTTGAACCCAAAAAAATGCGCTCATACTCATTTAGAGCAATATATTGGGCACAATTTACTGATGTTTCTGAATTCAAAATGTTCTGTTTCGTGACATTTCCGAAAGAAAACTTTTTATTATTTTTCTGTCACAATCCCGGCAAGACCTTCTTTTCTTTTAGTGAGCCTAATTTATTTTGACAAAAATTGATTCAACTTCCATCAAAATTGTCCTACAAGCTTCAATTAAAAAATCTTTTAAAGCTCTTTTCTTGTTCTATCTAATGGGTCGCCGATATATACAGTTAGGGGAGGGGATGCGTTCGCCCCCGTCGCTCTCTACCCTTGCTACGCCAAGGCACAGGAGAAATATCTCATTGGAATATATCACTGTTTACTTTGCGTTTGGTAGCTCTCTCATGCGAGATGGAATCGTGGCAATTAACTAAGGGAGCCAAATGCAACTTCCATCAAAAATTGTGCTATAAGCTTCAAATAAAAAACATTCTAGCTATTTTCTTCTATCTAATGGGTAGCAAACACCCCTTTCTACGCCTGATCGGCTCATGAGAAATATCCTGTCTGTTTAGAATATATATAGCCGTTTACTCTGCATAAATAGCTCTCTCACGTCTTACTTGTTCATGTTTTTTATTGCGTTTTCAACATTTACTACCATTCCCTGTTCCCGGGCTACCATTTTTTGACTGGGTTTGGTAATCCCCGGGTAACCGGGGCTAATGCCCTCCCCGGGTTTTGCACTTGTTCCCAAAATATCCGTATGATATCTGAAATATCCTCCCGCCTATTGCGCCTGCGCCAGAAAATTCGAAAATCAAAAATATTATTTGTCGGTCCTCTAGTGTGTAAACACAGCATATCTCCCGTACCGACAATTTATTTGTCGGTCCTCTAGCGTGCCACCACATCAGAGTCTAGAGTACCGACACTCTACCGGTACTCTAGCCTTTACGTTAAAAATTGAACCCTTCAAAGACTGTATCCCAACCCACATACGACATACCTGGGTATGAGGTACAAGGTTTCTTATACAAAACCAAGTGATGTGGGTAAAAATACCAAGCAGCTTTAGAATCATGTTAAATAAATTTAACGACCCATTAGACAGATAGATTTTCTTGTATATTCACACTTCAGAGTTATTTTCGCTGAAAGTAATTTGATTGGTCACTACAATCACAAAATTAGTAATGAAACAGCCGGGGGATTGGAGACTTCTTCGTTGGTAAGTAGATAGGTGAATATGTGGGAAAACTCAATATGCAAAAAAATTCCAGAGGGTCTTGATTGTGCCACAGATATTGGATATATCACTGTTTACTTTGCGTTTGGTAGCTCTCTCATGCGAGATGGAATCGTGGCAATTAACTAAGGGAGCCAAATGCAACTTCCATCAAAAATTGTGCTATAAGCTTCAAATAAAAAACATTCTAGCTATTTTCTTCTATCTAATGGGTAGCAAACACCCCTTTCTACGCCTGATCGGCTCATGAGAAATATCCTGTCTGTTTAGAATATATATAGCCGTTTACTCTGCATAAATAGCTCTCTCACGTCTTACTTGTTCATGTTTTTTATTGCGTTTTCAACATTTACTACCATTCCCTGTTCCCGGGCTACCATTTTTTGACTGGGTTTGGTAATCCCCGGGTAACCGGGGCTAATGCCCTCCCCGGGTTTTGCACTTGTTCCCAAAATATCCGTATGATATCTGAAATATCCTCCCGCCTATTGCGCCTGCGCCAGAAAATTCGAAAATCAAAAATATTATTTGTCGGTCCTCTAGTGTGTAAACACAGCATATCTCCCGTACAGACAATTTATTTGTCGGTCCTCTAGCGTGCCACCACATCAGAGTCTAGAGTACCGACACTCTACCGGTACTCTAGCCTTTACGTTAAAAATTGAACCCTTCAAAGACTGTATCCCAACCCACATACGACATACCTGGGTATAAGGTACAAGGTTTCTTATACAAAACCAAGTGATGTGGGTAAAAATACCAAGCAGCTTTAGAATCATGTTAAATAAATTTAACGACCCATTAGACAGATAGATTTTCTTGTATATTCACACTTCAGAGTTATTTTCGCTGAAAGTAATTTGATTGGTCACTACAATCACAAAATTAGTAATGAAACGGCCGGGGGATTGGAGACTTCTTCGTTGGTAAGTAGATAGGTGAATATGTGGGAAAACTCAATATGCAAAAAAATTCCAGAGGGTCTTGATTGTGCCACAGATATTGGCCAGATCGTTTTGTAGTACAGTAAAATTTCAAATGTTAGGTCCTACTTTGAATTAACAAAATAAGCAATCAAATGACTATATTGCAACAGTATATAAAAAAATAGAAACATATGTACTTGTCCTAACTTTTGTATATTTCAGATAGTTATGTAAAATGTGCAGTAAAGCTGTGGCCTTTTGTAATTTAGGGAGTTTCAGCCATGTTAATTTTTCCGAAAATGACATGGCGGAGAAGCATCAAAATATGAGAGAGCACAGACATGATAGCTAAACTACAAAACAAACTAAAATATACAAAAGTTAGGACATGTATAAATGTTCCTATTTTTACATATACTGCTTCAATATGGTTCTTTGATTGCTTATTTTTCAAATTCAAAGTAGTTACTAACATTTAAAATTTAACTGTAGGATCTCATAGGCTCAAAGAATAATTCACAAGATACGACACTAAATTGGAAAATTTCAAAAAAATATGACCACCTTTTAAAAATGTCCTTATACAAAATGGTACCTGCTTCCCCATGACAGATTTTGCACTTATAGCTGAGATCTTCATCTTTCTATTTCTACTTGTTTGGTTCGAGTAAATAACCTATGGATGCAGTTATTTGACTTTTAATACGGCGAATATGTTTCACGAGATCCGGACTCTTGCGTGTCCAAATATCATTGTAATGATGACGTCACATTTCTGGAACCACGGGAGCACCATTCAGATTTGGACAGACAAGAGTCCGACGATAAATTATCACTGTTTTGGCCTCTTATCAACGCAGCATTGCTTGAATAACGGTCATTGATGATAAAAAAGTTAAAGAATAACAAGATGCTTCGAATGAGGTATGATTTGTCTCATATTTTTCAGAAATGGCTCCATAATCGTCATTTTAAAATTTGAAATTTTCATCTAGATGGATATAATTTCATAAACAAACTGAGGTGTCTCATCTTGAGGAATATTTATTGAGCTACTGATCCAACTACAAAAGAATCTGGCCGGGATCTATGGATTGTGCTTTCCTAGAGGCACAGGCTGGTATCGAAAAATGTGTCCGCTGTGACGGAGCGTGCTATTTTGCATAGAAACACTAAGAAACCCAGACAATTTATTTTTTTACTCATATGTTTCGCTATTCCAAAGAAAATTTCTTACTCCATGCAATGGGTATATCATTTGTGGGTAACTTTAACTTTTGTTTGAAGTCCAACAACGCTAAGAGTAAAAGCTATTGAAAACGGCGCCGGGGTATCATACTCCAAAATGTACCATTTCTTTTATTTCTTTTTAATGGTACAATATATTGATACAATAATATTTACATATGTTTTCAGCATAACTCTGAAGGTATTAATGATATCTTGATGTATTGGGTATTTTTAATATTTTTTATAAAAAAATAATGTTTACATTTTTTGTCTGCTGTGACGGAGCAGCTTTAACTGTGAACTACGTTAAGAATTTAAGATTCAAATTATATCTTTTAAAAGTACCCTTAGAAGAGAGAACGTCGCAAATCACTTTCCTAAATTATGACAAGTAGCCTCTTGGAGATCTGGGGTAATGTAAATCTGAGATATAAAAACGACCACGGAGGTTTGTACTGAAATCAACATGGTGTAAACTCAACATAATATTTCTAATACGTTTTCGCCAAGACGTCTTGAAATGTCACGTGTAGTGTAAATAGGGCTAATATGAATTTATTCGAAATAGCGCACAGACATCATGCATTCCGACAGATGTTTAACCTTTTACCACATAATATTACTGTATATAAGATGATCCCAATACAGATGTGATTTGTAATTATTTGAGATTCATGAAATTCATCGTTTTGCATAGACTAAAATTATAAAATAAAAAGTCTTGGTAAACGTGCTGTACTGTAAAGCCTGTATCAATGAATATCTTTCTCTAGTGAACACCTCTTCTTATCAAATATTTCTCTGACTTCTGTATGAAATTGCCTGTATGGAGTAAACAAGACCAACTGGAAACACATTTTTGGGCTCCATATGTGTCCACTATACACATGTTTTACTGTAGTTGCATCAGATAGCCATAACTCTTATTCAAATAAAGAACGATCATAAAATCAAATTTTGCATTTTCGCATTTCAAGATACACTCAACTTAGCTTTTGGAACAACTAAAGAGGGTAGAACAATCTACAGCCCATATCATCATATGTATTTAGCCTCATATTCAGCAAATCATTTTACTTCAAATAATCAAGTTACCGTAAAAAATGACCATGTCAGGCCGATGGATCCACGGAAGCCACTACGAAAGGCAAATACCCGATACTGAAATGAAGTTGACTATCATTTTCATGATCACCATGCATAAGTTGGATTGCAGTACAAACTGAGAAAAGAAGCTTAAAGAGTGGTCGTATATACATCTCAGAATTTGAATTGTGTACTTTTATTACTTTTCATTTTTAGAATACTTTACGAGATTTGACACGCTCGCTCCTCTAAAGTGTAGTTGTAAAGAGATATATTATAAATCTAAATTCTTAAGGTGACATTTAAGATAATCAAAAGTACAAAAACATGGGAGCCATATTTTTTTGATAAAGTCAGAAGATTTTGTATACTGTTTTCCTTGTATGTGAATGCATTTCCTGACTTAAGAGACACATAAAAGAAAACCTCACATTTAAACGCATTTTTCATAACTATGAATTGGAGGTGTATGGCTCCCAAAAGCTAGCATGAAGAGTGCGAAGTGAGGCTATTTTTTGAAAGTTTCAAGGAGTAGCCTTGCAACAGTCACACATTTGCAAGAATTCAAAATTTCCAGATATAGTCTTACCTTACCAAGGAACAACGAAGGAGCACGAAAATGTGCACTTCTTGCATTGTTAGAGTATAATAAAGCTCAAACCATTGTGAATCCTAAATATTTCATGTCCACCACTTTGTTTCCTGGAACTATTTTTTAGTCCAGAGTTATCTTCATTCATGTTTCCATTGTTTATCATTCATAAAGCCTCTATCATGTATCTATCATGATAATTACACTGTAATAGATAAAACATACAAGTGATAATCCATGCCACTTGGTGTAGTCACAAAACTTGCATGAGGATTAATCAGGAAGTCTAGAAGTAGTTCCGGCAAACAAAATGTGGACAGAAATATTTAGAATTTACAATGGTTTGAGCTTTATTATACTCTAACAATGCAAGAAGTGCACATTTTCATGCTCCTTCGTTGTTCCTGGGAAAGTTAAGATGATTTGTGGAAATTTTAGACTCTTGCAAATGTGTGACTGTTGCAAGGCTACTCCTTGAAACTTTCAAAAATTAGCCTCACTTCGCACTCTTCATGCTAGCTTTGGGGATCCATGCACCTCCAATTCATAGTTTGGAAAAATGCGTTTATGTGTGATGTTAACTTTGACATGTTTCATTTGTCAAGATACACAATTCATATACAAGGTAAACAGATTTTAAAAACATCAAAAAAATATGGCAGTCATTTTTTGTACTTTTTATTTAATATAGCGTCGCCTTAATGTATTTCAGATTTGAAACTGCTCCGTCACAGCGGACAAAAAAATTTAATTATTATTTTTTATCAAAAAAATTAAAAATACCCAATACATAAAGATCTCATTAAGGTGCTATGGAACTTAACAGGAAATGACAAAACAGGAAGTGACAATTTTTTTTGCATTTTTAGATATTTTTTGAATAAAGATAACAGAGTTCTGGTTTGACCTCCAGTCAATTTAACTATTTCCACATATCATTTACATGACCAGGATCACAATGTGCATGGTCAGAATGACCCTAAACATGATGAAATAACCTTTTTAGCCCTTTGAAAGTGTGACTGAAAAAAAGCTAAAAGTAGGAGCGTAGGGAAGGTCACTGAACAGAATCTTTTGAATTTTTCAGAAAATGTGCCCAATATATTGCTCTAAATGATACAATCTTTGAAAATTTGATATCATTCATAGAAAAAGAAAAAAAATGAAAAAACTGATTTGAAAAGCGATCTATTTTCCTTTTTATGACTGCCATTTTTGTTTAAGACAATTTTCCAAAATTTCAAAGATTGTACTAGTAAGAGCATTATATTGGGCACATTTTCTGAAAAATTCAAAAGATTCTGTTCAGTGACTATCCCTACGCTCCTACTTTTAGCTTTTTTTCAGTCACACTTTCAAAGGGCTAAAAAGGTTATTTCATCATGTTTAGGGTCATTCTGACCATGCACATTGTGATCCTGGTCATGTAAATGATATGTGGAAATAGTTAAATTGACTGGAGGTCAAACCAGAACTCTGTTATTTTTATTCAAAAAATATCTAAAAATGCAAAAAAAATTGTCACTTCCTGTTTTGTCATTTCCTGTTAACTTCCATAGCACCTTAATACCTTCAGAGCTCCGACGCCGTTTTCAATAGCTTTTACTCTTAGCATTGTTGGACTTCAAACAGAAGTTAAAGTTACCCGCAAATGATATATTCATTGCATGAAGTCAGTAATTTTCTTTGATAGACTAGTCTATAGCAAAACATATGAGTAAAAAATAAATTGTGTGGATTTCCTAGTGTTTCTATGCAAAATAGCACGCTCCGTCACAGCGGACAAATTTTTCGATACCAGCCTGTGAGAGGCTCATTAAACATTTAGGTCGCTGACTCAAAAAACGAAAAAGTTCAAGACTGGAGAACGAATTAGACTAGATCTAGTCTAGTTCTTACACATTTGTCATTCTTTCTGAACAAACAATTGATCAAAAAGATCAAAACTTTGCGTAAACATTTCAACCATATTTAATTTAAGGAATTCGGAAGAAAACACGATTAGCTAATGTTTACCTGGAAATGCAGGAGCTTTTCAGTCTGTTCCGAGGTAATTTCAGTGTCGTTGTCCGCCATGTTGGAAATTTTCAATAGAGGCATCACTCCGCTAATTTTACAAAACTTAGATTTCATCAACATCAACATACTTGATTCGGTGGCAGAACTCTGCTTCAACAGTCGCCTTGCAGATTTTTTTAGTATGATTGCTAATTGCTTTGTTGTCTACCCTTGCTTTGTTCTTGAGAATCTGACCAAAGTTTTTATTGTCATGACTTTAGTATGAATGAAGTGTCCCTAAGTGTTATGGTCCCGAATTGTGATAATGGTACTTCTATGGTTGGGAGGGGTTATATTAAACCTTGTTTCTTTTCACTTTGATCATGGTTTTGGATAATTGGGGTTCGTTTTTCATATGACTGGACTCTTAAATGCTTTTTCTTGCTGTGTGTTTGTAATAATTCTAGTCCTTTCCTTTTGGCACTAGTGCATACATATTTTTCCTTTTGACTCTGGTTTTATTTTGGCAGGGTGCCATGGTATTATATCATATGGCATAGGCTAAACTGCCCCATATTTATGTAGATTATGATTCCCCTTTAACAAATGTCTACCCTTACATTGTTTTTGAGCTTTTTACTAAAGTTTATATTTTCCATTTCTATCTTAATCTTGAAGCCATATAGAACAAATTTAAGTTTTGTCAAAATCTCAGAAATATCAGAAATATCATCATGAAGATCACTATTTTACCTTGATACTAGGATAATCTCAACTCATATAACTGTAGGATACTGGAGATTTTTCATTTTGAAACCTAAATATCAGTTCTGATAATTCATCATCCAAATTCAGAATTGTGAACTGACTTTGATGACATCATCAAAAAGTGTGTACAATTCCTTCACTGGTTTACATTGAGAGGACAAAGCCTCAATCTGATATATAGATCACATGATCTCTAAATGGAAGTTCCAACACAATGCAGATTATTCAAACCCTTGTAGTTGAACACCTTTGCCTGGGGAGTTAATATCTCAGCTATGTAAGTAATATTTTAGATGTTCTATATGGCTTTAAAGTGACTTTTAAAGGAATATTCCTTGCCAAATCATCTCTCTCCTAATATGGTAGCTATAACCATATATATGCTTGCCATGTTTATCAAAACACGCAAAAATGTTTTGATATGGTCAAATTTGATCACTTAGAAATGTGATGCTCAATTCCAGTAAGCTGCCATCTTTTAAAATTTCACACAGGAAGTGATGTCATCGACTCTCAACTTTGCATATAGCATTAGGTGAGGAGCTATTAAGAATTACAAAACCAGCTAAATATTCTTTTTCAACTTTGTATCTTATTTAATCCTTCTGAAAATCTCTTCTTTTATTCTAAGTTGACAAGCCCTGAAAATATTTTTGCATAGAAAGTAATGATCACTTGTCTAGAAGTGATTTTGTGCTACTTTCCTATACTGTTATGGGCAAGGTTATAGAAGTTGAGAGTTGATGACATCACTTCCTGCAAGAAATCTTATAAGATGGCAGCTCACTGGAAATAAGCACTCGATTTTTAAATGATCAATATTGACCATATTAAAACATTTTCCCATGTTTTGCTAAATATGGAAACTATATATATGATTATAGCTACCATATCAAGAGAGAAAGGGTCTGGCAAGGAATATTCCTTTAAAGACATAGAGGCTAAAATGAGGGATTAAAAGAAATACTCCTCAAGAAAACAGTCTTACTTTTCTATTAGGATGAGTTCAGGAGCCAAAAACAGCTGATTTATGGATATATATCATTATGAAAATTGGAAGCAAGAAAACCTTTTTTTGAGGCCATGTTTTTTTACTGTCATAACAGGAAATAGATTATCTATGTCTATGTCAATAATCTGCAAAAGGCTAATAAGCCCATATAAAGCAGATATATAATTTAACAGTGATAGAATTTGAATAGAATATAATTTAAAACCTTAACATTTAAAAATAGATCTATGGTTTACAACTCATTTTACCTGGGGAGACTGTCAGGCTACCGCGTTGACATCACCCCTCTTTACCAGTAGTGCAGGCTTGTTGCTGTGCACTGGGGACCCTTTACATTAAAACATAGATCTATATTAAAAACACACCTATTTAATTGCAGTTATTGACATAGGCATAGTATGATGATTTAAAACTACTTAGACTGTCACAGTCTAAGATGTCACCAGGTAGAGTGTTCCATTTAGCTATTGTCCTAGGGAAATAGCTAAATTTGTATGCATCCGTTCTAGTTGATGGTTGTATGAACTTAGAAGGATGATACAACCTAGTGTTGGTATTGATCTGTTGGCAGAAGTATGGAGGCACGTCGATGGCTGCTAGGTTCTGCTTTCCTTTGTAGAAAAGGAAAACTCTAGCAGCCTCTCGACGCTCCTTCAGTGGCTCCCACTGTAGGTCTTGAAGAGCTTTGGTGACGCAGCCTGGTTCCCTTGAGTGACATTTGGTTACAAACCTGGCTGCTCTTCTCTGAACCTGTTCCAACATATCAATATCTTTTTGTCGGTAAGGATCCCATGCCGAGCTGGCATACTCTAAATTAGGCCGGACTAGTGACTTATACGCCTGAGCCTTCACTTTTTCAGGGCATTGATGGAGGTTGCGCCTGAGAAATCCAAGCACCTTATTATATCAAAACGAAATCTTAATTAACATCATTAATTCTGAATTTGGCAAAGAATACTTACTCAGTTATGTATTCTCATATTTTTAGTATAATTATGGACTATTTTTTAATAATTGCACTGTTGTGGATAAAAAATATTTTCAAAAATTGACAATCTGACAAGCTGAGGCCGTGGCCAAGTGGTTAAAGCATCAGATTTGTGGATACACTTTTCCAGGTTCGAATTCCGGCCATGGCAAATCTTTTTCTTTTTTCTTTATTTCATAGCCTGAGCCACTATATATTTTTTATCTCATTTTAATTTAACAGTGTCATATTTATTACTTTTTAGGGGTTTTGTAATATAGGTGAAATGTCTGTGTGTGCCTTTAATTGATCTCTCCATGAATGATAGTCTTCCGAAAATATTTTTAACCCTTGCAAAATTTTTACATTCTTTACTTTGTTACAAATTAAACCACTTTTAACCACTTTTAAATTAAAGAATGTCTCAATCTTAGAGTATACCAGTCATAAGGAAAACAAACCCCATCTATCCCTAATCATAATCCCCGGGTCATAATCCAACGTAAAAAGAAATATTTTCAACTATCCCCTTCCCAACCATTCAAGCACCTATTTCACAATTTTAGACCATGAGACCATAAGACATGATCTCTAATTATTCATATTCCATAGCCGGGATCAACTTTAAACGGTGCCAATTGAAAAAATCGTCAGTTCGGTGAAAGAGAAATATAAATAAACAAAGATGGATTACCATGCCATTTCTATTTCTATCGACTCTAGCCTATGATCATACAGGAGGAGGGGTGTATATTTTGGAGGAGGCAGGAAGGTCGCTCGTAATTTAAGGGATCTTTCCCACTTCTTTAATTTAGTGTTCAGATACCATCCGGAAATTCTAGGACGCATGCGCATAGCAATTTTTGCAAATCGAGCGCCAGAGTTCGAATCTTTATTTACCTGATCGTTTATCATTGTACGCTTTAGCGTGATCAAAGTTGAACTCATTAATGCAAGGTACGTACAAATTCGTTTACATTTAGCCCATTTTCCCTGGATTACTAATTAGAACAAGATGTGATTTCGTTCATCATTTCACGATTCTGAATGAATGTGACAGGTCAAGTGTTCAATTTTGCACAAGTTGAACCATAGGCTGAGGTTAAGTACTATTGTAAACCATATAAGAATTAACAGGTCAACAATTGGGATTGAAAAATTTTCAAAAAACTTGCCGTCTTCAGGCCTGTCAACTGTCCCGCAATTTGCGTATTTGTCACGCATTTGCTGAAGAATTTGAAGTCACGCCAGTTATTTTTGCGTGACAGAAAATGTCACGCAAATACGCATTTTACCTGGTAATTGTCAAGCAAAAATGTTTCTGTAGAAAAATTTCTAAAGATCGTCTTAACAGCAAAAATACGAACGCCGGAAAAAAATGTACGCATTTCGTTCGGACTTTTCACGCGAATTGCGTATATGTCACGCATTCCGTTCGAAATTTTTTCGTACCATGTAATAAAATTGAAACCAAGGTGTTCAAAAATTGGATGAAGGTGTTCAGATTTGGACAAAGGTGTCCACATTTTGAGGGGAGGTGTTCAACATTTCCAAGTCACTCATGTTAGGTGTTCCCAAGTTGACAGGCCTGCGTCTTGGTACGAGTTCTCCTTACTGGTATCGAGTCGTACCACCAAATCTCCCAAGAATCTTCTCCAAAGTGTTTTCGAAACGTATATTTTTGAATATTTCAAATCTATATCCTAACTCTTCGATAATGGTTGTAATTAGAAGTTTAAAATTCCAAGAAAAATGTTAATTTCACCATTTAAATTGGGTTTAAAAAGATATTATATGAAACAGATGTTTTGATAAATAATTATTAAGTACACCTTTTATAGTTTTGTACACTTTAATTGATTGTTATTTCTAGAATATGAATTACATTTTAGAGAACCAGATAGGTGTCACTGGCGGCGGTTAGCAGGAACCAATCAAATTCCTTGTTTCAAACTTCCATTTAACACGGAAATCCGGGTAACTTGTAGGTTTTCAGAATATCTCGCCTCAAGACGGCTTTATTCACTCTATATCACTTGAATGGGGTTGATTCATAGGTAAGAATTGCGAACTATCAATTTTGGATCAACTCTGCATTGTTTTTTGAAAAATTATACACAAATAATGTTAAAATCGCCATGTTAACAAGTGGCCTAAATCCTAGTTGTTGACCTGTTAATTCTTATATGGTTTACTATAGTACTTAACCTCAGCCTATGAGTTGAACACACTAAAATTAGCCTACAGACAGTGAGTGCAGGGCCGGATCAGGGAACCAACAAGGGGGGCAAACTTCTGGTCTGAGAAAAAACTTTGTGAAAAAAAATTTTGGGTACCTAAAACCATAAAGTGGGCCCAACTTTTGAAATTTTGAGGCCCATTTTCTTTAAAATTTGGCCGAAAACAATAAGTTATATCTGTGAAATCCTAAAACCAACTAATGATATATGAATGGGTAGGCACGCATCTAGTGATGTAGGATACCAGGAGAGGATATGGGGGCAGGGATGGGCGTCCTACCATGGGCTTTCACATCTAGTTAGGGGGAGGGGTTGTTAATTCATTTGTGTGAGGGGTAGCCCAAGAGGGGGTTGCTTTTTAAAAATTGCCAAAAGGTAAAATAGTTCGGTACAACAGCTCTTATTTCTGATTTAGGTTGAAGCCATCTTTTCATCAAGCATGGATCAAGATCTCACAAGATTTTTATTTTTTCAAAATCAACTATGGCCTACCCTTTGCCCTACCTTCTTCTAAGGCCTCCACTTCTATATTGCGGCCTTACGCTAACAAATAATCCTCGAGTAAGTCTATTCCACTTTCAAGATGACAAAATTATAATATATAGTTTTGGTTCATTGGTTCCTTGGTAATCACAACGTCACGGCAACCATAGGATTCTTATGTAAACAAATAACAAAACATCTCGGCATTATGACGTCATGATTTAATGGACCAAAATGGGCCACGTTGGGACCAGTGAGAGATCGCGTGGGGGCCATTAACTTCACAACCAATACGAATATTGCTTATTAAACAGCTATAACGATCGTTAGAGTGAAATAATTTTCAAAATACTGATGAACATTTATTAAGAAATTATATGGATTCCTTTAGGTAAAACATACCATTTCATATCTGCTTTAAAGATGAGAGCAATAATTAGAAATAGTCTCTCATGGGAAAACATGCATTTTTCTTAATATAGGTGATTGAGTGTTGAAATAGATGATTATATTGCCTTTTGTGTTGCTGCAGGTAGCTAGAGTGCTGCACTATGGCAGCAACCCTGAAGTTCCCAGTGAGCAGGGTGGCACTGTGGGACCATTGTAGCAAGGGAGCAGCCTCATACAGTCATCTTGCATATTATAGGTAGGTGCATGGGTTGAAAAATAAACTACATTGAAACATGTATATCCGAACACCTTTCTAATTGGAACACCTTCCAATCTGAACACTTTTTTCATGTCTCATTTTTTCCTCCCATGGACTTTCATGTTTAAAAATCTTGAAATCTGAGCACCTCTTAATTCGAACAATAAACAGTCATATTTGAAAAATTAATCGTGATAAATCTTGCTATCCTATTTACATGCTATTATTGTGCATTCAGTCAAATATAAACTGGAAACAATCATGATTAACCAATATGTTGTGGTAGGAGCTCGGACACTTTTAGCTAGTCCCATTGGTATTCTGTTTAGACAGGTTTTACTGTTATGAGGGTAGCTAATTGTCTTGTCATTACTGCATGTTGTAATACATAACATGGACTTTAGTTACAGATGGATTTGTTAATCTCTGTAATACCATGAGCTATTCGCTAACATGGACAAATATTGACATTTCCAATGTAGAAATCAATTTCATATTGTTCAATAGGATGTTCTGCCACTGAAACTATTGTTTAGTTTTTTTTATTTTATTTTGTTGATTTTCAGAAACCCAACAATCCTATTGGAAGAAAAGGCACTAAGATTAGCGCATAGATATGCCCAAGATTCTGGTGATGACAGCTTCAGGTGTCTCTTGATAGGGAACATTAACATCACATCAGGTACATATTTTCTAATGTCTAGTTTGTTTGTTTGTTATATTTGAGAGTAATCTTCATTGATGCATCAATGATACTGTAATGTCCCCAAAATTGGACCAAGTGGATGCTGCAACCACTTAAGATTATAAGGCTTATAGGCTTGTATTTTGTACTCACTTGAAAACCCATTTGCACCCACTTTCCAATTTGCACCCACTTTGAAATCCAGACAAATTGTGAACTTGGCCACAGATGTTAAAATGAGAGATTGCAATTTTGTGTACTACACCTTCTATTTCTAAGTTTTGCTATTTGAAAAATGGCCGTCATTTTTACATTTTTTCCAAAAGTAGTGTTCGATGGGATTTCCTACGCTTTGGCATTGCTGTTGTCTAGTTAGTCATAAGTTCGCCTACTTTGCCTTACAGATGGTGAGGGAGTGATTGTCACTCTAGACCAGTTCAAGCCATTAGAAGGTCCAGTCAGCTTCGAGGCTCAATTAATGCCAGGGGAGATCAGGTCTCCATGTGAGGTGAGTGGTCTGGTCAATGAGTCGTTTCAATATTGGTAAATTACAACAGTGAAGTAGTTTATTATCCTGTTAACAAAATAACTGTTGCGATTCCTATTGTTCAGCAGTGTTTGAGTTTCTAAAAAAAGGTTAAATGTTTCTAATGTTAACAAGATTTTGTTATTCATATACATATACATATACAGGTGTTTGTTATTATTTCCAGTTAAACAACAACCAAACCCATGGAAAGATAGAAAAACCTCTCGATTCATATGAAATGGCATTAAAGGTATGTTCTTTGTTAAAAGCTTTGTTAAAATCATCTCATCCTAAAATGAAATACCTGTGCAATTTTTTCGTTCAAAATAAATACTGTACTAGGTGTCCTCTGAAATTTTTTTTTGATGTTGACAATACAAATGTTCAGATGACCCAATTTTTGATCATTTAGCCCCAGCACCATTGCATAAAAAATATATGCAAGCCGTTTTGCCATAAATATATGTCTCTGTACAAGTACCATTGTTTCTAAATCCAGAGTGAACATGTTATGCTAAGAAGTTTAGGGATGTGCCACCGTTATTATCAAAATCTGTGATTACCGGTATATTAAATTATGACATGATAACATCTTTTTGTTTCGTTGTATAGTAAAGTATTTATTTTATAAACTGAAGGCCTTGTTTTGTAAAACATAAATGAAATGATGTGGCCATTTTGCATGTACTGGAATTGTTATAGAAAACAATAATGTCAAAAAGTTCACTTTACTCAAATTAATTATAACTCTCAGTTTACATTCAAATATGAGAGATACTGTACAAAGTTCATTGATTTGATTTTAGCTTCTTACACAGCAATGCAGCTCAACCAGACTTGACATGAATGATGCTGTGTGTCTACAAGCCTGTATCTCATATACCCAGGAGAAGCACACAATAAACCTGGACATTGACTTGGACCTAATGACATTCAGCACACAGTTACAAGCTGTTCCAGTCTCTCCTGTGCCCATTATACAAACTGCATTGTCCAAAAATCTTGCTAGTGGACAGAGCATGAGTGCTCTACAAGGTCAACCAAAGGCTGGGTATGTTCTGTGTATGCTTTCTCTACTAGCTATACATAAATCTATTTACTTTGACATATCTTAACTGACTGATATCTTATGTTCCACACTCTAATATTACAGTAAAACCTGTTTATTCGAACACCTCGATCTCTAATCCAAACACCTCTCAATGACTGTGAACACTTTTCCTCTGTGTTCCAATTTTCCAGTGGTGTTCGGATAAGACAGGATTAACTGTATATATTAAGTCAGGTAGTAACCATTGTGTTTTGTATTAAGTATGATACGGTAAGTACCCATTCGTGTAATGTATGCTCAATACGTAAACTTATATCTAATGAAATTATTGACTTGCAGATATTTGACACTGGACCAAACCAGGAAGCTGCTACTAGTTTTAGAATCAGACCCTAAAGTCTCCACTCTTCCCCTGGTTGGAGTGTAAGTAGTGTTGAATATATAACAGTTCATTTATTCATTATATGAGTTTTATAGTAAGACACATTATTTCATATTAAAATATTTACAGTTCAGCAATATTGCGATCCGGTAAACAGTAATTGTTCAGATTTCGTATGGAAGTCATTTGTAATTTGAAATAAATTAATTTTTGTCATTGTTTGATATTAATATCATATTAAACTTTGCATGAATTTAATGTTTCTCTATATTCTAGATGGTTGAGTGGAGTGTCATATGTCTATGATCCATTTGTGTGGACAATGTGTTTGAAGTATCTCTACAGCTCTGTCATACAAGACAGGTAGGTAGTCATACATAAGGTCTCTTTCTGCACATTACATATCTGTTGATTCATATTTTTCTCAAGATCAGAGGCACAGTATAATGTCCAGTGTACTGTCAAATAGTTGAGGTAGAATGTAACACTCAAAGCTAAAAAAATAAGATATTTGTAATACTATATGAGCTAACCTTGGGAGATATAGCATATCACTAAAGTTTATGATAAATGATACTGAATAATTGTATAACTGAACCAATTATTTTATACTATATAAAGAATAAAAAAAAATTAATGATTGAGCCCATGCCCATGTGCAAAATAAAGTGAAATATAAATATCTATGATGTCTACATTTCCAGAGTGTGTAAATCTAAAGAGCCGTTCCTAGTTGTATTGTACAGTAACCTACATCCAAAGCCAGAGTTCTATGAATGCATACCTACTGGCAATAATACTTGCTTGGATTACTCACTCTACACTTGCTTTGAGAAAGTAGAGATATATAAGGTAATGTATTCTTTGGTTCAATGTCAAATGAATGTCATCAGACAAATCCTAAAATATATTTCTCCATGACAAAAAGAATATAACCAAAAAATGATGATATACTACAGAGGGATATCCTTTATACTTTTTATTTTAATCATGAAAGAAATGAAAAAAATGATCAAGAAACTGAAAGTAAAATTGCTCAGACTTTGGATTGATTGATTGATTTACCAATTATTGTAGTGGTATATTCAGGTTTGAACGACGTTAAAATATATCCATTTTGCTATTGCAGGGTCAGTCTGATCAGAGATCAAACCTCATAGAGCTGGAAGTCATCAAAGTAGAACAAGGACCAAAACTGGAGAAATTCAATGAAGCCAAACAGCTTATAAAAGATACCCCTGTGTTGCCGAAGTAAGCAATTCTCTATTTTTAAGTATTCAATACATAAACAGCTGTGTATTGTTGTTATATAGTGAAACCTTGTGATTACAACTGTTACTATATTTACAATTCACCTTCATTTATTTGGGTACAAATAATGATTTTGATTTTTTTTTGTTTTCTGTTTGTCCATGTATGTGGCCTATATGAGTATATGACTATCTTTGTGAGATGGTAAAAATAAGAAATTGAAATTGTGAGAATACATGTATTATCAACATTTACTTGGCATGTAAAACTTCACTTGTAGTATATGTTTCCTTTGTTTCATTTAGCATTTATTTGAGACAAAAGCTCTTTTATTTCAAGGAGAATTCCCAAGTTGAAGCATACCCCTGTTAGGCCAAGTAGAAAAGAGGATCTTGACATGACCCCCAGAGCCTCCCCCTCCCCACACCAGACCAAGGTACTGTACACTACACCAAGTATTCAATTTTGATAACTGGCAATAAATATTACTGTTATGTGTCTTAGGCAGATGAGCACCTAACTTCTGAGATTTTAAAAATAGACTTGCAGTTGTCTCAAAATGAGAAAATTTGGCTTCATATTTTGAACAACTGTGTTCAGAAATGTTAATTGAGAAATCCTGGGAAGATCAATTATTCGTGCATATTTTTTTATTCTTAGGTTCCTGTAATTCAGCCATCTGTTCCTGATGTATCATTAATATTCGAGGATGAAAATTTAAACTGTATGGATATCAACAAAAATACCCCCGAGAACATGAATATTCCAAGCAGGCCACCATTACAGGTTGTTAACAGGGTGCTCCAGGCCCCTGGGGTGCCCACACATACACATACTAGGCTAAGTGGAGGGAAACCAGGAATGCTGGAACACATGTATAAACCTATGGTGACAAAATCAGGTGGTAAGGTATCCCCACATTTACAAAAGGAAAACCAACCTGATGATGGGACTCCGAGAGCCCCTGTTCACCAAAGACCCCAACATCCTGAGGCTCACCATGGTACATCACAACATGGCCCTGGGTATAACGCACACCAGCATGGTCCAAGTGGAGGTGTTAGGGCACACCATACAAGAGCTACACCACCCGCTATGTCCCCACAATGGGACTACACCACAGCACATAGACAAATGTATAGGGGTTATCCACCAAATCAAATGAGCCCCATGCCTGTTAATATGAACTACCCACCATATCCAGGTATGTACGCAAGTCCACCTTTTATGCAAACAATGCCAATGCATCCCTATTATGATCCCCGTCTCAGTCCTCAATATCCTGGCATATCTCAAGGCTACATTTATGGACAACCCTCCTCAGGACCAAGGCAACTTTCTGACAATGAAGATATACACCGCAATCAAAGGAGAAAAAGAACATCCGTTAAATCAACTGGTGTTCAACCAAATAACTCCTCCGCTGCTACCAAACAGGTCACATCCGTTGCAAGTGATCAAATAAAATCAGGAGATACTAAGAGTGGTGCGTTAACTGAGATTTCTGAGCAGTCTGTTTCACCAAATTCACATAGGAATGCACAACCACCAGGCCCATCAGCTGAGGAGCCAAATTTAAAACCACATTCGAAATCTAACCCTGCAAGTCCAGAAAACAATGGTGCCCTTGGTGTTGTTTCCACACAATCAATCTCCAACTCAAATCCTGCCACCCCTACAATATCTATCTCAAACCCTACTACCCCTGTATTTGGAAGCACAAACCCTACCACCCCTGCAATGTCTGATCAGAATTCACAAGTTGCATTCTCGAGCCCCGCACTATCTGAAGTGAGTGCCATGACAACCCCAGAAGTTTATAAGCTACTCATGCACCAAGATTCCCAGCTCAGATTACTACAAAATCAAATACAACAGCTGTTATCTGTCACCAATGCCTCCCCATCACAACCAGCTCTTCCCAGCATGCATGATAACAAACCTTCCCAACCGACAGAGGAGGTCATTACCCAAGCATGTCTCAACACAACTCAGGACACAAACCCGAAACAACCACCTGAAAATGCTCAAGCTATGGTAACACAAGAAATCACTGTTGCCAGCAGCCCTATAGCTCAAGATGAGGCTTCCGTTACTCCAAGGGAGGATGTATCCCCATTCTCAGCTGATACATCAAGTGATGACACATTATGCTCCACAGATGATGACCCCCAGCCAAGGCTTCCTGGGGACATCACCATGGAGAGTATGATGTCACAGATGATAGTTGACATCCCCAGCTACCAATCTACCCCTGAAAGGTAAGACACACTACACAGCAGTGTAGCAGTGTTTTAAATAACACAAATTGTCAAGTTTGAATTGTACATTGCTATTCCACTTGCTCATGATACCAGTATATTGTATCACATCATTGATGAGTATTGTCACAATGACAGCTTGGTCAAAATTTTGACGCCTCTCCACTTGTTAAAAAAAGATCATATTATGTTTCCAGGTATGGTGACCGACAGGCAGATAGTCCTCCTGTGGAGAGTGTCAGTATGTGTGCAAACATGGCAGACTCCAGTACCAGTTCAGAGTCTGAAGATGAGGATGAAAGGGAATCTGAAAAGTATCTTGACAACCAGAAGGAGTACTTTCAATCACTACTGGTGAGAAATTATGATCTTGTTACTTCACCAGTAAGAAGTACCGTTTGACATTGCTGTTTGACATTGTTGTTAGTCAGCATCTGTCACAAATTGTTACACTTTTGTAACAACTCTATCACCATATGGCATTCTGTTGTATAAATGCCTTGTATTGTTCTTACATATATGATAAGGAACAAATCATATCAAACTTTGAAATCTCACAATACTAATGCCATATCAGTCTTATTGTTGTTTCATCTCTTTCTTTTTTTCTGTATTCATTTATTCCACCCAGAGTATTAAATAATGCATATAATACATACAATAATACAGGTCAGTTTAGGTCGTTTCTAGCAATAATCTTCATTAATTTACCTAACTTCACGGAATGCTTAACATTTGACAGTAAACCTTTAAATTTGAACATGTTCGGTTGTTTAATGAAATATGTGTCTCCAGAGCAAATCATTCTTCTGCATTAAAATCTCCACTGTTCATTCTCAGATAGTTGCTAATGTGTTGAACTCCTTTGTTCTATAGCATATGATGAGATAATAGCAGCCACATACATGAATAAATGAATTCCTGCATTTCAGGGTAATGTTCAGCAACTTCTAGCTAAACACGCAGAGGAAAAAGGAAAACAAAACCCCAGGCTATCATTACCTGCTGGGAAAGTTACCTCCCCTGTTCAGCAAACCAGGCGTCTTTCAGATCTTCATGAGCGACCAAAAGAAAGGCAGCATGACCCACCCCAACATAATGTATTCGATTCCACAATGAAGCAGTTGAAGAAGATGGGAGTTGAAGTCTCTCCTGAGAAAGATGCAGCTGAGAGGTGGGTAACATTTGTTAAACTTAAAAGGGCTGTTATATCTCTAAAATGTCTCAATTTTTAAAATTCAAACAGCAACCAATTTGAACAGACTTTGATACAAAGCTCCTTTACTGACATAACAAAGGCTTGGAAAATGCTCATCTAGTGAAGTGTATAGCATATGCAAAAAAATGTTAAGCGGTGCCTATTAATTCACAAAAACTATGGGAGTAATTTTATTTTGATGATCTTTAAAATGGTGTTTCTTACCATCAGAAATAGGCATTGAGTCCTAAAGTATATTTATCTTCATTTCGGAGTTTGTCTATCACGCACAGTACATGATAATATGCAATGCAATTAAGTATTTAGTAATAAAGTCTTAATAAAGTTTATCCCTTTACAGGCTTGGTGAAGGAAGCTTTATGTTTGATCCCGCTTTGTTGCCCAAAGTTAACTATGTCTCCATGATGTTAGAGTCAACTGAGACAGATCTTAGTGCAGATGTCAACACTATAGCTATGAAATACCTTAAGGATGACCAGCTCACTGAACTTCAGAGGTTCTCATCCAAAGCAAGAAAAAATCAGCGTGGCAAATCAGTTATGTTTGAGCATATAGCTGAAAAGACTACAAGTGATATGACTATGTATGCAAATAATATGTCATTCGCAACTAAAAAATATATGCAGAGATATGGACTGATGAGTTGGGGAGAGGAATCAACAGATTCTTCTGGGATAGAAATGCAATCACCAGTAACTGTACAGGAGTCACCAGTGACTATAGGTGAATCACCAGTGACTGTAGGTGATATCATGCAAAAGGTTCATGAAAAACTAAGTCCAGAAAGACCTGAAAGTGTTTGTGATCAACGTATTAATTCAGATAAGGAAAATAAAAAACTGGACTATGCAGGAGATGTTAGTCTTCCACATAAGGATAACAGGCGATTGACAAACAGTGAAAAACCAGTCATGATATTTAATAAATCAAACAGAAAATCGTTAGAGACTGGAAAAAAGTCATCTGGGAATATTTTGGATGTTGAAAGATTAAAACAGTTGCCTAAATTGTTGTGAATTGTTGTAAAATGTTGTATTTATTTATATCAGTCTAAAACATGTTCTGCTGTTTGTGCTGTATATATTATTTTTGTAAAAATGGTAATTGTATTATAATAATGTCACCACCAGAAGTGGTGTTCGGAGATCGGCGTCTGTCACAATTTCCAATAACTTACAAGGTGATGACATTTAGTCATTTTAATGCCTTGGTTTATGTATTGTAACAGACATGGCATTTAAAATGTGTTTATTGAAATTGGAGGAGGAAGGAAAAATTGATTTGCTAAATATATTTTGATAAAATCCCCATTATTAGTATACTCTGAATTAACTATTGATATATTATTGTAGACATAAATCTGAATTCTCTGTAGAATGTATTATTTATTTTTATGCTTGTTGTAAATATGCTTATTTATTATTATGTCACCACCACAAGTGGTGACATATTGTTATGGTCTTTGCGGGTGGCAGTTGGCGTCTGTAACAGATTCTTACAACCTCCAATAACTTAACAAATACTCCTTAAAATGACTTCAAATTTTTCCAAAATCATCTCCAAGTTCTCAGAAGTTCAAATCTGACTTTAGATTTGAGATTTGACCTTCAATGGCCTTCTCAAGGCCAAAATAGTTCAAAAAGGTCTTTTTTCAACCTGCTTCAAATTGACCATGTTTTTTTTTCAAAATCATCTACAAGTTCTCAGAAATTCAAATCTGACTTTGAGATTTCATATTCAATGACCTGCTCAGGGTCAAAAAAGGTCTTTTTCAACTTGTTTCTAATTGACCAATTTTTTTCAAAATCATCAAGTTCTCAGAAGTTCTAATCTGACTTAATATTGAACTCAAAATATTGAGAGCAACAAGGTGGTAACTTGTTAATGCCTTATCTAGATCATTGCAAAGGCTCATTAAAAAGGAAGTGCTATAATCAGACACATTGTACTTAGCAGTACTGTAGTAATCTGATCTAATCAATGGCTCCTTCAATTATTAACAAAGATTTTGACATATTACATACCATGAAAATAAAAAGCAATAATTATTATGAATTATTAATAATATTTGAAAATGATTTATTGCTATAGCTGGTTAGTATACATATAGATTTTATGGGATATGCCAAAACAGGATGCCATTTTAGAATATATCACTAATTTACTATTTCAACAAATTTCTCTCAAGTTTTGAGACTCCTATTACTCTTAGCAAACTAATTCAACTTGGTAATCAACTTAGGAAAATACTTTTATTAAACAAAAATGACCCGAGTCTTACCTCAATATTCCAGATCCCCTTTATCTATTTCACCACCAGATGTGGGAGGTGTCTAGTTAGGAGAGGTTATGGGAGCTTGTAGCTAGACTATAATGACCACTAAAGGAGGCGTTTATTAGAGAGAGTTGTTTACTAACACAAGTTTCACTGTATTGTCATTAACATATGGTGTCATAGCATGCTACTAACTGACTGCAGCATTAAGTTCTGTTTTCAATAACATAAATAACTTTTAATTTTGTTCCCTGTACAACTTACAAAGTATTAATTGTGCTTCAATATTTCTGAGATAAATACACATCAATGGTGCATACTACATAACACCATGTTCAGATGTTAGAGTATTGTTTTGTATTTTTATCGCACTTTGAAAAAGTGCTATATTGTCGTCGTCTTGTGCTGTTGGGCGGGCGTTTGGGCGTGCGGGCGGGCGGGACATAAACTAAATCTTGTCATCAAATTTCCAGGATAACTGCTTACCTGTTCAACTTGAAATTTTTACAGATGCAAGAGCAGACTAGTACCAAGATCTGATTAGGTTAAGGGCATGCTGGGTAAACTATGTGGCGGCCATTTTGAATTTTTCAACAAATCTTGTCATCAAAATTCCAGGAAAACCACTTATCCGTTCAACTTGAAATTTTTACAGATGCAAGAGCAGACTATTGCCAAGATCTGATTAGGTTTTGGGTATGCTGGCTGAATTACATGGTGGCCATTTTGAATTTTTGAATTTGGCGGCCATTTTGAATTTTTCAACTTGCTCCAAATTGACCAAATTTTTTTTTTTAAAATCTACAAGTTCTCAGAAGTTCAAATCTTACCTTAGATTTCAGATTTGACCTTTCATTCACCTTCAGTGACCTTGAAAAGGTCAAAAAAGTTGATTTTCTAAATTGATATTTTGGATTTAAATTTAGGTCAGCTTAATTACAAAACACCTACTGAGGTCTGAAAAAGTGAAATTTTAAAGGTCGAAAGTCAAGGTCATTAAACTAGGTCACAAATGATGTTATCCAAGTTTCTCAAAGTTTGAGACTACAAATCAATTCTTGTCATCAAAATTCCAAGAAAACCGCTAACCTGTTCAACTTGAAATTTTTACACATGCAATAGCAGACTAGTGCCAAGATCTGATTAGGTTAAGGGCATGCTGGGTAAACTACGTGGTGGCCATTTTGAATTTTTCAACAAATCTTGTCATCAAAATTCCAGGAAAACCACTTATCCGTTCAACTTGAAATTTTTACAGATGCAAGAACAGACTATTGCCAACATCTGATTAGGTTTTGGGTATGCTGGCTGAATTACATGGTGGTCATTTTGAATTTTTCAATTTGGCGGCCATTTTGAATTTTTCAACTTGCTCCAAATTTACCCAATTTTTTTTTTAAAAACATCTACAAGTTCTCAGAAGTTCAAATCTGACCTTAGATTTCAGATTTGACCTTCAGTGGCCTTGAAAAGGTCAAAAATTTAATTTTCTAAATTGATATTTTGGATTTAAATTTAGGTCAGCTAATTACAAAAGACCTGCTGAGGTCTGAAAAAGTGAAATTTTCAAGGTCGAAGGTCATCAAATTAGGTCACAAACAATGTTATTTAAATTTTCCCAAAGTTCAAGACTACAAATAAATTCTTGTCATCAAAATTGCAGGAAAACCGCTAACCTTGTCAACTTGAAATGTTTACAGATGGAAGAGCAGACTAGTGCCAAGGTCTGATTAGGTTTTGGCCATGCTGGGTAAATTGCATGGTGGCCAGTTTGCTCTTCAAAGTGCGATATTTATCACTGTGTGTCTTGTTATTGTTTTGAGTTAAATCATTTTTTTTAAATGCAAATCGGGAATTATTGCTATTAAATTGTACTTAGTGCAAATGTATTTTAATGTGAGGAATTATTAGCAAATTATAGGCCTATATGTTTTTATTAGAATCCAGTTAAGATAAGAGTTTTCAAAGTGGTGGATGTCAGTGACTGCATTTTGTAGTTTCCTCTTATTATACTCATTGGTCGACTAAAAGTGTGAAACTCAACATTCAGTTGGGGGGGTTAAAGTTGGCTCTAGTTACCATAAATACTGTGTTGGACTGTCAGAATAGCTATGGGCCTACATCAGGTGTTAAGAAAGCCAGAAAAAAAGAAACTTGAAGGTCCCTTCTGGTGCAGATTAAGATAAATTATTGAAAGTGAAATCGACCTCTAACATTTGGGTGCTAGATTAATAATTTATACTCAGGCTTCCATGCTATAAGACTATCAAGTTCCAACTTGAAAAAGTGTATAAAAACTTTTGATTTATGATGCTAGGGATTTACTACGCTTATAGTATAGAAATCAGAAGTAGCGGATTGATAAGCCACATCAATAAGTCCTAGTTTTGTTATGACTAAATGAAATCAAAACTAGAAAAAAAGATTTATGAATCATATCTCTGGCGATCGTTAATTAATTAGAGTATCAGTATATAATTATGGTTTAAAAGACTTACCAAATACTATAACTGATAACTCGAAGAAGGATTACTTTGAAAACTGAAGCATTTTGTGCTTTGATGACGCCAGATTAATAAATGAGTTTTAAGTTTTTAGCAAAATTGAACCAGATAACCTTGAAGGCAACTTTGAAGACAGAAGATTAATGAAGGAGTTAATGAAAGAGAAGTACATTTGTATTTAAAGTGCAAAGTGAAGTTGGTATGCAGAGGACAAAAAAGAGACTTATTTTGTATGTTGGAACTACTGATAGTAATTCATTAAGATAATTATACAAGTTTTCAGAAATAATGCTTAAACAGTATTTTAACAAGCTAAATCTTCTATATTGTATCGTCATTTTAATGATAATAATGAATGGAGTTTTATACGGCTTGTATTTAACAGGAAATAATTATAACATTTTGCCAACTGAAATAACTTATAATTCATCTAAACAAAACGCTCTTCCAAATTTATTACTTATCATAAATATATCATCGAAGAAGCCTAATCAGTTTGACACAACTGAAATAGATGAAAGTATTACAAGAGCATCAGGCAGCATCGTAAGAACAGAGGCTACTTCAAAGGAAATTATGGATATAACAAAAGAGCCAGTGTTAATACAAAATGGGGGTGACAATTTATCATTAACGCAAACTATAACAGATCTGCCTTTTGAAAATGTATCGTTTGATGTAACAACAACAGGTGGAGCTACACGTATCACAACTACTCAAATTCCAAGATCATATCCTGATGTGTTCAAACCAAAGATGACTGACATTGAGAAAAAAATAGTTGTTGAAATGTTAGATACATTTGACAAAATTACCAAAACTTACAATTTGACATATTTTATATATGGAGGAACTATGATAGGATCCTGGAGGCATCATGGAATAATACCATGGGACGATGATATAGACCTCATGATGAATGCTTCACAGAAGGCACAAGTCTACACAGCATTGTCATCTCAAAATCCACTGTATCAGGTGTGGAGACCACAGGGGAAGATTTTCACACAGGACTTCCAGTGGAAATTCTACAGCGAATCATCTAGGACAATACCCCACTATCCTTGGTGGAAATGGCCATTTTTAGACATTTTCTTCTTTAACGAAAATGCAACTCATTTATGGGACCATCATTCCAAGAACCATGGTTTTCTGCTCAAGAAGTCTGAAGTGTTTCCATTATCACTTAGACCATTTGAATCACTGTGGCTTGCTTCTCCCAGACAAATATCAACAGCCTTAGACAAATGGTACAATATGTCGATATGTGCCTCTCCAACATGGGATCATCAAACTGAACGTTATACCACAAGCCACACAAGCGTTTCTTGTGAAGAACTTTATCCATATTTCCCCTTTGTTACTAGGACAGTAGATTGTATTGAGACATTGAAGCTTGGAGGCCATGTTCTACATTCTAAATATGTACGCTGCTGAGATCCAAGATGGGTATTTAGTATTATTTATGGTGATGTTAGAATAGGAGTATCTATTCTATTTAATGTATTTATAAAATATTACATCATGATGTATACTAGGAATATATACTAGGACACAAAAAAGATCTTGTGTTGAAACTCATACATGTAGCTTTTCCTTGCGTCCCTATCAAGTAATATATCATTGTGTTCCTTATGGACAGTTACATAAAATTGCAAGGTTTCAGAATTCAGTGGTGTCACATGTATCAAAGGATGTTGGTACGGGTCATTTAAAGGGCAAGTTATGGTCATCACGGCAGAAGAGTTCAGTCCAAATGTCTGTGACAGTTATGCACAAAGGTGTATAGACAGGATTCGTGCAGTGGCTTATAGGGAGGCCAGGGACCGTTCTACCTTTATCATTAAAAAAAGGTTGGCAGACTTTTTTCGGGAACACCCTTTGTTTCTTAAACTGCAATCTCATGTAACTTTTCATAATGTACAAAATTATATCATGCTTCATGTAAATGAGTTTGGAGGGGGTGCATATATATGAAACACCCTGTACCATGTGATGTAAGTGTAATATGGATTATAGATGATGTGCCTAGTTTAGTTAGAGTGATTTATACTGTTATTAATATTTTAAAAGAATGGATTTATATGATTTCTTGGTATTAGATTGGGGTATCTGTATGAAAGCTTTCCTTTTGACGTGTTTTATGGATATGTAGATATTTATTTTTTCTAAAGGTTTGCCTAGAAGACGTGATGTTACATCATGTCGTTGTTCATTGATATCATTCTTAAATAGGGGGTCAGAATGTTCTCGATAGTGTTTATTGAGTATGAGTCGAATGAAATGTTTTACGGGTAATTAAATCAGAATTTGACAGCAAACACTAATAAAAAGAATTTGATATTCTCCGTAACATTGACTTTAAATAGTATTGATACTGAATGTGAGGCTTCAATAAAGTTGATCATATTACTGTTTGGTTTAAAAAATAATGGTGAAGAAAATTCTTTTGTTGTATGACATTACTAGTAATTGCCTCAACGAAGTGGACATACTGTCATTGTAATGTACAGACATGGCATACTCAAGCAAAGTGTAGTTTGGAGTGGAATATGCTAAAATTACAATAAATGAGATTTGTATGAGGATGCCCCGTTTCATTTTGAATACAGTACCAAATGCTCTCATAAATGATCAGTTCAAAACACAAAATAAAATATTGAACATAATTTATTTTCACTTTCACCACAAAATCTTCCAAATGTGCTTATAATGTCATCAATTTAACTTTTACAATAAGGTTTATATCCCTTAGTATCAAGGTAATATCCACCACGGGCCTTGGTATCTGCATTATATCCCATTGAGGTACAGCGCAAACCACTGCAATTTCTTGAACACCTTCCCTGAAAGAAATAACAGGTCTGTCTTCAATCTTCTGAACTAAAGAATTTTTAACATTACATCAATATACGGATAAAAATACTGTTTAGTGTATATGTGCTCAGACTGTCTAAAACACATATTACCATGTTTTTGGCCAACAAGAAGGCAGTTAATGATATTCAATATTCTGATTGGTGCACATATTTTACATATCCTTGGACAATTTGAAAATTTTAAACAAAGAGTTTATGTTGATCAGAATTGTTGATCAATTTGGTATTTGCTGAGAATTGTATAATATTATACATATGTCTGATATATTCTACATATGTCTGATATAACATACAGTTCTCCAATTCCTGTAATCATCACATTTGTTGGCAGTGAACTTGCATCTAGAGTTGATTGATTCGGTGAACAGCTCACAAACTCTCATGTGACTGCAGCCAAACACCTTGGCCACTGCAACAATATCATTAATTCATTAAGTCCAGCAGAATCAATTATAATCTTTTGAGACCATGCCTGGATGGAAAGTCATTATACAGGGTGACACAAAATAAGTGCCACCCACATAATGTTGCATAACTTTTTGTCTTATCTGTTTAAATTCTGACTTGTTCCTTTGCACAGTAAGTAAAAAAAAAACAATACTACATGGAGCAACTCCACGAGAAGTTTCAGGATGACTAGCTCAACTAGGTGCACTTTTATGACCATTACAAGATGTGCTCTAAATATCGTACATTTCATTGGAAGCACACTTCTGGATTCTATTGGCAAAGTTATTGACCACATTCGCCTGCAATAAACTATCCAGATTTTTTATCCAGGTGTGCCTGACAGTCAGAGTACATCTTATAACGCTCATAAAAGTGCATCCAATTGAGCTAGTCATCTTACACTTCTTGTTGAGTTGCTCCATGGTGCTAAAGAACAAGTCAGAAATCATACAGGCAAAAAAGGTCATGCAACTTGATGTCAGAGCACTTTTTGTGTCACAAATAGTAGTATATAAGCGCATCATTGTTTCACACTTTGTATAGAAACTTTTTAGTAAGAATTCAAAAATACTCCAGAGTAGAGAATTCCAAAATGAGTGGGCTGCATTTTTGTGACACTCTGTATTCTACTTACAGTCTATGTTTCCCCTCTTTTCTCTGGCACTGTACTGCAGACAACCAGGCTGTCTGGTGCCACCATTAGGCCAGAAGTCAACATCACCCAGTCTAAGTTTATTGCCAAATTCAGGTAGATTTCCAGCATTTGAGTGAATCACATCAACAAAATCGGCATCCCTGGAGTCCAATCTTGCATTCTTTTGAGCCACTGTGAACAAAGGACCAGCTGGGTCTAGACCTATAATGTAATAATGTAACCTATAATGTATCAATTCATTCATTTGTCATATTTTAGAAGATTCTACCATATCATTTCCATTCAAAATATGATTTTCTCTAAACTGATTGGATTGATTATGCAACATTTTTTCTTAAAGGGGTAACAAAAATAGAGAAGAGTTAAAAATTGTCACTACTGCTCACGACATTGCATAATTATGCATATTTTGTTAAAATTCACTCGTTTTTCAAGATAATCCTTTGATTGTTAATTTCATCTGGCCAACATTTTCACAAAATCTAATAATAAACCTGGAATGGTTTGATTGTTAAATATTACACTACATATACCTAACCAAAAGTAATGTAGAAACCTCTTGCATAAATCTCACCTGTAATTCTAGCAAACTTATACCTCTTGCCTGCAAAGCCACATACATGAGAGCCAAGACTGTGACCAATACAATGCACTTTGCTCCTTGGGACACCCCTTGCCCTAAGCATTTCTGTGAGATGGGCTCCTATCACACGTGTGTTTGATGCACATTGGTCAAATTTCAAAGGAGACAGAGATGATCCTTTTGACCAATTCACAGTAATTACATTAAAATCACCCTGTAAGGTAAATCAATTCTGTAAGTCTGTGGATGAATATTATAAAAAATGGGTACAGAAAACCTCTCTAAGTGGAACACCTTTGGTACCTAAAAAGTGTTCCACTTGAGAGATGTTCCACTTCTAGAGGTTCATTTAACAATAAGTCAATAACATAGATGCGAGTAGGAAGTTACCAGTTTCACCACCAGGTGGCTTGTTCGGGTCAGATAACATGGGGGTATAGTAGAAAGTTCTCTTAACTTAAATTACATCTGTTTTAGTGGTTCAATTTTCATATAGCCCCTATGTATCGAAAAGTTATGTAAATCAAAGTATGTCCAGTAAAAGAAAATGGTATATGTCCAAAACAAGAAAAGATATTTCACTTTTTGTGATTTTGTAATATGGGGTCTATGGGGAATCAACCCGAACTAGAAGTCACATTTTCAAAACAAATTTAATTTTCAAAGTTAATGAACAATTTTCGAAACCATATTACGAGAAGTACTTTTACATGTAGATTTCAAATATGACATCAGTTTGACTGAATTTTGAATATTTAATGACGCAAATTAAGATTATTTCTACTCGCACCTAGTCTATTGACCCTGGGACTCTGAAAAGTGTTCAACTAACAGAGGTGTTCCACTTTACAGGTTTCACTGTATATTTGACCATGTTGACCAATTTCCCAATTTCTAAGATGGGTTTAATGGAGCTGAAAAAAACCTCCCAAATCTTATGCAAGTCCAGATAACTGTAAAGCAAGTATTCCATTTATTGAACATGCATCTTATTTACCTTTCTCAATAGTTCTTTGACCATATTCAAGATCCAGGGCTCTCTGCTGCCAGAGTTGAAACCATGAACAATCACCTTTACGTCATTACGAATATTGAATGTTGAGCTGCAGTATATAGATACATGTAGAATAGTGCATGTATAGTACAATTAGTGCCTTTGATTTTGGAGGGGTATATCAGGCATCTTTAAATGCTTCTTCAATATGTCTAAAACAATATTAAGAGAAATATTTTTTGAATGATTACATATTTCTAATTTGCGCTTTTAATCTTGTTTTTGTTTTTTGGGGTGGGATAGGACTTTCTCTTTTCTCCCATTTTAATATGTGGTAGTGTTGACAAGAGTACATATAAAACAATACAATATATGGGGCACTCATACTCCTATAGTCCCCTTCCCAAATTGATTTAAAAATATCATGGAAGGTGGTCTTGTCAATTGTAGACTTACGGTACAGAACTCTTACTGATGTGACCAGATCCTCTACGAGTGTTAAGTGTGTAAGTTATCCCTGCCTTTGATGGACTCCATGGTAACGGCATGTTAAGGAATGATCCAAAGTTGTCGAAACATCCAAGCGATCCATGACAAACTCTGAAATGTAAAATATCATATATTTCAAGCATGGGTTCACAATCTCCAGCACACAAATAATTGCAATATCAATGCCAAAGATTTTTTTAACACATTTTTCAAAGAAATTAACCTTTCAAAATTGAAAAACAATGACAGCTTTGGTTAAAAAATTGCCAAAAATGTCACCCGGGTCTCTCTTTAATTTTGTCCAATATGATACCTCTTATATATTTTGATGGTATGGACCCTCCACATTGAATAAAGGTAAAAATATACAAAACCTATTTTTGAACTAAAATAATTTTGAAACCTCACCTGGCAGCCTCGAAAGAAGCAACTTGAGCAAGAATTACTAACAACACTGCTGACCACATGATACCAGCTGTGCCTTACACTGGGAAGCTGGCAACTAACTGACTGCCAATCTTGTGTAAATGAACGTGTTAAAGGATGGGTTTGTCTGAAGGATGTCTACTGATAGGGCAGCGGGATGTTATCATTCACATTGACAATGGCTGATAAGATGATAATCATGGTCATGATCAGTTAAATGACTGCAGTAAGGAACTGTCAAAATGATTGATCCAACACTGAATAGTACACTGTCAGAAAGTTGCCCACTCATTGTTTTTTCAATGTAAAGATGGCACCTGACAGACCCTTCTGTCAGTACCCTTTTTGAACACTCATCAACAAGTTGATGACAATTTTAAATGCTATCTTTCAGCAAATGAGAGGAAAGTATTCATCAAAATGAGAGGAAAATTAATCTTCTATTGTTGTTAAACATGAAACATGAAGCTGATACTTGGAATCCATCAAAAATGATTTGGTGATATACTACATAATTATTATTTATTATAACATAATCGTATATAAAGAAATCACAGATGCAAAATATAACATTTGAAAATTACATTTATTAAATCACTATGGTGTGGTTGAATACAAATCAAAATAAAGTATTGCCTTTAGTCCATTAATAAATGATGCCACTTCAGAATATGAGAATTTGTATTATGGTATGAATACAAATATTCACCTGAAAACTAGGTTGGCATTAAAATCACAGATTAGTAAATGGATGATGCATATATACAGTAAGGTACATTATATAAACAGTTTTAAAAAAGGCCTTAGCATTTACATTTTACATATTCAAAGTCTATATAATTTTTAGAACCTGTATGCCTTACAATGCTTACTATTCAAACTTATCAAAATAAATAAGGTAGAAAAAAGTTAATTTCATTAAAAGAGCTACTTTTTGAAATTTAATGTACTTGATGGGTTTGAATTGAGAGGATATATCCAGGGACAACCCACTTTTACAGAAGTATTATCTACCTTTAGGAACCAGCTGGATATTTCTACCATTTTTCTACCAGAATTTGACCAAAGTACCCAAAAACTTAATATAAACACCTCCCAATATGTAAAGATTTTACAGACTCCAAGCCATATTCACTTTAAACAGATTTCACTGTACATGTGTACTAAATATAATGCCTGGTCTTCTGTATAATCAATCTTATATTTGTTCATGTAGATTTTGATGAAAACTTATTTATTTACATACCATATATAATATAATACACACAGTTGTAGTATTATTGTAATAATATTCTCTATAAATCACTAAATACAATATTATAGGGCATTTCATGACTCATAATGAACCAGAGGAAACCTGTATACATGAAATGCTATAAGGCTATAAGTACCTTGATAGTGTTCCACTTTATTTCTGAGAGGCTTCACAAACAGATGTTCAAATCAACAGGTTTCTCTGTATGTATATACATTAAGCACCATGTATCACCCTGTATGTCTTATATTTTAAATGTTTCTCTAAACCATAACAACAAATTGAAGTCCTTTTCAGAACTAGACAACAGCAACGCCAAAGCGTAGCAAATCCCATCGAACAGCCATGGCTTGCATATTTACAAATAAAGTATATAGCACAAATGGCAGCCATTTTTCAAAATGGCCACCTTCTACCAAAAGTGTCATTAGACAGTGTGCCATGCTTATAGTATTCACATACCAAATATAAACAAGTGGCCATTTTGAAAATTGGCTTTCGAGCAGAAGAGGGTATATGTGTGCAAAATATGAACAAAATTGGGCCAACGGTATTTCAGTTATTGCCCGGACGGACAGACGTACGAACGGATGGAGGCATTTCCTATATCCCTCCGAACTTCGTCCAATGGGATAATAAGCTACTTATACCTCAGTGTTCATATACATTTGCCTCAATAAGTTTGGAGCTGCATGCAAATATCGTATCTGTCTATTACATTAGTGAGCGAAATTTTAGTTTCCAAACTTCAGAGCAGGAGTGTATATGACATGTTAACTAAAACTAATCTCATACCAGTGCATAATAAAACTTGAGGTTAATCTCTATATTATTCACTACCCTCTGTACATTGCAAGAAATATTATCAAATACTGTTTATAAGAAAATAGCTTCTAAGTTGGCATAAAAGAAAACATCCAACTGTCAGAAAAAATCCAGAAATAATATAAAGACACCACAATTTCATGATTTGTACAAAAGATGTCATATCACAAAAATTGTTTTAATTTTTATGTGCTATTCTATAACAATTAAATTTCACATGTACATTGTAATTTAAACATTACGTTTGAATAATTGTTAAACAGTAGACCGTTATCTATTTAACATGTCCTATGATAGAGTTCAGATGCAAAGAACTGAAACTAAGTCCCTGGATCAGGTTTGACATTTTAAAGTCTATGATACATGTATACAGGATATCCTAATGGTTTTTGAGGGATATCATTTTTATCAATGGGTTGATATGGTCCACCTCTACTAGTGAGCACAGCGAGATGGACATGATAACCTGAGAAAGTCATAGGATTAGGATATCATATTTATCCCATGGATTTCAATATATAACTCAAGGGTTCTAAAAAAGATCAACAATTTAAATATTCCAAAACTCAAAGATTGACTCAAATTGAACAAGTCTTGTGTCAAGTTGTTGCATATATACATTAAAATCATTTTAATAAGCACATAATGGGTCAGAACTTTATAATGATCAATCAAGTAAGGCTGTTATATCAAACCATTTTAGGTGCAACATTTAAAACTAATAAAAAATTACAATAGAGCCTCCAAAGGGTGATATAATGATGGTATCCATCAGATACTAGTGGATGTAACATCAGTTAGTCAGATACAATTTTACTAGCACATACCAAAAGTATCTTGTGTCAGGCTGTTATCCCCATATATATTTAGTATCCATGGTATAAATGGAATATATCCAACCCAGGTCTCAGATATGCCATATATTCTCTGGCATATCTTCAAAAAACCCATTCAGGTATGGGATAAATGTTTATAAGAACACTAAAACCTGTATACTAGCATTATTAAACATTTCCAGTCCATACACTTGTATTATATATTGTGGTGCCTGTATTAAGGGACACTACAATATTAACATAATAGACTCTGATGTTATAAAATATCCTCCATTCCTTTAAACAACTCCTCATAAGAAGTTTTATTTAATAGATGTATGAGATAATATTGCCAACTGTTAACCTAGGTGCATTTCTCAGATCATTCCGAAAGATGATTCCATAGCAATGTTAAAAACTTTGCTGCCTGATTGCCAATGACAACCAGTTTTTTCGCTCTTAGCATTGGGCTCAGAAAACTGGTTGTCTTTTGAACAATGGACTGAATATCAATATGTTTATATGTAATTGGGGCAATCATGTTTTACCGTAGTCTTGAGCCCTACTAGGACAATGGATTTGAACTTCTTCAAAGGTAAAATTTGAGAAATAGCTCTTGAGCACTATCATAGAAATTATAGAAATAAAAATAGGACAAAATATGAATTATATGTACATATTTGGTACCAGAATAACTGATTTACAGTGAAAATTTTACTAAAATAAACCATACGCATGTATTTTGAGGTTTGACAGACCGTGTGGATTTAGGCATTAATCTAGTGTTCAAAGTAGTTTGAACATTGCATTGCATCCCTTTGGGTCTACATATAGCCTGCATTAAGCAACATTTGTGAGTATGACTGATAGTGAGCTGCCAACTCAGGAGGTATAGCTTGTTGGCCTTGTTGCACTTGGGGAGCAGGTACCTGCACTTGTACCCCTTGGGGTGGGCCTGTCTGGGGGGAGGGGGAATTAATGGGCATGTGGGTAGGTTGAAGGGTGCTGACTGTAGGTATATACTGCTGGGGGAGGGAGGTGCTTGGGTGATGAGGGACAAGCATCGTTGGAGGCCCTATCACTTGAGAGGTCTCCATAGTAACCCCAATATCTCCACTCTCCAACACATCACGATGAGGCATTTCCATGTATGCAGACTCCACCTTCAGTTGATTTAAACTATCATGCTCAACCACTTGTGATTCAGCTTTATGGTCCTCATTATCATTAGCAATTCTAGGTTTATTTACAAGATACTCTGTTATAACTTTAGGTACAGAGGATTCCTCATCAGGTTTTAATACCTGACTAACATGATTATATGCTCGCTTGCTCTTAATCTCATTTTCATTATAATTCACTGGGTTTGAAGAATAGTGTAAGAAAGGTTGCCGCTGACGCTTCCTTGGTTGCGACACAGTAGCTAGCTCACTATGATGTTTCCTCATATGTTCTGTTAGTTTATCCTTGCGACTGCAGGCAAATTCACATTGCTCACATTTGATTGGTTTATCAGGGAGATGGGTTTTCTCATGTCGAATCAGATTGCTTTTATCAACAAAGCCCATTCCACATGTTGTGCAGACAAACGAGCGAATTCCAAGATGAAATCTTGTGTGACGATCAAGGAGTGAACGCTTTGGTGTAGAGTAAGTGCATTCTGGGAAGGCACAGCGGAAAACGTCACCTGGAGAATATTACACCAAGAATATAAATTATGAAAAACTAATCATATTCAGATACTGTAAATTGCTTTAATTTGGCAATTTTTGATTTGGCTGATTGGGCAAATTTTGAAATTTTGACTATATTTAATTTGTCAGATTGACTATCAGTACTCATATTACTCACTTCAAAGCTCGCCATCAATAACGCAATTTTATCTCTCCTGGTATCAGATTGTTTTATCTAAACCAGAGGGGACTTTGGAAATACATATAGTTTAAAATTGACATTTTATCCATTTTTCAATCAAGATTTTCACCAAAATTTATCGTGCAAGGTTATACATTGAAAGCGCACTGGACTAAAGTTGGGGGGTACAAAAAATTCGAAGCAAACGGGTGACATATACACAAATTTCGTACCAAATGCGTGACATGTATGGAATTTGCGTGAAAAGTCTGGTGTACATTTTTTGAAGTTCTTCTACAGAAATATTTTTGCTTGAGAATGTTATCAGGTAAAATACGTATTTGCGTTACATATTCTGTCACTAAAAATAATGCGTGACAAATACACAAATGGCGGGAAAGTTGGACTCCCTGCACCACCTGGTTGCTCACAATATAACTAGTTCAATCCTAAGTCAGATTTAAATTTATGAGAACTCTGTAGATGATTTTGAAAAAAATAAATTGGTCAATTTGAAATTTTTTGACCCTGAGAAGGTCATTGAAGGTGAAATCTAAAGTCAGATTTGAACTTCTGAGAACTTGACTTTGAAAAAAAAATTGGTAAATTTGAAGCAAGTTGAAAAAGACCTTTTTGACCTTGACAAGGTCATTGAAGGTAAATGTTTTTTGACCTTGAGAATGTCACTGAAGGTCAAATCAATTTGAAAACTTGTAGATGATTTTGAAAAAAATTGGTCAATTTGAAACAAGTTGAAAAAAGACCTTTTTGACCTTTTTATGACCTTGAGAAGGTCACTGAAGGTCAAATCTTAAATCTTAAGTGAGATTTAAACTTCTGATAATTTGTAGATGATTTTGATAAAAATTTGGTAAATTTAAAGAAAGTTCAAAAAATACCCTTTTGACATTTTTTTTACCTTTTTTTAACCTTGAAAAGGTCATTGAAGGTCAAATCTTAAATGTAAAGTCAGATTTGAACTTCTGAAAACTCTGTAGATGATTTGTAAGAAAATTGATGTCAGTCTAAACAGTATTTCGTAAGTTATTGGAAGTTTTAAGAATTTGTTACAGACACCAACCGCCATCCGCTGATCGTCAACTACCAATCGCCGCCACAAAAAATGGAGACCATAACAAATAAGTCACTACTTCTTGGTGGTGACATAAAAACTAATGGAGACTTAATTTGGCAGTTTCTATCAATCTGCCAAATTAAAACGGCCGTCAAATTAAAGCAATTTACAGTAATCTGAAGAATTCCTGAATTAGTAGTGCATCATTTAAATGATTTCTCTGGAGAAGGTAACAAGATTTCAGAAAAACTTTATTTCAATTTTACCCAGCATACAGAATAGGGCAAATAATTTGTTATCGTTGTGTTTAATAGCTGACCTGTATGTATGCGCTTATGTCTCATCATAGTTGTCTGATGCTTGGTCGAAAATCCACAGGAATCACACAGCCACAAGCTCACCTGAATAATATATGAAATATGTTCTAATCATAAACATTTTATATGCCCACAGATATATTCAATATATTACTTCATCTTATTTAAATCTCAGCGTCAAGTGCAACCACTCTCCAGACTGTGGCCTGAACTAAATAAGGGAGAATAACATTGGAATGAATTACAATTATTATGAAATAAAAACTCAATTTAACATTGTTCACACATCCAATTTAGCCCTAGTCTCTACAGAAAGACGCTCAGTCTAAATTCCAGATGTTAATGATAATGTTCCAATTACCTGGCTGTGCTTCTGACAGTGGGCCTGTAGCTCTTGTCTGGTATAAAACCTATCCCCGCACTGGTCACATGCATGACTCTTGTCCCCTGGAATAAAGAAAATAAACATTACATTGACATCTAAGCCCATTTAAAGCAGATACATAATTGAACACATTACATTAATTATCACATTTTCGATATTTCAAATAAATAACAGAATTAGGAGACTGTTTTATAAGTATATAGAGTTAAATATTGCATATTAATACAATATAGAGGGTGGCCCAACAGTAGGTTTGCAATTTACAAAGAGATTGTAGAATAACTGCAAACCTACTATGGGCCACCCAGTATTCAATAATTGTAAAACTTCTAGCAATCTGTTTGACTCAAGTGATGTAAATACTTAATATATAGAGATTTTTCACACAGTGTGATACAGAATCTGTACACCCCGACACTACTTCAACTGTTACCTTGTGAAATACATGACAATATTTTCTGTGCTCTACTCTAATCATTGAATACCATATCATCTTGCTAAAGCGGCAGCAACTTGCATATTACTTGATGACTGCTTTGAATATTTCACTCTCTATTCTTTGTTGCTACTTTAAATGAGCGTATTCCGGTACAGGTACATGCATTTTACAATTATATACAATAACAATTACATACAATAACAATATATACAATACAATATATACCAACCTGAATGCCTTTTCATATGTGTAGTTAAGTTACTGGGTGTCCAAAAAGAAGCTTGACATAGAGGACACACACACGGTTTCACCCCTGTATGTCTGACCCTGTGATTCAATAGCATGCTGATTTTGTCAGTCGTGTAATCGCAGTCTTCAATATCACATATAAATGGTGGACCAGTGAAATGGAGCTTGTAGTGTTCATTTAGATCAAGTCGATTACTAAAAGTGTTTGCACAAACTTTACAAGTACATGTTATACTTCTATTTTTATTTTTAGAGTCTTCGCTATGACGTGTCTGAACATGCCTTTTCATGTGATCTTTACGACGGGTTTTATATTCACATTCTGTGCATGATACCAATTGACCAGCCTCTCGAGAACGATGCGCTTTACGATTACTTTTTTCACGCTTCTTTAGTTTTTTAGCCTTTTTTTCTTCAGCAGCTTCCACTGTGTCATCATTATCTTCATTTACATATTCCTCATCAATTTCAGTTGCAGAGTCATCTGATATAATCGCTCTGGCTTTTTTAACAATTCTGGTTTTCACTTGCCGTTTTCTTTTTAACTTATAAGCCATCTTCGCAGGCTTTGCTTTTCCTATTTTACTTTCTGTGGCAATTTTCTTTGGTCTGCCTTTCCTAGTACGTTTAGTGGAGGATGCTTGTACGTCTTCATTAATATCATAGTCCAAGTCATTTGCATCATCACCATTATTATCATCCTCCACTTCAGTGAACTCAGATTTAATATCATTTGGGCTATCATCTTTCTCATCATTTTGAGTATTATCTTTCTTGTCATAATATGTGGTGTCTTTATCAATCTTGAGCACTAATTTTTCAATTTGTTTTTTGTTCTGCTTTTTTCTTCCCCTTTTCTTCTTCATAGGAGGTTCCTTAACAATCTCTTTACCATCAGACATTGAGGAATCACCTTGATTTTCATCTTTGATCTTGATCTTTACCATTCCTTGTTTTTCTTTGGAAACTTGAACTTCTTTCATGCATTGATGATCAGTTTTTTCCTCGATGTCAGGGGCCAAACTTTCAATATCATTGTCTAGGTATCCTGCATTAGAAAAGTTCCTTTTGATGAATTCTGTGAGACCTTGTGATAGTTCATTAAAAATGTAAAGTTTGGCCAATCTCTGTAATTCAAAGATGTTATCCTCTGTAACAATGACTTGGCCAGAATAGATGTAATCCAAAAGCGCCTCAAATGCAACATGGTCTTCGCAGTCAATACTGATCTGTTCAATAGCAATCATTGATGGTGTTTGTTTTAAAATAGCATCAAAGTAAGAGCTGCAAGCTGCTAAAACACAACTATGGGCGGGATACTTTCTATTCTGTAATACCAACACAACATCGCAAAATCGACTCAATTCCTTCTGTGTTTTGAATTTCTCAAGGAGGGACTTTCCATGGTTTTCATGTTGAACTATTGTTGGAATTACAATCCGAGGATTGGCCTTTAATTTTGTCTCCACATCAGAGTTAGGTGGTACATTTTGAGGTGTCACATTGTTGATATGTGAGTGCATATCTTCCCTAACACTTGCCTCTTCAGGTTGAACATTACTACTTTGAAAACTTTCTTCTGGGTTGACTTCTGAGGTTTGTTGTCCTTTCTTAGCAAAATCTTGGGCTTTTGAAGTTTCACCAGTTTTCTGAACTGTTGGTAGAGTTTCACTTGGTTTGTGATATCCATGTAAACTATCTTGCAAAATAGACCCATCTTTGACTGCAAATGACGCTGATGTGTTATAAATGTGATCTGTCTGTTCAGATACATGCTGATAGGATGATGGGTTTGATAAATCAAGAGTTTCAGATAATATCCCCTGCTCAGCACCTTCACTTTTTAGAGGCTGTACAATGTGAACTTCCTGATGGGGAGTATGCTCTATGGCCCGCTCCTTGTCGTCTATGTCTTCACCGTCCATTTCGGAATTCAGTCAAATTTATCATAAAATGAACTTAGACTATCTGCAAGTATGGCTATTTGATGTAAACATGATAATTCCACCTATTCTATCCAAATTTTAGAAGTGATTTGTTCGATTAAAGTTGTTTTATGGACCAGCCCCCATCACAAATATCTACTGCGCATCGCAATTACGCATATGTCGCTAACAATCGTAACAAATAATAGATTGTCCACAATACGGGCTTCTGACAGTTCTACAATTCAAACACAAGCGTTCGTATTGCGTTTATAGCACGGGAAAACACGTATACTATTTTCGTATAGTACACAGGAAATACATCACAAAAAGCCTATCTAATTAAAAAAATCAGATAGGTGTGGTTTTATATTGTCGTCTGTATGCGATTTATAGTACTTCCACATCTAAACTAGCTCTCAATGTCTGTCTATGTCACTAATCTGCAAAAGGCTAATGAGCCTCATCGTGGTAAGCCACGCCCTCTCCATCTCTATCCTTCTGGATAGATGCAATGCGATGTAACAGAGAGAGATACTATGAGTATCAGAATGCCGAATGAGCCCATATAAAGGACTAGGGATTTTAATAGAATTCAAGTAAACCTTAATATTTAAAAAATAGATGATTTACAACTCATTTTAAACTTGAAAGGAACCTTCTCGGTTGGCCCATGTTGTACCCCCCCCCCAGAAGTCCCGTTATGTTGAGATACCCTGGGACGACTGTCAGGCTACCGCAAGTGACACCTCGCCCTTCTTTGAGACTAGTAGCGCAGGCTTGTTGCTGTGCACCGTGGGCCATTTACATTCAAAATGGACGTATAAGATGTTCACGTGGTGTCTGATCTGAGACCAAGACAAAAACTCATTTGGAGAAGAGGCACAACTTCCACAGTGGCATCTTTGAGTATCCTTGCTGGGATCATCAGGTCTAAAGCTTTATTTGGGTTGACATTCAAAAGAAGCTTCACTATATCCTCTGTCTGAAATGTTATGACAGGCGGTATGTCCAGCGATGGACATACCGCTGTAATGTTTCGGGATGGCTGCTTTGATGGGCAGCCATTGGTAAGGACTAGAAGACTTGCTATGTAGGACATTTAGGAACGGATCTGGGAACCAACAATGGGGGGGGGGAAATTTCAGGTCAGAGAAAAAATGTCCCCTTAAACCAAAAAACCAAAATTTGGCCTAAAATTAAAAAATAAGACCTTGAATGTAATGTAATGTAGTAATGACCAAAAGGCCCACTTTTTGGGGCATTAAGGCCTTTTTGGCCCAACATTTTTTGGGCCCAATTTTTATCTGGGCCCACTTAAGCCCCCCCCCCCCAGATCCGCCAGTGCTATTTGTGTTATGGGAGCTGGTTAGGGCTTTGGAGATCTTCTTCCACAGTTGTTTTTACAGGGCACATTCTCCCTTCTTCACGCCTAACCATCGACAACGTACAGAGACAAAATGTACAGGTGTACACTTTATAGTTGTTTGAAGCAAGATTTGTGATGTAGGTTTTAAAAGTTTTTTTTCTAAGGAATATGATGAAATATTTCGTGTTAAATGTCATGTGCACGCTCTTGGCAAGACTTTTAACTTTTTAATTACGTTTACAGATTCTCAATCAGAGCACGAGTTTAAGTAATTCCACCCCGGCATAGGCCAAGGGAAAAGTAATGGTAAGCTGAACATACAGCTTACTATTACTTTTCCCTTGGCCTATGATTCCACTCATGTCCATGTGAACATTTTATGGTTAGGCGTGTTCTTGTTGGTACTCTTGGATTTCCTGAACTGCCACTGCTTCTTGCGTATCATCGTAGAAAGCACGAAAAACGATACAAATCTGGTTGTATATCATCTTTTTGGCTTACCTGGGTGGGTGCTGGCATAGATGTTGGCCAGATCGTTTTGCAGTAGGATCTGATAGGCTCAAAGAATAATTCAGGAGGAATATTTATTGAGCCACTGATCCTATTACAAAATAATCTGGCCGGGATCTATGGGTGCTGGTAACCAGTTGCACCCCGTGTCTTATTGTATTTGGCAATGTCTAAGCAGCAGGCGCAAGTAATATGCGCACAAATAGTTTGGATCGAAAATTCTGAAATATTTACAAAATGGTAAGGTAAAGTTTCGATTATCTTTGATTCTATTTGGTATCTTGAATTGTATAGTACCTTTGTAGCATCTAGAATTTGTCGAATTAATTTTGTTGTCATTTTAGGTTTGAAATATGGGCTTATGACTGTGAACAAGATCGCTGAAATATCGGATTTTTTTAGCGGGACAAAATGATAAATCCCTTGCAATTTCGAAAGTGAAAACGTCAATCAGAGTAAAATCTCATGAGTATACTAGGCAACTGACTGTGGTCTATAGCCATATTTGTAGTTTTTCAATATTAGTTCTTACTTGGGTTAGTAACGGTGTATGAAATGTTAGTCCACAGTATCAGTTATGGTCATAGGCTAAGGGTTAAGTAATAGTAAGCTGTATATAGAAGAGACAGGTGAACAACTAGGATTTAGGCCACTTGTTAACATGGCGATTTTAACATTATTTGTGTATAATTTTCAAAAAACAATGCAGAGTTGATCCAAAATTGATAGTTCTCAATTCTTACCTATGAATCAACCACATTCAAGTGATATAGAGTGAATAAAGCCGTCTTGAGGTGAGATATTCTGAAAACCTACAATTGCCTGGCAAGTTACCAGGATTTCCGTGTTGAATCATGAATGGAAGTTTGAAACAAGGAATTTGATTGGTTCCTGCTAACCGCCGCCAGTGACACCTATCTGGTTCTCTAAAATGTAATTCATTTTCTAGAAATAACAATCAATTAAAGTGTACAAAACTATAAAAGGTTTACTTAATAATTATTTATCAAAACATCTGATTCATATAATATCTTTTTAAACCCAATTTAAATGGTGAAATTAACATTTTTCTTGGAATTTTAAACTTCTAATTACAACCAATCAAATCAATCGTTACAAGATTCAATCTTTCCATGTGTCCGGAAGTTTCAACTTGCCGGGCAATTGCAGGTTCGTGCAGTTGGTGTTTTTTTATGCTGTCTTATCGAAGAGTTAGGATATAGATTTGAAATATTCAACAATCTACGTTTCGAAAACACTTTGGAGAAGATTCTTGGGAGATTTGGTGGTACGACTCGATACCAGTAAGGAGAACTCGTACCAAGACGGCAAGTTTTTGAAAAAAATTTCAATCCTAATTGTTTACCTGTCTCTTCTATATACAGCTTACTATTACTTAACCCTTAGCCTATGGTTATGGTCATATTTCAATATTTCATTTCATCCATGGGAAGAGAGGGGGGGTGACTAATTACTCCATGTGATTTCAACATGCAATCCGGTTAGGTAAATGTGTACGTTTGGAAATTGTTATGCAATCGTCATTGAAGTCACCTGTTATTTTCAGGAACATGATAACTACTAGCGGATCTAGATGGGGGCAAGGGCGGATCTGGGAACCAACATGAGGGGGCCAAATTTCAGGCCAGAGAAAAAAAATATCGGATTTTTTTAGCGGGACAAAATGATAAATCCCTTGCAATTTCGAAAGTGAAAACGTCAATCAGAGTAAAATCTCATGAGTATACTAGGCAACTGACTGTGGTCTATAGCCATATTTGTAGTTTTTCAATATTAGTTCTTACTTGGGTTAGTAACAGTGTATGAAATGTTAGTCCACAGTATCAGGTATGGTCATATTTCAATATTTCATTTCATCCATGGGAAGAGAGGGGGGGGGTGACTAATTACTCCATTTGATTTCAACATGCAATCCGGTTAAGGTAAATGTGTACGTTTGGAAATTGTTATGCAATCGTCATTGAAGTCACCTGTTATTTTCAGGAACATGATAACTACTAGCGGATCTAGATGGGGGCAAGGGTGGATCTGGGAACCAACATGAGGGGGCCAAATTTCAGGCCAGAGAAAAAACTTCCGCATTTGTGGGGAAAAAAAATTGAGGCCCATTTCCTTCAAAATTTGAACTGAAATTAGAAAATAAGGCCTTACAAGGCCCAGTAATGATCAAAGAAAGGCCCACTTCTAGGGGCCTTTTTTGGCTCAATTTTTTTGGGCCCAATTTTTTAATTCTGGGCCAATCCAAGGGCCCCGCAGACCCGCCAGTGGGGGGTGTGTATCTCGTTCTTATCTAGTCAAGGAATAAATAATGATAGGCCATTCAATATGGTGAAATTCAGCACGAGTTGGACAGAATGTTGTACAAAGCATGAACTGAAGGTGAGTGCATTTGTAACGACCCTTGGGCATGCTCGTCAGGGAGCTGTAGTGTACCGAGCCAGATACTAGACTCGAAAGAGAATGTGCTAAATTCAACGTCTTACGGGAATCGAACCCAGGACCTTTCACTCTCAGAGTCAGACGCTCTACCCCTGAGCCATAAAGGCTAGCCACTACAGCTGAGATTGTAGTAGCGACTTGCTATTGAAGTCATTACACCATCCCCCCTAGAAGACGACGTCCCGTCGTAACTCATTCACAAGGGCAATCCCACTTCTGACACCAATGTAACGACCCTTGGGTACGCTCGTCAGGGAACTGTAGTGTACCGAGCCAGATACTAGACTCTCAAGAGAATGTGCTAAATTCAATGCCTTACGGGAATCGAACCCAGGACCTTCTGCTCTCAGAGTCAGATGCTCTACCCCTGAGCCATAAAGGCTAGCCACTACAGCTGAGACTGTAGTAGCGACTTGACATTTACTGACATTCTGTCCAACAAGTGTAGACTTTCACCATATTGAATGGCCTATCATTATTTATTCCGATTCAAACATAAAAAAGAAAACCTTGTTCAGAGAATTGGGGCTTTAGGTCAATGAAATAACCAAACTTGCTGTTATTTTCGCCATTCCCAGGTGTGACGTCATAATAACACAATACGTGTACATAGATTCCTGGAAGCAGATTGAATAGAGCGCGACCGTGCCTGTATGGAGAAATAATGAATGTTCATTATTGGCTATGTTGCATTCTGATTGGTTTAGAAATTCAAATAGAGCACGGTCATGTTTGAATTCCAATCACATTCTACGTTTCTGATCTTTAACGCATACAATACAACCACACATTAGTAATTTAATGTATTTCAAAAGTTGAAAAATAAAGGCGCTAGCTTTGCACATATTTCTTACTTTAATCAATTCTAAACACCAGTCTCAACATTCTCTCAAAGCCAAAAAGGTAGCGGCTGTCTCAAATTGCAGAGCTAGAGGTAAACACTTCAATCTTTAAATCAGCCATTATTTCAAAATGTCCAGCTTTAACTTCAGGAATTGATTTTGAGAACACTACGAGCATAACAGAATGACGAATGAGGTTACATCAGTGTGATCTGGTGTCTTCGGTAGCCGAGATACAGTAACATCCGGTTTCTTCAATATGATTTATTATGTACCAAAGTGCAACAAACATACATTAGAAAGGCCATAGCTAGTTATAAATCATTTTATCCATCACAATTATGTATCAATATAAAGTAAAAAACTCATTTTTCAAAAGTGAGATATCACAAAATTTATGTGTCCTCAATAAAAGCTGCTTGTCAAATCATTGCTCTTATGCTGTAGCATAGCCATCTATTTCCAGGATTCAATTGATTCGATTTGTTTGCCACTACTAGTATTTTGATATGTTGGCTAAACTTATGTCTCACATGGTATAATTGCATTCTTTGGTTCTCCTTTCTAGATGCAGGACAAAGCACTGTTTGAAGCTAATTGAGAACAACCTCAAAATGGATAAACCAGAAACAATTTCCGGTGTAAGATCTGTCCCAGAGGCGGTCGGTCTGAAACCATGTAAGGATGCTTCACGAGAGGAATTTGAGGCCCAAGATCAATTACTCGTTGTGGAAAGAACTCCAACATCTGCTGACACTAATACTGATTCCAATGTTGGCAACATTGTTGTCAATGAAGCCATAGAAAGTGCTGAAAACACAGAAAAATGTGTTGAAATGCCCAACAGTAAATGTATCAATGAAACGGAAGAAAATCTTGCCTCGGTTTCAGAACAATCGAAAAATACTGGCATGTCATCACCAGTCAATGAATGTCCAACTTTAGTCGAAAACATAAGTCACCCTGCTGCATTGTTAGATAAATTGAAACTGCAGAAGGAAGCGGGACGATTTTGCGATATTGAAATTATTGTTGGTGACAATAAATATCCTGTTCATAAATGTGTTTTCGCAGCGTCTAGTGCATATTTCGATGTACATTTTACAACAAGTTCTGTGCAACAGTTAAATATCGACTGTGAGGATACTCAGGTGATCGAGGCCCTTATTAATTATGTGTATACTGGGCAAATAATTGTGAATATAAACAATGCTATTGAGCTTCAACGTCTCGCAAATCTTTACATGCTTGTTGATCTGAGTAAAGGACTGGAGCAGTACATACAACAAACATTTACAGATCAGTTGAGAAAAGATTTAAACATTACTCCAGATATTTTGCCTGTGGCATCAAAACTCAATAAATCATTAAAGGAGCAGAATTCAAATGTAAAATTGAAGAAAGTGAAATCAGATCAAGAGCAAACTGGAAAACACAATATCAATACCAATGACTCGGAAGAACATGAACCTGTCATTAAACGGAAACGAGGACGTCCATTTAAGAAAGATAAGGTTATAAAGGATGAGGAATCTGTGATACAAAAAGATCTTGAGAATGAAAAATTGGTGGTGAATCCATTGTCAGATGATGAAGACATAATCCAAGAGAAGACTTCAGTAACAACAAGGTCAAAGAGAACTGCCACCATGATATTGACTCGAAGAAAAGGCAAACCAATGAAACATCCAACATTTGATTTACTTAAATGTGAACATTGTGATTTTAAATCACGAAGAACAGACCTTTTGCAACGTCATACACTTATAAAGCACAACATCGGTGAAGGTAACAGTAATTTTACCGCAAAGGTGAAATTTACATATAAATGCCAAGAGTGCGAATTTAAGGCAGACTCTAACAAAGATCTTGTAGAACATTATAAAACTCACTTTGATGGACCACCTTACAAATGTGATCAGTCTGGGTGCAAGTACAAGAATAACAATGTGAAGTATCTCCTTATGCACAAAGTGCGTCATGGATCAGTGAAGACGCATATATGTTCCATATGTTCTGCTGGGTTCTGGTCCATGTATGAGTTAAAGACACACATGATTAAACACACTGGTAAGTTATATTTTTGTCATCATAAAAAACTCAAAATGTTGAACAAACGTTGCAAAAATAATGTAAAATTGTCAACGATTTTTAAAAGTCTCTATCCCAGCCTCAAGGGGTGTATACACTGGCAGGTGAAATGCTTGAAACGGGGGGCGAAAAAGCTGAAATTATTGAAATGAAAGATAATGTGATACCAGCTTAGGCGAATTGATTGAAATGCTTGAAACAGCGAAAGCAGCGAAACAGGCGAAAGCAGCGAAACAGTAATTTTATTTTTGGAGACGTATTGATTGAAATGATTGAAACGGTTGAAAAGCCCCGGCAAAATGCTTGAAACGAAAAACGTGCATGTTCCTTTTTCTTTTCAATCGTTTCGCCCGTTTCTTCATGAATTGGTCGTATGATTGAAATGCTTGAAACGGCGAAACAGGCGCAAACAGCGAAACTTTAAATTAATTTCAAAGGCGAATTGATTGAAACGATTGAAATGCTCAAAATGATGTAAGCATTGAAACATAGGAAATAATGCAGACATTGAAACCATTGAATTGATTGAAACGATTGAACCAATTGAAACGATTGAAAGCTATTTACAGTGTATACAGGGCTTCAGTCTCAGTTTATGAAAGACAGAAATCAAATGTTTTTTTATGGATAATGAACGTTCAAAATTCAATCTGAAACAATAACCTGATAATTGCATTGTTTTGTATTAGGAAACAAGGATTTTGCATGTGACCAGTGTGAAAGTAAATTCTACACTAGAAATGAACTTAGTCAACACAAGTTTGTCCACAGCAAAGTAAACTCATTCCTGTGTGATGAATGCGGCTTCTCAACTAAACACAAAGCAACAATTATAAGACATAGAAAAATCCACACAGGTAAGTACACGATTGTAAATATATGAATATATGAATTATAGAGGCCGGCATTTGAAAAGCACATTCTTGTTTTTTGTTTGTTATATCAACCACTTTGTGACCACACCAGCGTTGATGTTGACATCTGTTTAAGATATTGTTACAGTCTTGCAATTACTTACCTAATGGTGTGTATTATTATGTACATGTTGTAAATTAAAAACATTTGTAAGTATATTATATATAGCTTAGGTTATTTATCATACAATCACAAGTAAACGGATCTTATTGTTGGAGATTTATTTGACATTCATCAATTTAAATTCATATACGTGTAGTGTATCATCTAAAATATATATTTTTGAATCATTTCTAATTCTATTTTAATATCTTTTGCAGGTGATTTGTTCCATTGTCAATTTCCTTCTTGTAAGTACTCAACGCCACGTCGTACATTGATGGATGCCCACACAAGGTGTCATCTGAACATTAGATCACACGTCTGTACAACTTGTGGCCAAGCATTTGTAGAGAAGAGTAATCTGAAACGCCATGAGAGAACTCATTTACCATACAAACCATTCCCATGTACCATGTGTGACTTTGCTTGTTTCCGTAAGGACAAATTGAAGGATCACCTCAAGAAGCATCATGGTGTTGAAACGGAAAGTCCACCAAAGGCCAACAATAACAACAAAACATTGCCGAGATTCAATCGTTTTGCTGTAAAAAAGTTCAGCTTGTCTCAGAATCAGGGGAAAACTGTTGAAGTAAGTGTCGACAGTGAAGAGAAAGTTACAAACCAAGTGAGCACACTTGATAGTCAAGAAAATGTAACTCAACAATCAGCTGTAACTGGGCAGACAATAACATCACTTGAGCCCCAACAAACAATAGACCAGCCTTCTGCCGTTGACATACCCTCTAATGTGGTCATACCTGTCTCTAACAGCCTTGTGGCCACACAGGGGAACAACATGGAACAAGTGCTCCAGGGTGAACAATCCATGGGTGAAGATCAACTAATCATTGCCCAGAGTTACTCAGATGAGCACATCTATATAAGTCAGGGTGAAAATATTAATATTGCAGCCCAAGGAGGTCAAGATTCTCAGAGTCTTCCTATTAAAGGAGACACTGCTACTAATCAGCAAGGCCAACTTGATCAACCAAATCAGATCCTGATAGCTACAACACCTGGTTCAACCTCCAACCAGCTACAGGAGTTGGTATCTCAGACTATTGGTACAATTGCTGACAGCCAACAGGAAGATGGTGTCATGAAATGGGAGATTGTAGCAACAGATGCAAGTCAGGGAGAGCTACAAGAAGGCCAGATTATACAACTACAGAGAGATAATAACGGGGAACAAAGTGAGGGCCACATTATACATATACATCAGGAAGAGGGTCTTGCTCAAATTCAGCCAGATCCTAACAACCCACAGCATTTCATACAGGTCCCACTAATTCGCAATGCTGATGGGGTACCTGTCACAGATCCTGCCATATATCAACAGCAATATGCCTCATATACACATATGTTACTAAACCCCAACATAATGATGTAAGTGTACCTCTTATGAACACCCCACTCATAAAGTTTGGCAACCCAAGTTTACCCTTATTGGACCATGATGAAGCCTGTTTATATTGGTCAGTTTAAAAATATCATATTTGCTTTTGTTACCTTATATTGAAATCATAGAAAACTGAATAGGCTTTAACATGCTATTCGATATGGAGTCGGGGGTTTGTCACAATTTTGGAGGGGTTTAGATTCATGTTATTAAAATCAATGTAAAATGATTAGTTAAAGATGATCAGTATATGTCACATCCAATCCAAGTGAGGATGTTAAAAGGCATTTTCTGTATATTTGTGATTCCACATGTATCTGAGTCGTGCATCTGAAGTAACTAAAATAATGCTATTTCAAATGTGAAATAGCACAAACTGTCCATGATTGTCACAACCACATAATTTTATTTTGCTTATTGTACAAATGTTGTAATACGCTGTATTTATCTGCTTCAGAAGTGACTTATGGAAGCTCAGTGTTGGGATCGTAACAGTATACATATTTGCCAATCATAACAAGCAAAACTTTAAAATGATCCTGCTTTTTCCCCTTAAAACTCCCTAATTCTCTTCAATGTTTTTGAAAAGGCAGTGTCTTGTGTCATACAACTATATACAAAAGGTTGGGTGGTATGTATTCTTCTGATGCACATATCACTTTTTGTAAGAAACTTTTGACTTTGTACTTCAATGTGCCATCTAGCATGTCTAGTAGCCACTCAAATTATTTTGCTAATAAATAATAATGCCATATTTCTGAAAACATGTATCAATAAATTTGAAATCTACATACATGTAATGCTGTATATATTATTCAGGGAAAGTACATCATGGTTATAACCCTGTCTATCAGTGTATATAACTCTTATATTTTTCATTATTGAATGTTGGCTCTGTAATCTCTTGGATGGGGCCCTACTTCCATTGAATACAGGTATTTGTATTCATGGTTTTTGTAAATATGATTTTTGTTGTTGTGAATTGTTGATTACTGTATTTATATAATTACAAGTAGTATCATCCAAATAAAAGGATGGGTCATTTTTGTGGATGTAAATAATTTAAAGGGAGGCAGCTGGTTAGATTTAACATTATTTTAACCCAGAATATTTTTCTGAATGAATACATATGTGTACTATACAGCAACCAACCAGCAATCAATCCAGAAATGAAAAATGATTTTTGATGTCCAGCAAGAATAATGAATGTTTGTAAAGTTTTTATAAATTCAACACAAGAGATGAAATCTGGGAGTTGGTATATGTTAATTATACTGGAAAACATGAATTACACTTAGCATGTAAAATTATCAAGGGATACAAATATACCCAGTGTTTGTTAAAGTGAAAATGCAAGATATTTTTTAAATTTTAAATCTTATTGGCCTCCATTTACTGAAGAATTTTGATTTGTTTTCCCAAAGGATATTTGCAAGGCGAAGGTGAAAATGATAGATGCTTCTGTCTCTCTGTATCATAGTTTTAAGAATATCCATTAACATTTTGTTTTTGGCATTCAGCTCTAATAGGTGTTTTGGAAAGGATAGCTGACATGGGATCAGAATGGATAATGTTACTATGACATCTCTTTTGCAAAATGTCAAGCACACTAGCTCAAAAATGAACAGACATGTGATATTAAAGTTTTTTTTTATGTTGTTCATTAAGAGGCAGTGAACATCGTTTGGCCAAAATTGTATTTAATAGCTGTATTTATGTTTATCTCATCTAGTGTACAATCTACTTTAATATACTTGAAATTGATGTCTGTTGTATATAAATTGACCACTGTTTATTCTTACATATGTACAATAAACAGATTGTCATATATATTGGGCCTATTGTTTTTTTGTCCTTAAAGATGTACAATAAATAGATTGTTATTATAAATGTATATATTGACCTCCTGTTTATCCTAAAATATACGGTACAATAAATGGATTGTTATCAATTGTGAGTGAATTATTTCTCTTCATTAGTGGTTTTGGTTCAGGTTATCGGCACTCTTAATTTTGCGTATAATCCTTTCAGTTAAGGGAGTAGATGGTATGGAGACGAGTTCAGAATAAGTTTTGAAAAAAATGTCAGTTTTACAATATTTTTTCCTCATCAATCAATATTCAAGGATATCTCTGTCAAGAAAGGACATGTCCTATTTTCCACTTCTAATGAATTAACTTCAGACTAAAAGGGAAATATGTTTTTTGAAAAAAATACTTCCAGCATTTTACACTATCTCTTTAAATCTTCCTTAACTATAACAACAAAGCCCTTCTAAAAGAAAATACATCTACATTGAACTTAAATTTGGAAAAAATGATAGACTTGGAAACAAATCAGTTAACCAGATAAGACTGCCACCAACCCACTCAATGAGACTTTGTTCAGAGTTATGTGTAAAACATTAGATTGTGCCTTACAAAAGAAACGAGACTACTTAGTATAATAATGGATACACAATACTGTACAGAATATACATTGTACTTTCATTTTATTTAATAATGGCTTTATTACTGATTTATTCATATGTACAGGTATGCAAGTATAATGTGAAGAAAATATTTGAAATTATACAGTGCATATACATGTATGTATGGGCATAAATGTCAACTAAATGTTGATATATTGATTCAAACTTGTCATTTACTTTTCGTATTGTCTTTCAAGCTAAAGACAGAATGTATGACAACTTATATTTTTGAGTTCTACATATTCAATCTGGATTTGGTTCTGGTTATTAAAAGTATGGTGTTATCAAATGGCAACATTTTGATTTATTCATAGAAGGCAGGATATGCATATGAAAATATGATGCAAGTAATTCGATCTCTGTACTTTAAGTTATTGAATGATTTGAAGTGCAATACAGGATATATTTTGCTTGAGAAATTCTGTATTGGAACTAGACAAAGTCGAGTGCCAATACAGAATATCGAGAGCAGAATATATCCTGTATTACACTTCCAAATCATTCGACAATGTTTTTATCGTGTGATCCTCTGTACTGCTCCTGAGAATGTCCCCTCCGTACCAATATTTTCCAATCTGTACCAATCTCAGTAGCAATACAGTCTGGTCAGGACAAGAACTGATCAATCAGAAGGCTTCATTTTACAGATCATACGATAAAAGCAAGTATGAGATTCTCTTAGATCACCATATGCCTTTGTATCAAATCCATGTTTATGTTTGTCTCGGTATAATATTGGAATATGGGTGGTGGAATTAAAGCAAGCTTTTCTCTAAAACAAAATAAATTCACCTGATGACCAAAGTTGATGAATATTCCTTCATCACTTACAGTGTTAGGGAGCATGTCAAAAGATCAATGTCACCAAATAAACTATATATTATCAGTTAGGGGGGGGTGTCTGGAACCAAAAAAATAAGCATCCCCGACATTGATCCAGAGGGGGATCGAGGGGGGTCTAGGACTTAACTGATAATATATAGCTTTTTGTGCTACATTGAACTTTTTATGTGCTCCCTTATTTCTTGTTTATTGTTGCACATGTATGTCACAAAAGTAGTACACTGTGTGGTTTATCATAACAGAAAGTGAGTCATGATCATAATTAAACACTCAATAATCTTCATCTGTATTACAATCCAGGCATTGGGAGAATGAATATTGGAGCCTGAATTCATAATTCTACTGGACGCATCTCAGCTGAATATCTTTTCACCCTACATTTATTGTGGCTTCATATTATATGATTCACATCAGGCCAGAATTATATCAGCAACTTAGAAAACATGATTAAGAGTGTAGAAAAAGTTTGCATCGTAGGCATAGTTGCTGTTGATTTGTTATTGTTGTTCTTGTTTTGTACTTGTGGTGAACGGTATTCTAGATCAATACTACGAACATCCACCCAGAATATTTTTGTTTCTTGGACAAATGTTGCCCTGAAATAAAGTCAAATTTCAAACATTAAACCATAGTTCCATAAATAGAAATATGTATGTACACGATAAAGAGCCAACAGAAAAATATTAAAATGCGTTACAAAACAAAGCAAGATGTTGAAACAATCAAGAATCAATCAAATCAATCAACCAGTCAAAAAGAGAACAAACCCCAAATATCCCAAACTATGATCTTAGAGTATTATCAAACATGTAATGGGGAACTTCATGATGTTTACATTTTTATGAGTCAACAACTGTTGTCAGATTGATGATCTCAAAAACTACTTTTTTGATAAATATAAAAATAAAAACATGTATTAGCATTTGAGATAATGTGTGGGAATATATTATGATTGGTCAGAAAGTGCTGATGCATAATTAGCTATGCACGAATTTGTATATTGACCATACCTGAAAAATATGTGATCTTTTAAGCCCTCTGGTGGGTTCCATTGAACTTGTTTTTGAAACTTGTGAACTTTATTTGATTGTGTAACGGCACTCTGCAAGAGATCAGCGTCATGTATTATTACATTTGCACATTAGTATATAGTCATGGTTAATTTTAATTCATATAGTTTATCAAGCCCTACAATGATGAAGTTGTAGTCAATTTTTAAAGATTTGCTCTGGAAAAATTCACACCTATAGAGTGGGCCATAAAATTGGAACATATTTTGGCTATGAGAGCCATGTTTTACTTTTGGAGAAAACCTCAAATGCTTTAATCAATGAAATTTGAATCAAGATTATTTGAAGGGTAAACATGGTGATATGAAAAAATGTCTCTAATACACATATACTCAATGCACTAATAATTGCTGATGACAACTCAGAGAAATATACAAATTGTTAATTTATCTTTTTCATTTTCACAAATAATCAGGAGATCTTAATCTGAATATTTGTAGATTTAGCTCCCTTGATATAATACATTTTTATTTATTAATTGACACCACGTCCTAGTAACATATTACATAAATACATACATGGTATTGTCATGCTATGAAAATAATTGATATAATGAAGGAAGGTATAATCAATGGAAAAATTGTTCAATATTTGTTGGCCCACCCTGTTTGTGTAAAAGTCTTAACTATATTTTATATGAAGATTAGCTATTCTACTTTGCCTACAATTAAATGCCATTAAGCTTACCTCTCGTTTTATACACCTCATTGTTTTCAGCTCATTGTCTGTCACTGTAAAGTTCCCTAGAGCTTGGTTTTGGTTCAAAGATGGACTTGCCCTCCTGGCTTGAAGGAAAACCCCTTCAAACCATATTTCTGATGTGTTTCGCATTGTCACTGAAATAAAGATTATAAGGTGAACTTCTGTGTTGCATTTATTTGTCCTCTCCTTCCAGATAAGAGCAGCTCATTTATATTTGAGAAAAATGTTAGGATCCAAATTCAAAAAGTATATCATCGTGAGTCTAAATTGTTATCGATCTCACAAAAATTGAGAGCTGGATAAATAATCCACAGATGCTCCAAACGGTCCAGATTGCACATCTTTCTCTGCCTACCTTAATCATTTAAAGATATTGACCAAGTTTACATTATAAACAAGGTATTTGTTATTAATTCTTTAGTTTACTTAACCAAAATTAGTTCCTTGTATTTTTTCACTTGTAAATGTATACCTTTTACTGGTTTTCCTGGTGTATAGTACCCTCCTTCATTGATCTCCAACAGAAATGGAGCTGCTCCTTTCTGAGCAATCGCAGCATGTCCTGATGGAAACATGTCTACACAAGATCCCTCTGGTGGTCCACCAGGATATGACATCACAATTGGTAATGCTACCATTAGCATAACTGAGAACGAGGCCAGTGTCATCGTGACTTAGCTTTCTCTGTCTGAATATATGAATAATCACATTTTTATGTCATAGTTAGTGTTAGGGTCAGCCAGCACATGATACATTTAGAGATTTTTGTCAAGGAAGGACATGGTCAATCAGAAGGGTGTGGAGTTCTTAGATTAACAGCCAAATGTATCCTCCATAATGTCAACACTATCATGATTTACCATGTAGGTCATAACAAGGGGAAAAATTGAACAGGGGAAATGTTCAAACAGGAGCAAAGTTTAAACGGGGGGGGAATGTTCAAACAGGGCAACGGGATAGTGTAAACAGAGGGAAAACAAGGGGATTAGTTCAAGAAATTGTGAAGATCAACATTATAAGTCAGACTCAAAGCTAAAATGACCTAGTGCCTATTTGTAATCTTAAAAAATAACCTTTTTCCATTCACTTTCACCATCAGCTGTCTGTTTCAAACATGTTTTGTTAACACATAATTTACTTTTAGTTAATTTTAATTTCAAGCAATCAAAGGGGAATAAAAAATTCAAAAAGCTATCAGTTGGGAAATAATGCAACAAGAGATAATGCAATGTTTTAATTAAGATAATAATTATAAGAAATCGGGAACTTACCAACGATCAGTTTCTGTGTTTTTCTAAATAAGTAGTCCTAGATACTGTTTGCCAAGAATGGGGTGTTTTCTAGAATCCAAACGTCATACTTTATTGCATTTAAGTGTAAGATAGTAGCTACTTGCTAAGTGTCTCAAGTGCCTAATTCATTAAAATGACTTAGTCAGGTCATTATCTCCCAAAAAATATATATTTCTGTTCTGTACTTTGGTTTAGTTTCCTGATAAGAATGTATCATATTTCTACATTGTTTCTGAGTAACTTTTTGCTGAGTTAAACTGACTTGATTTCATATCCAACATGTGTCACTGAGCATACCCTATTAGCAAACATAATAGTTTAGGAATGTAATTTTAATAATTAAATTGCTTATTCATTGTCTGAACATATTGCGATAATGAGAATGTGCACGTGTAGAATATATAGTTCATAATACCAACACGACGCACTAGTGGTTGTAGAATTTAAATGACATCACTGAAGGATTGTTTAAACGACATCATTGTAATGCTAGTCTCTGTCATTTATGGCTCATAAATCAATTCAGCTAACCTAGAGTTCATATTGTAATTGTCATGTCCATGTAACTATATCACCAGTTGTTAAATGAACTCCAACTCATGTAATAAATTCTAATTAGGCCTTGAGAGTATGTAGTTTTCACAGTCTTAAGTGTGACATTTAATAATATTGTCCAGTTGCATATTTATTATTAATTGCTTAGGGGTAATTGTTGATTGTTCATACTTAGATCAATCATGATGAGACATCTGTTTTAAAATGGTTTGATTTGTAGCTGGTTGGGTGCTAGAGAAATTTTTTATTACCATGGTAACCTATATTGCTCAAATTCTAAGATATGTAGCATGCCTATAATATAAGTGATTATTGTTCTTTCTGGTCAATCTGACCATGATTTCTTAAATTATCACTGGGAAAATGCTACAAAAATGTATAAATAATACATATTATGATCTAATATGTTCCCAGTCCCGCTTAAGTCACATGATGAATTGCAACATATGAAACAAGGGAAAGGTTAATACATTGTTACAGATGTTTGGTTTTTCAAATATCAGTAATTTTACTGATTTTCACCTTAAGCTATTTTGATAGCTGTAAAATATACTAATTTTCCTTAATGTGAATTTCTCAATTCATGAATTTCAAACATAATTGGTATTCACCTTGGATATCACAATAATCTTATAATAAAATGCTAATAAAAATATGCAATTTGTAAATATTTTATTTGATTGTGAATTACAACAATATTTGTCAGTTTACATACAAGATACAGGCATATCCCAAACATTCAACAATCACTTAAAGCAGCTTCACAAGTATTCGTGGGAGGTAACAAAAACAGGGAGGTTACAAAGAAAGTCAGAAGGGGGTTACGGAAGGGGGAGGTAAGAAGGCAAGGAATGAATGGGGGGAGGGGGTAAGGAAGGAAGGCAGCAAGGAAGGGTGGAGGGGAATGAGAGGGGCCAGCTGATCATAAATTGATAAATTATGATAAAGTTGTTTTTAAATAGGGAATAATGACCCTGAAAATGAGAAGCCCGGAGGAGAGTAGAACAAAACCTGTAATTCTCTTTAAGAATACATAAAATGGGTGTTATATATGAAACACAAACAGGGCATGCGAAATATCACCACCTGCCATTTGTTACATGTGGTGACATAAAACAGCAGGCAGAGTTTGACGGACAGGTGGTCAAATTTGTGTGTTTGTTTATATGGGGGGGGGGGGGAGAGAAATGCTATTCCACCCAGAATACTTGATTCACCTCACATTCATAAAGATTCCACATGTTTTGCATAAAAATAAACATCCATACTTCTATAGTTCTGACATTATGCCACTAGATGGCTGTAAGCCCATTCATCATCAGCATTTTGGCAATTTTTCTACCCCCTTCCCCAAAATATTCCCTCGTTGATCCCCTGTATGAAGCTAGGTTGCCAACCATAGCCCAACAGTTTAAAACATGTGCATTCCCATCGGGCAAAGTGCCCTGTATGTATATACATAATATGTACACCCGTTTTAAGGCAAGAAAACCTCACACTGTAATCACATTGTCAGTTTCTGCCTTATTCAAAAGGGGTACATATTTCACATAAATACCATGTACTTTTAGGCTAACAAAACCTAAAAGTAACATTTTATAATAATACATGTATGTCTGTATAAAAATTGAGATAAATGAAGTTGGAAGCTAAACCCCTTATTTGAAACATCATATTTACTTTCAATAATTTTTATAATAAAGCATCAACATGCAAAATGTCACCACCTGCCATTTGTTACAGACACTAATTGCCAGACACAAACTGCTGTCACAGATGAGTCGGGAGAAAGTAAGAATATGTCACAACCAAAAGTGGTGACATAATAACTTTAACTAAATTGAACTAATACAAACAAATTCATCAAAATTAATAATAACCATTTTTCTCATTTTTTAAAGTGACTCTGACTTTAGTATGAATAAGTGAGCACGTGTGGTGGCTGTGCTTTAAGCAATATTTAACTTTTGAACACAACTGTTATATTGTACACTGTACTCTCGGTCTCCCGTTAATTAAAGGGCCATTTGCACTGCAAATGTCTACCCTGCATTGATCAATTCTTCATTTACAAAGCCACCACAGCTTTAATATATTTATGTACAATATATGTGACATCACAAGTTATATTCATCTTATTTACAAATATGATATGAACAAGTTCTTGTACTACATTTCATATGTGCAAAATCAAATATCTTGACTATGTAATTGTCCCTCCATTTTCAATATTTTTTTCTGGGAAATAATATTATTTATGCAATTTGTTTGGTTGAAATAACGTATATGGTATTACATTTGACGATCTGTGGTCAAATTTCCACTGATTTAATCATATTTTCCAGATCATATTATTCTGTAATAAAATTCGATCTCTAGCACCTTGTGAAAATCAGAGAATACACGAATATTAGCTGTATTTAACTCAAATAATTTAAAACATGTAATATTAATATATTTTAATCAAGATTTAAATATCTGACAAAAAATCCTGGTGGGGTATAATATCTCTTTTAAAATATAACTTTCAAATAATTGATCATAGTTTTAGACACTTGTACATGTTTTATATTATGTAGTTATCTTATATACAATTACATACAGAATTCAGCTTTTCAAGTGGTCCTAAGTGTTGAAAATAAATATTTTTATATTATCTAAGTCTGAATTCTGCAATGTTAACGACATTGTAATGGTAGGATACTCAAGTTTAAATTTCTAATTTTGTTTCCTTGAATATTCTTCCATTTAGGTAGGCCTATTAAAATAAAATTCCTGAATAACAAATTGATTCCCACTCTGGCCACCTTAATTTACTTTATCTCACTACAGAATGTGAATTAATCTACATGTTTTAATAGTAATAGCCCTTCTAAAGCAATAATACTGACTTGATTTATACGACAATGGAGCCTGTTATACACCAGGGTTTCAGTGCTTCCTCACAAAGCATTTTGACAAAAATCTTCGTAACGAAGGATTTTGTACGTGTGTAACCCTCAGAAATACTTCAATAGAAAGCTTTTCTGATAAAATATCTTGTGGCGAAGCACTGAAACCCCCCCCCCCCCGTTTCATTTAAATAACTAATGTGGGGATCAGGTGATGTATATGTAGTTCTATTGGCCATCACCCATAGTCTTTGCAAATGTTTATTGTATGAAGTGAAGTGAAGTTTCTACATAAAGAAAAGCTAAATTGAAATTGATTTTTCATTGAATCGAAATTTGACATAATTTTTACTCAAATACCTACTTGTGTGATCTTCACCTTTATTACTCACTGGTTTAACAAATCCCCTAGTCATGATTTCAGCAATACAATTAACAGTGTCTGTATGTGGACATAGCAACACATCACATCTCTTCACTTAAAACATTCCTTCCAAATTCCTCTAAAAAAGGTGTATGAAAATTCGCTTTCTCTATAACTTCATCATGGTACGCCTCATGTATATTGTGTCTGTATTATCCATTACACTATGTACTTTTCGCATACCAACTCCTTAGTGTTTCTTCTTAAAAACCAAGCCTTTTAAACATATTGTCCTGTGCCACATTGTGTGATAAATTGTCTTCAGGTGTCTCATATGCGTTGAAAATATTGTATTTTAAATTATTCTTTTATATCTGTTGGATATTCAGTGATGCACACATCCAGTTCAGCTATGACGTGTGAATGATAAGTGAAGTTTGTTATTTTGGTCGTGTTCTCCTAACAGCACGCTTGATGGTTCGCTTCTGGCCACCAGCAGAGGGGGCTGTAGGCTGGAAAGGATTAGATGACACAGCCGCTGGTTGAGCGCTGAAACAAGAATGATTTTTATTAAATGGTAATTTCTATATATTTACTTCAATTTTTAAACTGTATGGTGGTTATTAAGCCTATCACAAGTTCTTATGCCTATATATTATATTAACCCTCTGATTGCCATTAATTAATTCCTCATTAAAGCACACATATATCATGATATCATGTGATGGCTAATGATTATGTTCAACATAAATAAGAACAATTACATATGAAAACCTACTTAAAGCCGAATGCTGAGCCTGGAGCAGTGGCTTGAGGGGCAGCTCCACCAAAGTTCATGCTGGGAGCAGCACTTCCAGTGAAGTTGAAACCTTGGTTCGCCTGTGGAGCAGCAGGGGCCGCAGCCTGACCAAAAGCAAAGCCCGTGTTAGCTGGCTGCTGAGGATCCGCTGCAGCTGGCTTTTCCTGGAGTTCATAAATTCAGAAATTGGTTATAGTTTTTACTGAAGTTACCGCTTGTTTATTGGAAACTCCAGGGAGTTGCTTTATGGTTTGTAAAAAAGACTATTTTGAATTCTTTTTAAAAGGATTTTCAGAGGAGATGTAACCTAAAATCAAGACCAATGAATGACCCTACTCACCTGTCCAAACTGAAAAACTCCACCAGATGGGGGTGCTGTTGATGCCTGGGCCCCAAAGTTGAAGCCTGTAGATGGTGCTGCATTAAACGCCGGTGGTTGGGCTGAAACATGATATCAATGACATATATAGCATGCTACCTATTCTATTACTACGTGTATCATGTAGCATTTGATGAGATTATGGAATAATTGTTTTATGAAAATGTAATGGGCTAATTGCTCTTTTAACTTTCTAGAGGGGGGCTAATAATTATGTTGAATGATATAGAAATAAATAACAATAACCTATAAAAAACATTGCTCTTGAAGAACCACACATGAGTTAATACAGTTAAAAGATGTGCAAAATTATAGGAGGATCAAAAACACTCTCAACAATGTTACAAATGGAATAGGAAAATAGAATATGAACAACGGCATACATCAATTGAATGTACTCACTTGTAGTTGGGGCAGGAGCACCAAATGCTGGAGCTGGAGCAGCAGTTGTATTACTACTCTGTCCAAATCCACCAAAACCTCCTATAATATTCATAAAGTATGAACAGTGGTGGGATGAGACTTCCATCAAAATGTATAATTCTGTATGTTTGTAATTGAATTGATTTCTTGTATTACCAGGGTTTATTAATAAATCAACATTGACCATTTCCTTATTTTATGTGGAAGAGATTGAGTAAAGTAGAATAAATCATGTTTAAACAGATAATAAATTGCTGATCCCTCCCCATGAGTCAATATGGGGAATATTTCTCTACCATTATGTTCACTCACCAGTAGTGCCCAATGTTCCTGCTCCCCCAAGTGTTCCTGCTCCCCCAAGTGTTCCTGTACCACCAAGTGTTCCGGTGTTGGCCCCAGAGACTGGCTGCCCAAATGCAAATACCCCACTGGGAGCTGCGGCTGGTTTCTCAGGTTCTATAATACAATTAACAAATAGTGTAATGTTCTCCAAAGGATATTTCCTCAATTGAATGAAAAATACTTATTTCATTCTCCCTATATTGAGAAATATCCATATAATATAATGAAATGGAATCCATAATGGACAATAAGTCATTTTCAAATTCTCAATAGGAATCTCATGGGATTGCATGAATACTTCCCATCATATTTGGACAAACCATTTTGGGTCCTATGCAGCATGAGGAGTGACTTTTAATAATCAAAGATAAACAACAAAGAACAACGGTCCTTTTAACTAGCTCATACGAGCCCCTAGTAAATGATACCTCACCTTTAGAGCCAAATGCAAATACAGCATTGCCTGCAGGCTTAGCTGTTGAGTCACCAAAGTTGAAGCCAGATGTTGGGGCAGATGAGCCAAATCCTGCAGTTGTTTTCTTGGATGCACTGGGACCATCATCACCTGAAACCATTGAAGCTTTTTCTTTATAGCCGGTCAAAACATGTGAGATGTGGCTTTCTTTTTATTCAAAATATTGAAAATTGACTGAGGAACCTCTGAACGAAGTCAACATTAGAAAGCCATTAGCTCAGTTTACCAACCAAAATGAACGAGTAGAAAGTAAGACACTATCTGTTGTTTAGTGAATATCCCGAGGAGATGAATATGATTTTCACAAGAGGAATTAGCAACAGTGAATTTTCATGTGAGGAACTGGAGGGAATTAACATTTTTTAAGAATATTTTCACAAATCAAATATTCCTCAGTGATATTCACCAGGAACTATGAGTAGTATCATTGGATAAGATTACTGGCTCCCTATCTACTTATGTTGCAAAATAAATTGAACAAAGTAATTGTAAATATGGTCCAAAAGTATATCCAATGGCACTTACTATCAAGACTGCGTTTTTGTGTGGTCGGAGCACCAAAAGATAAAGTCTTCTTAGTATCATCAGTCTTTGCACCAAACATAGGAGCAGTTGATGACGCACCAAACACTCCAGCTGAAGGGGTAGATGAAGTCGCACCAAACATACCAGCTGCAGGTGTAGTCGATGGTGCTCCAAATGTAGAAGATTGTGTACTTGCACCAAACCCACCAGCAGTTGGAGCACTTGCAGATGTTGCTGTTTTACCAAAGCTAAACCCACCCACTGTGCTGGAAGTCACGTCAGACGATGGCGCTGATGTTGTCTTGGATGCATCTCCAAAGGCAAATCCACCAACACTTGAGGTAGAAGTAGCTGGAGCACTAGAGGTATCTTTACCAAACACAAAGCCACCAACAGCAGGTTTAGATGGGTCGCTAGCTGTTGTAAGAGCAGTCTGTCCAAATGCACTTTTGAATTCTGTAGTAGCAGAACCAGAATTCAAACTTCCTGAACCAAAACCAGAACTAGTTGTTACTAAAGATTTAGGAGCTCCAATAGCAGTTGTGGACGTTTCTGTCTTTGCAGTTCCAAAACTAAAACCACCAACTGGTTTGTCATTGCTTAAGCTACTCAGGCCACTAACAGCTGATGCTACTGTTTTCGTTTTTTCGTCTGTCTTAGAATTACCAAACTGGAATCCTCCTATAGTTTTTATAGTATCTGCTTTAGATGTTTCACTTGAGCCTAATGTAGCTCCAGCTTCTTTACTTACATCTGTTGAATTAGTAGTGGCAGTTACCCCAAATTTTATACTACCTAGCGTGGATCCTTTAGTACCACTTGCACTAGAGGCATCTTTGTCAGTATTTACTGCTCCAAACTTGAATCCCCCAGTTGCTTTAGGTGCTTCGGATGCTTTATCATTTGACTGATCACCTCCAAACTTAAATCCACCTGTGATTGCTGGTTTACTGCTTGTATCACTTGCTTTGGCATCAGTGTCTTTATTTGAGCTAGCAGCACCAAACTTGAAGCCTCCACTTACATTTGATATTGTATCTTTTTTAGAGTCGGAAACAGTGCTTCCAAATTTAAATCCACCATTGGAGGACTGTGGCTTTTCTTTGTCATTATTGTTTTTAACTCCCAAAGTAAGACCACTGGTAGTTGTTATTTTAAGTCCACCTGATGATCCTGCTGTTGCAGTTGCTGTAGAGGAGCCAAATGAGAAGCCCCCTGAACCAACAAATCCTGAACTGGGAGCAGAACCAGGCTTGGGTGTCTCGCATGCTATACACTTTGATGCTCCTTCCTTGTTTGTTACCATGCATGTATCACAATCCCAAGCTCCAGCAGGTTTTTTGAATTTATCACCTAATGTATTTGGTATATTTGCTTTTATACTGCTAGAAGGTTTAGGATTAGGGGTCTCACAGGCTATACATTTAGCCGAGTCTTGTTTGTTTATTATCATACAAGTAGGACATTCCCAGGTAGTTGAAGTAGTTGATGAGGATGTAAGAGTTGTATTGCTTTTAGTATCACTGCTAGTAGCAGCAGGTTTGCCTGTTTCACATGCGATACATTTCACTGAACTGGCCTTATTGTTTACCATACAAGTAGGGCATTCCCAAGTTCCATTCTGCCCCTTTTCAAAACCAGCCATCAGGCTTTGTGATTTCCTGGGCTTGGGCTTAGCAGATGTACATGCTGCACAACTGTTGAGCTCATTTTTATTGTTTATCATACACACTTCACACTCCCATGTGTTACTAGACTTTCCAAATTTAGCTCCTGCTGTATTAATGAGAATATTGGAGGCTGGGGGTTTAGATACTGCATTAGGCTTTGATGTCGTACATGCGACACACTTAGAGTCCGATTCCTTATTGTTAATCATACATGTAGGGCACTCCCAACTGCCAGCAGGCTGTTTAAAAAGACTGCTTAATGGGGGCGCTGCTGCAGACACCTGGAGAACAAAAACCAATAATGTTATTTAAACCATGATATAAGCCATATTCAAACCCTCCCAGTAAATAGCCTGTATATATTCATTGTAACCTGATTCTTACATTCAACGTTTTCAATCATCTTCGGATTTTGTAGAGAATAAGATTTACTTTTCACATTGCAACTGCAAGGTGTCTTTTTTAATATATAGTATATGTACCTTTGACCAATCATTGGATATTAGACACAACATATTTACAAATGCTTCTTACAAATGCTTCTTACAAATTATTGCTCTTCTGGATGTCCCCTAACTGTGGATCATCAATCATTTTTCACAAGCTTGTTATTGAATAACCTTCCTAATCAATCAATTAATTCAAATACACAACAGCTATTTCTCATTATTTTATACATGCAATTACACGCTAGAAGTACCTTATTAGGACTTTTATCTTTATTTTTGCCACCTCCTAGTATATCCATGACACTGCCAGTCTTTAGTTGAGAGGCGACCCCTACCCCACCACGCTGAGATACCTGGGCCTTAGGAGGTGAAGAGGGGGCTGGGGAAGAGGGGGCAGGAGAAGAGGTGGGTTTCGAGTTGGCTGCTTTCCCCAATATATCCATAACACTGCCTTGCTTCAACTCTGATGCAGCTTTAAATCCACCTAAGGATCAAAACATATGAAATAAAATATAAAATGCTCAGCTGCAATACTGCAACAAACATTAAATGTGTTGCATCACATGCAACAACAGATCATATTCAAACACTCATTCCTAATACATCTAATACCTGATACCATGCATTTCAATGAGTGATAACAACAATTTATCTAATACTCATATAGGGACAATACCTGAATTTCCAATATCAGTCTTGGTTGGTGGGTTGAATGTAGCTGCAGTTTTGACACTAGCGCCTTTAGCAGACTCCTGCCTCTCTCCAGATTCATTCAGGGACTTATCAATAGGAGAGCTGAACTGGAATCCCTGGATAAATAACAATAAATATTCATGACACATGCATAGCCAATGAAGTATGAATTTTATGTTGTTTGAAGTTAAACATTGCATATAAGCATGCAGGGCTTCTATGCAATGTTGAAGTAGGAGACACATGAATGACCAAATGATGTTTTGAGATTGGTTGAAGGGAAATCAACCAAAAAATAATGTCATTTAGAATACTTTGTGAATTTGTATATGAGACTTTAAAATAATAATTCTGAGATACACTTACAGGACTGTTGACGGGGCTCACACTTCCAGGCGTTTTGTCTCTGATCATTATAGGCGACGCGAACTGAAATGCGTTTCCTCCACTCATCAATGACGATGGCTGCCCTATTGGGATTGGTGGAGACTTGGACGCTGTCATTGCTTTAGTGTTTGACGGAGCAGGAGTAGAGGTAGCAAAGCCAAAGTTTATTTTCGGCACTGAACTGAGGTTTAATTGCACATCTGTAGGTAAGTTTGGAATTTCCATAATGTCTTCATCGTCCTTTTTACTGGAGTAATGTGTGCCCTTCTCACGTCTCATCTTACCAGAGGCTTTAGACTGAGGGGCTGAATAGGCATTCTCACTGGAATCAACAAATGAACTTATCAATGAGAGTGTTTGCAGCCTTATGTCATGTAAAAGAAGAACCTAGTAGGTTAATTTTCATATCAGCTTGTCTACAAGGTAACAACATACCTCATGTTTGAGAGTGCAGCCATTGGGTTGCTAGGTCCTGCCTGTGCACTACCAGTACCATCTAAGGCCACTATGGGCATCTGGGTGTTTGCAATATGGCTCTGCCTATTCTTTGCTATGGATGCATGTGTTGGGACATTTAGCTTGTTTATAGGTGGACCCAATGAAGGTGTCTGGAACAACAGGATAATAATATTATAATATCACTACAAGTATTTATGTAAAGAAACTTGTTTCAATAAAATATTTCATTATTCAAACATTTTAAATATGTGTAAATATAAACCGCTGGTATAATGTCCTCTACATTTTTGTTTGTTCTTAGTCTCTTACCTCAAGCCTACTCCTCTTAGCTGGTGTCTGTAGACGAGCTGGCCTCCTGTAGCTTGTAGGCTGAAATACAGGACAATATTAGCACATTCTACAGTCTACACAGTGAAATTTCAAAATGTCCTCAGATCTATGCTATATAAAATGCATCATACCAAACCTGGCTTACATAAAACAACAACATATATTGCTATTGAATAGCGAATAGTTTGAACTCAATTGATTTAAAACAAAAATTCAGTTAGAACAATCCTGCTTCGGATTATGGAAAATACATGCACAGTTCATGAAATACACTCAAGCATTAACTTCATTCTTAGAAAAACAATATTTGCAAATGATAATATGTGACATATGGACTGTTGTTTAGGGAAAACAGCCTCTGAAGTGGGCATTGTGCTACAACCTAAGGAATAATACTGATATACTTACTGTGAAAGACAGGACAGAATCTGAGAGGGCTGAGTTAGATGATGGAATTTTCTTGGCATCCTGAAATAAATATGGAAATGATGAATAGATCTACCACAGGCAACTTGTATTCATAATGAAGTATTCATGAATGATTGGATATTAACAAAACAAAATTATAAAACATGTTTTTCTGATCGTGATCAAGTCAGGACTTGATAATTTACGAAAATAAATATTTTCTCTAAAATAAACAAAATGCATAAGAAATTGTGAACTTACATTCAATGGTGTGGACATCTTCTCTAATGTGTCCATAATACGTTTTGCAGTAGTACTGGTCAATCCTGAACCTGTAGATCTATTCAATGGCTTCACTTTCACTTGTTTCCTAATGGGCATCGCAACCTGAAACACAACAGTCAAATATAACATGTACATTCAAATAATCATATATCGAACATTTTTGAACAGTTTCAATATACAGAATTTTTGCTAATGCATGAAAAGGAAGAAATGCGATGTAAAATAGCTGAAAAATAACTGAATTGAAATGAACTTCATAGCATAGTTAGCATTGCACTCTAAAGGTTACTTGAATGTGTTCATGTACCTGATAGGGTGTCCCTGGTTTGCTCTTGGACTTTCTCTGTGAGGCAGCTCCACCAAATGTTGTCTTCCCAGGGTAGTAAGGTGATGTTAACTGACTCTCTCCCAGGATTGAGCTCCCTCCAGCCTATATAATTTACACATAAATAAATGCTAAATTCAGGGAAACAACAATATAGGGGAATAAAAATTAGAATGAATGATTAAACCCATGTTCAATCTTTCCAAGTAAATAGCTTACAGTTCTATAGCATTACTATATACAGGGATCAATCTTTTCAGAGTGAAATTCCCAGACAATTCTCAGCAATTTTTTTTTGAATTTCAGGATTTTTTGCTTCACATAGGCTACCCAAAATAAACTCTATACAAACAGGCTTTTATGAACTCTTGATGCCAAATTCCCTAATATTCTCTGAAAAAATTCCCAGGTGGGCAATAACAATGGTTTAAGATAAGACATTATAACATAACATATGTGAATTATTCGGATGTCTTGTACTGACCATGGATGAGTGTGCAGGTGTTCCAAAGATGGATGTATTAAAGGAAGGTCTTGAACTCTTTGCTGCAGACTGAGGTCTAGATCTGGAGGCACTTGTATCAGACCACAGGAAACTTGCATTCATTGAACTGTTTGCACTCCTCTCTAGAGTAAACAGAAAATATCACTTTTAATACAAGTTTCAAATATCATGTTGATATGTATCTCTTGAAGATGTGTAACAATTGGTGTAATATGTTACATACACAATTATGCAGAAACAATCCCGATATTCATACATTTCAACCAATAGTCTAAAATGGGACAAATTGAGGTTTCACATACCTGTAGTATCGTTCTTTGATGCAGTTGTATCTAGTTTATTCAGGGTGTCTCTCACTGTAAGGTCTTCTCTCAGTTGTTGAATTTTTGATTCATTCAGTTGCAAGATATCTTTCTGGTAATCCCGCCTGTCTGGATGCGGAATCATCGAGGAGCAACCACTGGTCGATACTGAATAGTCGCTCTTGTCAGATTTATTGTCTATCTCTCCTAGAAATTAAACATATTTGTGTATTGGTTGTGCAACAGCATACAGTATTAATTTCTTGTATATCTCACTGGACACCAGTACTTATCCGTATTACATAACAGCATTGGATTAATTTCCTGAATACTGCAGATTTTTGTAATTCTAAACCTTCCCTATGTAATTTCCTAATATCTAGTTTCCTGCACTTTATGTACTTGGTTATCCTCTACTCTTTTAATTCAAGCTCCTTGTGTAACTGTAGCAAACATACTATTCTTTAACCAAATAAAACGACAACAATATACATGGAGCTTGTAGAATTGTTTTTCATCAATTATCAAGTTTCACAGTTAGCTTAATGATACAAGTGTAGTGTTATGAGTATAACTGTTAATCAAACCATACAAACAATGACTTCACACATCACGCATATTATGACTGATCAAATGAAGCCATTTGCGGTGTTAAACAACATCAGTTTATTTGTTTTTCTAAATTGAGCCAATATTCTCAAATGAGGTTTCAAAAATGATTTTTACACTGAGCAATTACAACAATGAGTTTCAAAAGTCTAAAAAATTCAACTTATCAAATGGAATTTATTAATATAGTGTTCAGTTAGTTACCAGTGTCAGTCTAAATGTTATTGAGTTCTGTACAAAATATATACATGTTCTACATTGTATAAAATAATTTTCAGAATTTCTGAAATAGTTTTTAACTTCATTTGATTCAATTGGTACAGATTAAACAAAACAGCAAAAGGTCATCTATCTGGGTAATTGATAACTTACTCTAAACGATCACATGAATGAAATAGCAAAGCCTGTCACTTATCTGGGTAAATGTTGAATATATTGTAAACGTTATAGAATGAATATCAACTGTTCCAGAGCCACAGGAAATTGTTAAGGTGGATGAAAAAATTACTAAAAATATTCTGGGTGTACTACATACCATTTGGGAGATCAGCTTGTGGTTGTGGTGCACTCCGAGTTGGCCGTTGTTGTTGCTGTTGTTTTTGTTGTGCCTTATATGCAGTAAATGGCACATCTGCAGGTGGCGATACAAAAGGCCGACTGCGGTCACTCTGTGTCTGACCCAGGCCACCTGGCTGGAATGTTGGCGTACTATGTCGGAAGTTTGATGAGGTATCTTGTTGAATTTGTGGAGTCCTCAATGATTTTTCATGCTGTTCATACTGTTCTCTGTAGAAATCATTGACTTGCTGAAAACATAGAGCAACACTGAATCCTCTAATCCTGTTCTTGCTATTATACTGAAGAGACTACCACACTAATGGGTAAACAATAATGTTTCTGACAAATCACAAATCTTTTATAATTTCTTCTTGACATCACAATTGGAGAAAATGTAATTTTTAGATTCTTAACTTAATGACATAATTATTATAGACTTGCTTTGATTCTGGGGCGATTACTACATTAAGTTACCTGATTTTGGTGAGATGTGCTGGGTGAACCATCTTCAATCTGTGTTGTGACAGGACTTTGACTTCTAGAGAACATCCATGATGGAAGATATTCCTTCACTCGACCAAACAGAGTCTGTAATAACAATGTGCACAGATGTATTGATCACTTTATTCAAAATATGACAATGGCCTAGCTTCCATTAACATGTGGATCTACATGTACCTCAAAGAGCTGGCAGATAATTGGTTAAATTGAAAATTGGAGCTTTATCTATCAGCGTTTGTCTGTCTATTTTAATATAAAATGCAAGCAAAATTTGAATGAAAAATCCTTGAACATAGGGCAAAGGGGGTAACAACTACGTGAGGTTACTGACACATGGCACTTGGTAAAAATTTAAACTTCTTACTCACGCCATATTTGATTTTGGAAAAAATAAATCTTGCAAGATCTCCATTCGTGCAATATCTCCATTCATGCAAGAAAACTTGGATTCTTTAGAATCAGGAAATAGAGCCAATATGACTTTATGATCAACACAGTGTCGAAGTGACCCCATACGTCGGAATTACCAAAACTCCGTTGTAGATATCACTGTTCTTTTGCTTGTCTCTACTCAGACGCATTTTTTTAATTTCTGTAATTCCTCAATTGAAATCAAGTTAATTGACTTTATCCGTTCAAAACATTCTGAATATACAATATGAGCCACCAAACATAATGATTGATTCAATGAAAACTGATTTTTGAAATTTTTTTAATTTTATTTCAAAATTTTGGAAAGTTGACTGACCTTTTTACGCGCATACGGCTTCGGCGGGGCATTATTTCGCCTCTGTTTGATCTTTCCTCCGCCTTCCTGTGACATGCCTGCCTACAGGCTCCAATTGTAGCTTAGATCTTGAAATATTCCTTATTTTAGAAGAAAATATCTCTTGTCACGTTATTTTGAGACAAAGATGGCGGCAAAGACTCTGCAATATGATTGGCCAGGATTTCCAGGGCTTTACGTCACTTCCTCAAATTTTGCCGGGAAATTCAAAATATGTTCCATATCAAGATACCATCATTGAATCATTGTTTTTATCATTAAATTTCATGTTTTCAAACATAGGGGTAGCCAGGGGTTGCGATGGGTGCACACCAAAAAAAGTAATTTGTAAGATTTGCTGAAAAACATCAAGAAATAATTAATTGTAGTTTGAAATGTTTAGAATGCATCCATGGGGATTTTAAAGAATTCTGGGGGTTTGGGGTTCGCTTCGCTCAAAGTGATGCAATCCAAAAATCGCACCCTTTGACAATTGCTGGCTACGCCCTGTCAAATAAGAAAATGAATAAACCGTTTACATAAAAAACATATATGTAAATAATATCCTAATAACGATGACGATGATGATGGTGTATGAATATATAAGGAAATATTTTGATTCGAGTTCCTTAAAGATTAATCAACAGCATCTTTGGCGATGATGATAAGTCTTTAATGCACTACGCAGGCCCGTAGCAAGAGGGGGAGCTAGGGGAGCGGAAGCTCCCCCCTGGCCAAAAATTCTTTCAAAATCATGCAGTTTTCACCATTCTGAGAATTTTTGATGATTTTTTGCCAATATCGTAAAAAAGCTCCCCCCCTGGAAAAAAGCTCCCCCTCCTGGTAAAAGCTGGCTACGGGCAAGCTATGCACCCCTGTACTGGGTGCATTATCTTCAACACAGTGTTCAATATCAATAAACCGTCCATATCACTACAAATTATTCTGGATTAAAAAAATTTCAAGATAAGCTAAAATCGCTGAGCGTTATTTCAAAACTTATTCTAGGATTGCCGGAACCTTTGGCATTTATAGTCCAGTAAAAAACACAAAAATAAAGGAAAAAATTGCAAAATTTTTTAAACCTGGTGAAATCAATGTGTCTTGGTAAGTAAAAAAACATATCAAAAATCTAGAAAAATCTAAGAAGTGGAAGACTATGAATTTTCGTGCTGAAGATACCCCCCTCAATGGCCCCCCAAAATGACTACAATTTATTTTTAAAAAAATTATCACACTACTTTCTTTTTAAAGTGTCCCTTGTTTTTTCATGTATGTATTAGAAATATATCAAAATTGATAGTTTCATAGAAGAAAGTTTGAAAATATTCAGAAAATTTCATATTTGTATGTGTACATGACCTTACCTTGTATGCATTTTCACCCATTTTTCTCTATAAATGCCTATAATTTGATCATTAGACATAGTGATGACTTTTAAAAATTCACGAGAGTTGTCCTTCTATCAGATATGAGACACCATGAATATCAGATCTGTAGGTAAATTTGTTTGACAGAAAAAAATTATTTAAGTTCTTATAATTTGTTCATTTTCTAGGGCCAGTTTTAGGGTCAGGATGAGCGCAATATCAATACATCATCCTTTTAAAATAAGAGGTATATCAACCAAATATTCAACATATTATTGTGCCAATGATGTGTAAAATACAATAAAATATAATTTTGTAGATGAACAGAAAAAATTTATGTTCTTAATTTTGACAATTCTAACATCATGGGGCAGGGGTGAATTGAAAAGTGGGCGTGGCACTTTTTGGTTACATTTCCGATTTATTTTATGTTGGTAGTGTTATCACAGTCATTTTCATTGGGTCATCGATCCCATTATCGTCAATTGATCATAATTGGTCAATAGTAACAATGGGTCGCAAATTACTCACAGTAGGTCATAGTAACAAAACGTGATTATGTAAAATGTGGGCGGGCCAGGGACACCTACTTATTATCTTAACTACATTTTTACTTTAAAAGATTATCAAAGGAGCTCAAACAATTTTCAATCTAATTGTTCCGCCTGTAATTATCACAAATGTTCTTATTTTTTTATTAAGTGCTTCAGCAATAGCCTGATAAGTGAAAATATAAATAATGTGACCTCAACCGCTAAAATAAGCTGAGGTGCTGACTAAGTTGCGATCCCATTCAATTCATGTCATTTGCAATATATTGACTATGAGAGTATTCTACCATATGTATGTTTAGAGTCCATGTTGTAATGTTGATTCAAAACTCTGCACTGTGTTCCAATCCCCAGAGAACATGCGGCTCAACCCCTAGAAAGTAACATCCCATACCTTAATATGGTAGAGCACTTAGACTATATAAGATAGTTCAGCTACCAGATCCTAAGATGGTACAGTCTACAAACTCTAAATTTGGGCACAGCCTTCAGAGTCTTAAGAGGGGAACAGCCTCCAGAGACTAAAATGGTTCAGCCTCCATTGTCAAAGATGGTTATAGCCTTAAGAATCTAAGATTGTACAGAATCCAAAGTCTAAGATGAATACATCCTCCAGAATCTAAGATGGTACAGCTTCTGAAGTCTTAGATGAATACATCCTAAACAGAATTTAAGATAGTACAGCCTCCAGAGTCTAGGATGAATACATCCTTCAGAATCTAAGAGGGTACATCCTCCAGAGTCTAAGATGAATGCATATTCCAGAATCTAAGATAGTACAGCCTCCAGAGTCTAAGATGAATTCACCCTCCAGAATCTAAAATGGTACAGCCTCCAGAGTTTAAGATGAATACATCCTTCAGAATCTAAGATGGTACAGTCTCAAGAGTCTCAAGATGGCTCAAGAGCCTCAGCCTCCAAAGTCTAAGATGAATACATCCTCCAGAATTTTAGATAGTACAGCCTCCAGAGTCTTAGATAAATATATCCTCCAGAATCTAAGATGGTACAGCCTCCAGAGTCTAAGATGAATACATCCTTCAGGATCTAAGATAGTACAGCCTCCAGAGTCTAAGATGAATATATCCTCCAGAATCTAAGATGGTACAGCCTCCAGAGTCTAACATGAATACATCCTTCAGGATTTAAGATAGTACAGCCTCCAGAGTCTAAGATGAATACATCCTCCAGAATCTAAGATGGTACAGCCTCCAGAGTTTAAGATGAATACAATCAATACATCCTTCAGAATCTGAGATGGTGCTTGCAATCTCTACCCATACAAGTGGGTCAACAAGGCCCCAACATACTTTAACACCTAGAAATTGATCATTGACCTTGGAATGACTTTGACCCATAACATTGACCTTGACTTCAGGTTACCTTATCATTGGTCGTCAAGGGTCACAGCATCCGCCCAGGATCTTAAAATGCCAAATACCGAGATATTGACCTATGATCTTAATAGGGTACTCATTGATCCACTAAGAATATTGATCAAGCATGATGACTCAAGGTTGAAGGGTCTAGAAGGGGATATCCAGAGAGACAGAGAGTGAGAGACATGGCCTGGCGTATTTTGTAGTAAGAATATACTACAGTAGCAAAGCATGTGTCTTAACAAACATCATTATCAGTTAAGTTGCCATAACAACCATGTATCAATATTATCCAAACTTAATTTTGTTAGAATCATACACAAAATAACTCTTGAAAAGTGAATGTAATTGGAACAACCTGTTAAGATATAAGGATTATTTGAAATGATCTCTAGCCACTATTTGCATTCATCATTATGTTGTGTTACTATGGCAACCATTTGACCAATCATGTTCAGACTTAATTACCATATCAATTTATAATATCTGTATTCATAACCCCTATAAATTATGACTGTGATTGATACTGTCAAAATAAAATTGTTAGAAAATGTAACCAAAAGTAACACACCCACTTTTTAGTAGATTGAGCAGTAGTCACCAAATATCAAGTCCAGAGTCATAGACATCCATGAGTTCATCATTTTTATCATGTTATCTTATTGACAACTCCCTAAATATGTTTCAAAGGTCAAATTTGTGTTCATTTGGAATAACTTAACTTAATAACTTAATAAGATAAGCAGACATTTGTTTTTAAGGAAGCTTTGAATTTATCCAAAATATTCACAGCTTTTGTGTAATTAAATTGTGTTGCCATGGTAACCACTTCACCAATCTACAGTATATCAAACTTGCCATGTTAACTGACTATGTATAGCTGCATGATCCCTGAAAATTTGAATGTGATTTGGGGTACATAACAGGAATTATTAAGGTTTATCAAAGTACCCCCTCATAAAAGTACCCCAGGGGGTATTAATGGTGATTTTCGAAGTTTTTCACTACTTAGATTTTTCTAGATTTTTGATATGTCTTTTAACCCATCATTGTGCATTGATTACACTAGGTTTAAATACTTTTGCAATTTTTTCCTTCATTTGTCAATTTTTGCCACGGTTTTACTGGACTATTAGCCTAGTGGAGACATTTCATTTCTGGAAATGTTAAATGAAGTTTATTTTGGGGGATTAAAGTTTCCAGTCGTAGCAATGTTTACATAAATGATAGAGAATATCTTATGCTGTATCACTTTCAAAGTTGCATCTCTATTTGCATATTAACATATCTGGCTAGTTTGCAAGATAACGTTTAAATCGTTGCAATATATTGTTCATGTAATCCATCCAGAGAATAGATACATATTAATTTCATCTAGCCATTGCATACAATGGGGATAAAAATGAAGGTTATATTTATTTATTTGGTCCTGATGCTGGCGGTTGGATTTACAACAGGTTTGAGCAACATGATATAATTTTTGAAATGAGAAACGTGACATCACTGAATGGCATGGTAAACTACTTAAGCAAAAACAATTCTGAATGAAATAAATATTATACATCTTTAAAGTATAAAAAACAATAGATGGCAAAGCACTTCAAAAATATGATTTCAATATAATTTGTCATTTATAAGATTTATATTGCGTCATGCTGCTAGCGGGTGTCAGTGAGGGTCTAAATGTGAAAGGGTGTCATCATGTGTCCTGACATAAAATATAATTATATTGTTTCGAACAATTATTAATCAATACAATATTTTCAGGAGCGGATAATGGGCATACATTTATTGGACCATTCACTGTGAAGGACGGAAACAATAGAGATCTGTTTTTTAAAATATACTACACCAAGGATAAACGTAATTCACTTTCTTGGTATAATGCAAAAGCATATTGCGAAGGAGAAAATGGTTATTTAGCAAAGCTCGATTCTTCTCAAGCAAATGATGGAATAAAAAAGGCATTAGATGAACAAATAATAAGCTTACCTAATTTAAGTGCGAGCAAAGGTTTTTGGATTGGATTAATTCAAGATAGAAATGTAAGACAAAGTAGCAGTTATTACTGGATTGATGGTGAGCGTCTTTTGCATTTACACTGTGATATAGTAACTAAGTAATAGTTCATACATTTTTACACGTCACTAGTAACTAAGTAATAGTTCATACATTTATAGTTCATACATTTTTACACTAGTAACTAAGTAATAGTTCATACACTTTTACACTAGTAATTAAGTAATAGTTCATACATTTTTACACTTCTTATCTTTAATATAATTTTACATGTTTTAAATTGAATAAACGTTGCATTCGCATAAATATTTCCAGAATTCAATTTTCAAAGCCTTGAATGCACAAGAAGCACGCAGTTGTCATGTAGAAGGGAGGCCACTGCGGGTGGAGAAAATACCAATGAAGAATCTTGCAGAAAGAATATGTGTTGTTGGACCGGGACAGAATGTGTATTCCCAAAAGGAACACCAAATAGTAAAAATATATACCTAGTACTACATTATTAAAAAACAAATTAAAAAATATTATACTCCCTCTTTTGAAACCCTTCCTATTTGAAATAATATTAACGTAATATGACATTTCTATATGGATCTTTCAAAACAGTAGGTTATACAGGGTGGGCCAAAAAACCCAATACCCAACTTTGAATCAGGATAAAAATAGCTATGTTCAATATTATACATTGATTTATATATCATTTTAAAGGTAATCCATTTTCAAACAATTTGGTATATAACACTATGTCATGAAATCAATATTAAAGTTTTATTATACTTATTTGGGAGGCCGGGTTGCTTTTTAAGGTCTCCAGATTTTAGGGAGAAAAAAGTAAATCTGCGGAATAATGTTAATTTTTTATTTATAGAATGTCATTTTGTTAGGTGAATACATGGTTCTATACGTGCATAGTGTGACTAAACGTTTTGTTTATGAATTTCAGTGTTGTTTACTATCATTAAGCACTCAAAAGGGGTCTGTTAAAAGACATTAAACATATATGTGACGAGGATTTTATTTTGTAACAAGACATTGCCTCGTACCATAGATCAAAGGAGACATTGGCATTCCTTTGTGAATAAGGTGTCAATTTGGTTGATCTTGATGCTTGACCACCCACTAGCCCCGATGCTAATGTGGTTGATTGCCATACATGGAGCAATCTCAAGGAAATGGTACAATCACAAGCATCCAATAAACAGCATTGATGAGCTGAAACAGAATCCTAAAGTGCTAAAATGAATTGCAACAGAAATCTCTCAATAAGGCTATTGATAGATTGCACTACCACTTGAAGCTTATTGTTGACGCAGAGGGGGAAGGGGGGGGGGTGTATTGAGCAATTGTTAGAATTGGTTAAATAAATAAAGTGTAAAATGTTATTAAACAGCACTGCTATTTATAAACAATAAATATAGTCACACAATGATGCAAATATCAATATCCAAGCATGTATTCACCTAACAAAAAATGATATTCTATAAATAAAAAATTAACATAATTCCTTAGATTTTGCTATTTTCCCCCTAATATCTGGAGACCTTAAATAGCAACCCGGCCTCCCAAATAAGTATAATAAAACTTTACTATTGATTTCATGACATATTGTTATATACCAAATTGTTTGAAAATGTATAACCTTTAAAATGATATGTGAGTCAATGTACCATATTGAATGTAACTATTTTTATCCTGATTTGAAGTTGGGTATTGTTCTTTTTGGCCCACCCTGTATATTCATATATTGTGCCCAACAGTACGACAAGACAATTCATGTGAAGTAGAAGATAGATTCAGAGACGCTTGCAAAGGTAACAATGGCAACCCTACAACATGCAGAGCAGATAAAGACTGTTGCTACCGGCGACCAAATGACAACCAGTATCCAACATGTTTCTACAAACATAGTTTACCAGGTCCACTGGGTGAGTCTTAAATTAAATCTATGATACATAGCATATACTTGTATAGTATAATATTGTAATCCCTTTGTGAAATAAGTTATCCGAAAAAACTTTAAAAACTAAACTCCATGTTTAAACACTACAAAAGTCATCTCTTGTCAGATAAACTGTAAGAATACCTTTTTCAGTTCACGACCTCAGGAGTAAAAACTCCAAGAGACCGATTAAAAATGAATTATAACCAAGAAAACGGTATCAAAAAGATGAATAACTATTTCAATTTTGAATGTTCCATAAAACATCATCACTGTCATTCCGACTGAAGTATCCAATTTTTAACATTTTAGGTTATACCGACTGGGGCATAGGTAAAGGAGGTACGGACTCAAATGATAGACGCTGTGGGATTCTATGGCAAGATTTTAGTTGGCAATGGGATCACCAGAAGTGTCAAAGCAACAATGGAAACAATGTAGGATTCATCTGCCAATATCGTAAGTTGTTTCACCTTATGTTGTAGTATACTACTATTTGTTTGGACATCGTATCATTAGAATTTAAAATGTATTATGATTTTAACACATTACATTCGAACATAGACTGGCTCACAAGTGAGTCAGTATTTTACATTGTACAATGTTATAAAGTTATAAACTATACGATATAAACTATATATATGCTACAAATTATAAACAATATATCTTTTAGGCTATAAACTATACATTCCGATAAATTATAAACCATTTCAGCTGTCATGCCTTCCACTATCTCACCTTCTACAACAATGGAGCAAACCACAGCAGCGACAACAATTACAACACAATCAACGACTACAACCTCTACAACAATTGAAACAACACAGTCACCAATGACGACAACCATAGCAACAACAATACCAATACAAATAGTGGATACCACATTAAGTGACACAACAACAATTGACACAACAGTAGCTGAAACAACAATAGTCGACACAACAATGGTTGACACCACATTGGCTGAGACGACAATAGTCGATACAACAATGGCTGACACCACATTTGCTGACACGACAATAGTTGACACGACCATAGATGAGTCAACAGAGGAACCATCTACAACTCCACTTGTGATTTCATACAGCACAACAAGACATTCTGTTTCTACCAGCCAAGAGTTTGAGTTGACCACAGCCCGTGAAATAGCTGGCACCACTACTACGGACCGAAGTTCTGCTGTTCCTCCATCAACAACTGTTAGTATTGCCCCATCATCGTCAGTGCTAACATCATCATCTACAGCATCATCAACGGCTACAGTAGCATCAACAACTTCATTACCATCATCATCAACAGCTGCAGCAGAATCATCAACATCAGCTACACAAATGTCTTCTACAATAGGTGAGTTTATTTTGGTTTCTATTGAAGACATGAGATCCTCCAAATTTTATGATTTCACTTTTTCAGAACACACGAGGGATACCAGTAAAGACAAGCAACTAAACAATAGCAACCAAATTCTTGTTATTCTTGTTCAAGTTCCATACTTGCAGGTCCAATTCAAATCAAAGTTGTTTAAAATTATACACAACATCACATCCATCGTGTCTTGGATAAACCAACAGTCGATAGACAAAATTATTTGTAACATCCTGGTTGCAACACTTTGTGCACTGATTCTGTGATGGTATTGGGGTTGTCATTAGATGACACTCTAAGAATAATGTGTATGAAAGCAATTCCAAAATAACTGGCTATATTTGGAAGATAATTGGGGAGGAAAGAAAATGTTTTATTCAAAAAGCCCCCTGAGGTACTGAATTGGTAAAGCGTGTACTATACACTTACTTATACATGCATAAGGCTGATGAAAATGACAAAATGATGGATGTAACACAAGAAAACTTTATTTCCATACATTTTATAATGTTGTATTTCCGGGCCTCAGATCAAGAGGGTCCCATCATTAAAAAAATGGACGGTTGGGTCACAATTTACATCAGTCAAAATATGTATCAATTGATTCGAATCATGTTTTTGATAAAGAAAAATAATTATGTTAACCATGCATTTCCAATATTTTAGATTTAGCATCAATTAAAAGGGAAAGAGAGGAATCTGATAGAGCTGGTAAAATTGGTAAGTATGAAAACAATGCAAGTGAACAGAATTTAAAACTAAGAGAAATAGAAGGGACAACAGAGCGTTACTCAAATGTTACAAGAAACTTTTTTAGCAATCTACAGTCGGTGAATTTTAGAAGTGTTTTCAAAATTAACTACTGTCGTACGTATTATTTTATATGTTCTGACAGACAACTTCAGTGAAAATGTGTATTTATAAACTACATTAAATCCTCGCAAAACAATTAAATAAGAACATCTGATTAATTCTAATTTCCCCGCCCTCAAGCCACACGCGTTCATATATTCTGAACGGCTCGGAATGTAGTTTTGAAATAACGTTTCTTGTTATGTTACACCCTATGCACATCTTGATTCACAAGGTTTCAGTTTCTTCAACTTGTGTTATGACCATCTTGGAATTCGAAGATGCCCTATGCAGACGGAGTTTGATGTATACTGCGTCAGAATGAATTACATACTATTTTTACAATTTTATTGATATCAGGTGTCAACTACACATATATGAGTATATTTCAAATCAAAACAGCTAAGTTTAAGAAATATCGCAAATTTAAATTCAATAATGACCGCTCATTTCTGCCGCACCAAATATTCCCCACAGGCTCCGTCTACATAGGGTGTATTATGTCAATCATTCGTCCATCTTTTTTCCACCATAATTGATATGCAAATGAAGTTAACAGTTCGATGAAAAATATGAACTTTTAAACGACTGTGTTTGTCTAATTTGATATCTAGCCCTACTATCACACCAAACTAGTTCTCACTACGTTCTCGAAAACGGGCTTCAACTGTATACGAACGGACTGGACCTACTAAGAACCGTTTGGGATCTATTTACAAACTTCATCGAACGTACTCGAACGGGTAGGTCCTCTTGAACTTAGACAATGCTCGAAATGTTGTCGTGGTCGTCACGTTCTATTATTTGAACGAGTGACAACGTACTAACAACGAGCTGGACGTACTACGAACGGAACCGTCGTACTTCAATCATACTAGGGACGTTTTAACAACGAGTTGAACTGTCTGAGGACGTGTTGAGAACGAGGTAGAACTAAATGCAAACGGGATTAAACTGATTAAGAACGTATTTAACACTGCTTATGAACGAGCTAGCAAAAATATAGCTATCACACCAAACAAGTTGCCACTGCGTTCTTCAAAACTGGTTTTAAACTGTGTGCGAACGGAATGAACGTAGCTGCAACTTTCTAAGGTCTATTTACGAACTTCATGAACGTTCTCAGACGGGAAGGTGATTTTAGAATTTTGAATCGATTCAAAATTCGATGGCGACCATACCGTTCTGTTATCAGGTCATGGTGACCTTCTAGACTAAGGGACGTTGCACATCGACCTGGTGCGACTTGAACGAACTGCGAATGAGATGGACGTATTGAAGACTGTTTATGAACGAAGTAGCTAATTATTTCAGACATATTTCCCGACCACAGCCAGATTAAGCCCGTTTTACGACTTTTTCGTAGGACTGGCAAGAACGGGTAAGAACTAGTTTGGTGTGATAGCAGGGTTAGTGAGATTACGATTTTTTGTACGTTTTTGTACGTGTACGTGGACGTGTAGAGTTATGGTCCTCTGTGGATTAGTTTAAAGGTATACGGAAAAATAATTGTAATTAGGTACCTGGAAAAGTGAATTGAGAGCGGGGTGGTAATCCCCGGGGTCGAAATATTACACGCTCACGTACAGGTTCCCTTAAAACGTGTAACTTTGCCTCCCTACTAGCTACAAAGACATAACTTGATACCAGCTAAATAGATTTCTTAGTTTCTGAAATGTTTTGTGTAGAAAAGCAGGCAAATGCAATAGACTTTTTATTTGAGTCTATATGTTATAATTGAGTGAGGAAGGATACTACTGTTATTAGCTTATAAGGGAGGTCGACCTTCACGTTTTAAGAGGACTTGTACGTAAACGTGTGAAATCATTGTCATCTAGGGATTAGTTCATAATACTACTCGTTCAAGTTCTCTAAAAACGTTTAGCGTGAGCTTTAATTTTAACGTCACTTACAGATCTATACGTTGATACATTTACCAAACCAGTCTGACGTAATTTATCTACTCCCTGAATCTGAAATGTCGTAGATCCACACCGGAATAGCCTGACAACGGTAAAATCAGATATCGTTGTCACAAATGGCGGACATAACCGTCGCTTCAAGACTTTAATCACTTGGTCCTCATTTCATGGGATTTTATCGTCGCTAATCCTGTGCATGCATTAAGCTCTTGTGATGATGTATCATATGAAATCCCAATTTCGATCAAATTGGGTCGTGAATCGCAACAATATAGCGTCTTCGATATCGTCAATGACAACGGAATCTGAATTTGAAATATTTACAAAGACAACGGCATATGGTAATACAGTGTCTGTTGTCCCGTATCTCATTTTGATCGGTTAAATTAAAGACTTTATTTCGATGGTAGAACATTATTAAGTGAATAATGAGTATAAAGACACTTTGGTTGATTGTTGTTCTAAAGTCTAGATGCTCTATTAAACATACAGTTCATGAAAATCTAATTGAAAATACGGTTATGTCCGCCATTTGTGACAACGTTATCTGACTTTACCGTTGTCAGACTATTCCGGTGTGAGATCTACGACGTCGAACTGGGCCAGACGGGTTTGGTTAGGCGTACATTATCATTGACGTGACGTGTTGACAAATCGAAATCCAGTAAAACTATGTTATTTGAATTTGTATACTTATTTATTGAATTTATTTGGATGCTATTGTATACTTTTCGGTTTGGAATTATACAGACATGATTATAGTACTATATAATAACACAACTAATAGCTAATACAAGAAAACACTGTGATTGTAAGGAAATTTAACTGTTTACTTAATTTTTTTTAAAATCCAAGTTGTGAACTCAAATGCAAAATTATGTAATGTTTGTTGTAATGTTGTAGATGCTACACGCCATTCATTGTTGTTTGTTTGTAAGGCTGTCTTATCTGATACCATTCTTAATTTCTGTTACCAACTTTCTGAAAATATAAAATAAATAGTGATATAAATATGCTGAATATTATAATCAGTATGTGATTGATGTGTTAAGTTGTGGATGTTACAAAACGGAAAAATGACGTTGCATCCTTCAAACGCAGGGCTCCAGATATAACTGACGCATCAACAAGAGGGAAGTTGTTGATGACGGGAGCCGTGCGTCCGGAGGTTGTGATACTGTTGCTTTATGAAGAGGCTTACATTCAACCTGTTGTTTATACTTTTCTTCCATCTGCGACATGAAATAGTGAAGAGTCCCGAACATCTTGTAAACAACCTCGGCTGCATCATCACTGATGTGGAGACCCTTCATATATGCCATGGCGTCACACATCTTTCCCATGTGCTCGGTGTTCCAAGGGGCGTCCAATCTGACTTGACGTTTTGCTCTCATGTTTTCCACCTCCTCTTTGGCTTCGTCGATGATGTCTTCTTGCTTGGGAATATTGTGTTCTCCATCAATGGCACCTGCCAGCTCGGCTCTCAATTGGCAGACAACGTGCATACGCTTCAGTTGTTCCCATACATAATCACGCATGGCGGAGTCATCGTATGTTTCACCTTCTTCCGCTTGTTTTGTCTCAGCAAGGAGGCGTTTAAGAGTTGCCACCATTCCACTCTTGCTATCCCTTTTGACTGGGCCACTCAAAGTTGCGGGGACAACCAAGAGCATCAGGGCCAGGGAAACAGTCACAATATTCATCTTGAAATCTGGAAAAAATGAACAATTATCAGTACATCCTTGTTGCAATTGATGGATTGAGATCTACTGCAACTTTTGCTTTTTGTTTTTGCATAGAATGATGGAAAATTCAAATCTCAGACTGAAAACTTGAAAAAGTTGAGGTTACCCTTGATTATCCAATAAAATATAAAGAACTTATCTCGTTTTTTAAATTGATTTACTTGGAGTATTCGCAGCGAGAAACAATGCGAAGAGGTCAGAACAATTTATAATTCCAACTCCAAAACTCAACCCAAAACAGTTGAAACTTAGGTAAGTTAGATACAATTGAAAATCACAATTAAACTTGAATATTGCAACTTTCACTTTGAAAAATAAAATAAGGTTGAGTTTAAAACTTTTCATGTGCTTTTTAAGTTTGAAACTATTCAAGAGACTATTAAGGATACTATAAAAAATACAAATTAGACCAAAATACAATGCTTTTTCTTGAAATGTTTATTATTTTGTATTTCTGAAGTGCGATACATTAATCATAAAATAATTGGTGCTCGTCAAAATTTTTTGAATAATTCTTACCTTGTTTGGTCAGACTCTCTCACTCCTATGGGAACTAAAAAGTGGTACCTTGTTGGTGGTAACCCAAGATTTTAAAGTCCTAGGCTATTATGTTATTTTATAAGATTTATAAGTTTGTTTTGGACCCCATTGTGAGAATTCTTATATAATGTACAGGGTGCTTCGCTATTTACAGTCTACTTTAAAAGAACATATTTCAAGGTTTTTCATCAAAATATTTATTTGATCTATTTATGCATCGTTTTTTTTGTTTCCACTAAGTACATTATGTGATATTTTGATATTAACCCTCTTTTTAGTATAGTCACGCGGTACTAACTTCGACCGTTAATTTGAATTTTTGACCTACCAGATGTATGAAAATCAAAGGATTGCGAGTCTCATACTGCACCGTTTTTTCAAACTTGTTCCATTCAAAGCATAACAAAAATGACTTTTTGTATCTTTTTATTTGAAATTTCCACAGAATGTGTAAAATAATGGCAGCCATTGGTGTGACGAATTTCATTTACTTTCCTTCAATTGGAAGAACAAATTGGTTACTAGTATGGTCACGCTTCTTCAGACCTTGATCGATCTGACGCATCATTAGTAAAATGTTGTTTGTAATTTACTGTAAACACATATTTTGGCAATATCTGTTAGATTGGCAAAAATGGGAGCAAGGATATGTAATATTTCTGTTACATGGCAAAAATGACAAGCCATAGATAGGTTGACTTCAAATTCATACAAAGGACGCAACGTCGCGATGCCTCAAAGATTTTGACCAATATCTGTTAACGTTGCAATGAATTATGGGATTTGACATTTTTTATTTGTTACACAATAACTTGAGAACTCATTGCCTGATTAACTTTAAATTCATACAATGATCACCAATCTTCAAACTTAGGATAATATTAGTTACCGTTGGATATGGAACTTGCACAGATACGTTTTCACTTTATGTATTTATTTAATTGTCATGGTTACAATTATAAATACTTGTACTTTAATACATCGGAAACAATTACCCCAGGCTCCAATCCATGTGCAATCAAAAATGATCGTCAAAAATGTTTTGTTATGAATTGATCAGATTGTGGAAACTGTTATGTTGTCTAAGTCCTAAACTTTTCTGCATGAGATGTCAAATTGGCCATTTCTAATTCTTGCCTTTCCCGAGGCCTTTCCCATCTCTAAGATGCTGACACTGGGAGATGGCTGAAACAAACTCTGTTGTCAGGTTATGTTGAAATAATTGATGCTTGAGATCGTGAGCTTAGTTATTTTGTCGTGATCAGTTTAAACGGTGTCACTGTTCCGTCTCACTCTGTACTCTGAACCTTGTCAAAGGGTGAGAACGTTTAATACCTAGAACACGTCGATTTAAATCCCCTTTCCAATATCATTTTGGCACTGCCAAGAAGACAGATTGGTGTTCATTTCAAATTTAAATTTATCGATTTAGTTAAGCTCTTTAAAGGGTTGGTATTTGGATTAACTACACGGAAAACAAGTAATTCTTATTCTTAAATTCCAACTAGTTAGCCACTATTATTTTCTCATTGGAATTTTTATTCATGTTTGAAATCGCTTTTGTTACACAGCCGATATTAATGATGTTGTAGCTCTGCAATAACAGTGTCTGGATATTTAAAGGACATTTAAACTTGAACTGCTCCATCAGTGGTCCTCGTGAGAAATCATGGCCTTCTGTTAGCTTATTTCTAGAAGTCATATTTCTAGTTAACGACAGAAAGATTACGCTTTGCAATAGTTCGACTTCGCTTTTTAAAGAGAGCTTCGTCTATACTCTTGGAGCGGGGTACATAAAGATGGGATGAGTATCAGAATCGAATGTATTATCGTTATGTACTTGAATATCGTCCCATATCTTTTCTAGGATGTTAGTGATACTCCCATAGGCTTCGGGAATAGTAGTAATACTATGTATAATAAAGTTTCTTTCTCTTTCTCCGTCCATCACATCATCTTTTATGGGAATCTGGTGCTATCCATAACACTTTTCAACCATGGGCTTTCAACTAACTGAAAGCCCATGCTTTAACCCAGCTCTTAATTGGCAGACGTACATACCATGGGCGTCTTCTTGAACTCACTGTCCTGTCTTGTTTTAGAATGAGGACGTCTCATTTGTTTCATATGATTCTTATTGTCTTTTTGACTGAACTAAGCTTGGGTTCGACAGCAAACAACACAATCAAGGTCACTGGATAAACTGCAATATTTGCAATGTTGGGCAGTGCGCAATTGAATTGCAAACGCAAAATTGCAAGACTGGGACGGAAATAAATTTCCATACTACAGTATCGATGAAATCTAATTTATGAATTTATACTTTCCAAATTTTTAAAGATATTCAAAAGTTTTAACATTTTATAAGCACACTACTATACCTAACACCTAGAAATGCATAAGATACTTTGTTTGTCTAGTTGAATTGTTTAATATATTTTTGAAAGTGCCTTACTAGCATCTAATTTTCAACCGATAAACCATTCATAAGGAACAGACAAATAAAAACAAATACATAATCATTACTAATGAGCCAAATGGGTTGCTCATGAACACCAAATGCAAGGTATAGTAGTGTGTAAGTGGTAACGAGCATCTTAGCGTCTTTGGATGATATATACCAAATATAATATACTTTAAAACCTGGCAAACAAATGGTAAACAATAAGTATGCCCGGGTATATATGGTACAAGTATATATACATTTTTGAAATTAATTAACAAAATGGACAATTATCGAATGAATTATTCTCGATTCTGTAACACGATCGAATCTGGACCAATTTTGAGGCTTGATATAATATTCAGACATATCTAGACAAGGTGTGTCCGATTCCACGCAATCAGAAAACGCTATTTCAAGTAACTGCATGCTATTATTTCACTTTATTATATACCTCAAATGTATTCTAGATGCTCATTGGCTTATTCATGGTCACATGACATGGAAAGTCCTAAATCCCTGCTTTCAGGGAAGATGAATTGTACTAATCACCAGTTAGGTCATGTGACCAGTCAATAGTACATTTTATCTTCCCCCAAATCTGAGATTATAGGAGTTGAAAGGTAAAATGCCTTTAAATGCCAATAAGAACCTGTGAACATTTGATATTGAAATGAAAAGACTTCTCATTTTGTTTTTGTTTACAGAGTACTTATCAGGTATATAACAAAACAAATAGTGACTGCCACATTTTCGGGAAATAGTGTAAAAATTTTCCTCTCGGGAATATCTATTTGTACAATATTACCTGCAGAAACAATGCACTGAACGATATCTAATTTCCCGGGGAAAATTGCCGCTCATTACTTGCATTCTTGACCGGCAATATTGACCGCCACCATGACGTCACATATTGCTTAGGTCGATATAATAAAATTAATGTCTTCTAAACTAGCACTAAAGTCCCTAGAACTGGCCTGGCAAGGTGGTAATAATATATGATACCGACTGACACAAACAGAAGTGACAAATTGACCCTGATTGCAAAATTTTTCGTTCCACATTGCACTGAGTCCAGGGCTTAAATCCTAAATACAATCTTACTGAAATATTCAAAATACAATCGCTTGCAATAGGAAAATTCCATATCCACAAATCGTGGATAAGTATTGTTTGCTTCCAGTTGAATATATACAATTGAAAATTTAATGAGCATTGGAAAAAGGTTTAGCCTCCCCGTTGCTAAATAGAACTTCAAAATAATCCGGATTTTATTGCACAGTTAATCCACCTTTGGCTAATAGAGAAATTTCCAATTGCCCCTGCAAGATTGTAACTCTTTTAAAAAGATTAGTGAATGTATAATTGTCAAAATGTGAATACACTGCTTATGAGATATGTCTTATGTGATATAAGGTCAATAAGGGGGTTGCTATATTTATTTATTTATTTATTTAGACTTACACTTTTAAAACAGTGGCTCACAAAAGGAGCATCGACATTCATTAAAAAATTATGTACATACAAAAACCTATAGTTTACTAAAATAATGGTAATCATGGTTTTCCAGAATATGGTATGTACACCTCTGTTAAAAACGTTTTAAAACAATTGTCAAATTGTTTTCCTATTTCATTCCCCACATTATAAAAACATATATAGCTGAATAAATAGCTGTCAGCACTTGTTTCTATTTGTTTTGGTTGGGCCAGACTGCCATAGGCTTCAATGGTAAAAACTTGCAATAGTTACTTAATTTCATGATTTATCAAAAAGTGTTCTAAAACTCTGTCTAAAACTCGAATGGTATACCCTGTTAATGTACATATTGTGATTAATCATGAGCATTTTAGTTGTTGAATGAATAAACCAAGGTTTTTAAAAAGATCATTGGAGACTTGGCCAACACTTTTTGAGAAAAGTTGAAAAGGTTTTGGAAAAAGATTTGAATAACATAACTCTATGAGTTCAGTGAAAATTTATCTAAAAGTCAGTAATAACTTTGATTTACTTCACTGTTAGAACTTCTAGAGAAGTTAAGAAGAAAAATACTGTTCAATGAAATACTAAAAAATGTTTTGTATAATTCTTCAGGAATGTGGATTGGAATTGGCGTTGGACTTCTTGTGCTGATAGTACTTGTAATACTTCTCATTGCCTTCCTCACAAGGAAAAAGTAAGATTTCATTTATCTAATTCATTTCAATGTGCATGCTGCATGAATAAATTAAGATAATGGTGGCTGATTTAATTTGGATCTTTAACTTTCATCACACTGTCATTGATCTTCACTTACATCACACTATAATTCATGCATGTTTCAATTTTCCCATACTTTATTGAGCACCCTTGATAATGCTAAACTATACACAAACTGCAGCCTATTGCAATAGCTTACGATAAGATGGGACTTTCAGCTGTGCTCATCTTTCTACGAGTCTCATCTTATCAGATAATTATTTTAGAATAATATCTAAGGTCGCTTTGCTTTATAGATGGCGTATCATTCAGCCTCGTAAATGGGCAATAAAAACACCACCAATGAGACAATCAATTCATCCACAGCAATTCCCTAGTGAAAATCTATGTCTTGTTAATTGTAATGAGAAATATCAGAATGGACTCCTTCCCCCTATCCCAGGTACTTTTATTTTCATGTCAAATTCCCCGAAATTATAAATATATTTCTTCTCCAGTGTTATTGAAGGTCTGATAAATATTTACAAATGGGAAAAATGATTTACATTTCAAATCATATGATTGATCAGAGAATAGTTGGTTATTTGTGACAAAATTGAGGGAAATAATAGCTTTGGTTGCCTTAACTTTACTGGGCTGATGATATTTAGCATTAACATTGAACACTGGAACTCACCTAGTTATGCTGACGATACGTCAGCGTAACAAGATGGAAGAACTTCCGGCTTCGTTTTCGGTAAGATATTTTTATTTCTCGATTCTACACCACTTATAAGTCAAGTTGTGGACAATAATTTGGCTCAAAGCTAAGGAAGATAGCCTAGTTTGAGAATATGCAGGCGGTTCTATATTGCCAATGTGACAATATTCATGAAGATCGTCAATGTAACAAAAGCGAGGGACTAAATATTTGAATTGCGTCTCCGTTAATATACTAAACAGAACCGCCTGCATATGTGGTGTGGAATCGAGAAATAAAAATATCTTACCGAAAACGAAGCCGGAAGTTCTTCCATCTTGTTACGCTGACATATCGTCAGTGTAACTAGGTGAGTAGCAGTGATTGAAGGATATCTAATCCATTCTTATTTCTCATTTTAGACAACCAGTTCGAAAACCAGAATTTGCAGAAAGAGAGGATAACACTTACATCGATGACGTAGATCCTGTCATGCTAACTAACCCGTTATATGAACAGACTCAGTCGCCACGCAACTCAAAGATCAACATTGAGATCTCAATTGGGGAGAGCGGTCAGGTGACCACAAATGGAATGAGCATGCCAACGGGGAAATCAATATCATCGATGCGGCTCAGTGGAGGCACAACCAACCCAGGGTATGAGATGATGAGTATAAGAAAAGAGAATGACAGACAAAGTCCAAACCAAGACTACGAGATGATGGGTATGAATGGCAGTGACAAACAAAGTACATTAAAATCTGACTATAGCGTTCCCAGAACTGGGAGTGAGCTGTCTGGAACAGAGTCTGAGTATGACACTCCTAAAGTACAGCCAGACTATGACACCCCGAGGTATCTGGGAAGACTGCTTCCCGCTCCTCCAGCATATTCCAAAGACAAGCCAAAGGACCCATGGGATATTCAAGTCGTTGAGGGATGGAATGCTCAATCTAAAATTTAATCCTTGTTAGGCATATTGAGCTTCATACATTCAAAACTTCTAACTTAGTAATTTGCATTGTTGACTCAATAGTTGAAACCATATTCAGGTATAACTCTGCTGTGTAGTGTGTATTGTAATCACTGAGAAGAACACGGCATTTGATACCCTTTGCATTCGTTTGACTTCACTTCTTAAAAGAGAGCTTCGTCTTCACTCTTTCAAACTAAAATAAACCTGTGAACTCACCGCACCAATCAGTGTTCGTCGGCCAAATTTGACCGACGTTCTTTATATGGTCATTCCTTCTGACGTCATCGTTGAGCCCAGAATTGACCAATGACATGCGCATATTTAATTAGAACGCATTTGGCGCATGTTTCTTCAAGCTCGCTGATTGGCATGGAAGGTCAGCGCGTACGTCAACAGTGATTTACCCAAACTGTCACCGGTACCCATCGTTGGGGCGGGGCTACTAAACTGTAATATGGTCTCTACTAGGCAGAGTGTAGTTTAACTAGACTCTGCACGCAGGGTAGGCATTTGAGCAGATGAGTTAGAAATATATGAATTTGAATGTTGTGTCTCTATATTTACATTGGAAATTTTAGTTCATTATCTATTGTACTGTGTTAGGTTATACAATTCATGTACCAAAATATCTACATGTGGTGTGATTCCAGCATTATACGTACCTAGGTTGCTGTTTATATTCCAGAAATATTACGAATTAAAAACCTTTTGTACATGTATGTACAAAAATATAAATGTACATGCCATTGTTATCTGTTAGATGGCCAATTCACTGACTATTGTCTATGCCGTTAGATAAAAGAGGAACTTCTGAGAACTTGGATAGTACTGATAATGTCAAATCTGTAACTGCATTGGTATATTTAAGATAGAAATTGCAAATGCAATCGATCAGTTTGAAAAAGTAAGGAAGTCACTTTAGCAATTAGTTCTGATGCATGGAAAGGCCAGTATAAAAGTAAATATCAGAGGCATAGCCAGGATGAAAAATAAGGTGAGGCAAATGTAAACATGTGAGGCAAATAAGGCATATGTAAATATATGTTGATATCCTTGTAGGAGTAAATGAACTTTTAAAGGTTTTTCAGCATTGTGTCAATGGGGATTTAGCCCAACCTTTTTATTTAGACAACTAGAAAATCATTAGAATTTGAATAAAGGTAAATAATGCTGCAAATCAATGTTGTTTTGATAGAAAATTACACCCAGAATTCAAATATGCCATCAAATAGAAATAAATGTTAGTCTTTAATGGTTAAAAATGCAGATCTCCTAAAATCTCATTAAAAAACGAGACTTTAACAAGATTTCAAAGCTGTATGGAAAAAGGACCATTGCCTCTTTGCCCCATTTCGGCTGCATTCATGAATAATTATTCTATTATGCATTAAAATCAATGAACAAATTACTTATATTTATATCACAAAAATGTATTTGTTTAAATTTTAGAACTGGGTATTTCCAGTGCCATATTATGTACAAAGACAGAGCGAGCTTTATGAGCAAACTACGCCAAATTGCAGTAAACAATATCATACATTTAACTGTACATATTTATAATACAACTTTACATTCTGAATAAAATGGAAAATTCTCCATAATAAAGTATATTGTTCATTTACCATTTCAGGTCTATTATGCAGAGCTGATGAATCTCATGCACACTTTTCTTAATAGAAAAACTATAACAACTTGAAATTATTTACATTATTATCAACAAGAAATTGCCAACAATAAAAGATCCACATATACAGAGAAAAGTGCTTAGAATTATATAGATTTAAATTTCTTAAAAGCATTCAATTATATGGTATCCTTTGCTTTGTTAAATCTGCCAACGTTAGAATCCTGAGAACCAAAATGCAACAATACAATGCAGTGTTTCACATTTGTGAATAAGACTTCCAAAAAGTCAATATTTTTAAGCACGTTTCACTGAATAATCTTCATAGGGACATTTATGCTAAGTCCAAAATGCATACAATAATATCTATACTAAACTACCTTACATCTTTATCTTATAGTAAATAAATTAAATCTTGCATTTTATGCTATATAAAAGGTGATGTCACTTGCACATTTGGCAATTATATACAATGTACACGGACACACCGACACACCTTTAATTCAATTATATTTTGCCAGCAAAACTAGCAGTTGTATCTTGAATACCTAGATTGAGACATTTATTGTACATTCAAATATTTGTTTTCAAAAATTACCTATCAGATAAAAACTCAGTAATATCTACATGGACAAGATGCATACATTAACTGCTTATTTCATAAAAATGTTTACTTTAGCTTAATCCTAACTTTAACAGCTGAGGAACAGTACATATCCTTATATAAATGATTTACATACAAGAGAAAATGTCAGTACAATATTCTATATATATTTTATATATTCATGATCATGAGTTACTATAACTTTTATATCTGATTTCATTTTTAAAGTACACATTCTCTAAAAAGCACCACATTCCGAAAAGAAAGTCCTACTTAAATGTCCAAGAAATGTACGACATTCACATATAATGTATTGTATATAATAATGTCTCAACGAAAGTGTATGATTATGTACAATGCTATAAATGAAGTGAATATAAGTGCAAAACATACAAATACACACTAATATGCACAATATATGCCATTACATGGACACACCCTGTTTAGCATATCACTTAGCTAAACACTACATATAAATAAGAACATTATTTTGTGTCTAAAATTGCACTAGAAAACAGCTGTGGCATGCACTAATGCAAGCAGAATCGCACATTTTTATGATTTTCCACAATGAATGATGAAAAAGTATTCAACAAAAAAATCAAAAAATATTTTAAATGAATGAAGAGATGTCAAAATATTTTGTGTCATTTTCATCAGGAGAGTCACAAAGATGTTGATTTTGCTACAGCTGTATGATGTCCAGCCACTAAGCACAACAGCTGTATGATGTCCAGCCATTAAGCAAAAAAGCTGTATGATGTCCAGCCATTAAGCACAACAGGTGTATGATGTCCAACCATTAAGCTCAACAGTTTCATGATGTCTGGTCATCAATATCTACAGCTGTATAATGTTTAGTCAATCCTTATCTACAGCTGCATGATGCTCAGTTATAAGCGCAAGTCACACTATTGTCTCATACTGTGTGCTACAAGCACTCCTTATAAGGAGTCTGGCGCTTTGATGGATTCTATACTGAATTCTTGGGGTCGGGAATGTAGAGATGTGGGTGCGTGTAATTAACATTGGGGTAAATACTGCCATTCTTATTGTTCATAATGTTATTGCTGGTGGGACTATGAAGCTTATCCAAATTATTTGTATTGTTATAGTTGTTTGGGTATGGGTCATTACGTTTGTAGTTATTTGAGACAGATGAAGCAGAGCTGTTATGAGCCGAGGATTTGTGGCTGGAGACAGAGGGAGGGGGTGAGGGCTGTTTATAGATGGGGCGTTGGTACATCAGTTGAGGCTGTTGCTGCTGCTGCTGTTGTTGCATCATCTGCTGCTGCATCATCTGATGTTGTTGTAACAGTTGATATGGGTTGACTGGGGGTTGGGTGGGTGGTGGGATTGTGGTTGGCATGGGTCGGTGGCCTAAGGACTGATTGGTTATCTGGCTGGTCTGGGTGTTGTTACTGGGTCCAGTAGAGTGATGGCTACTAGGTGCACTACTAGAGTGGCCAGATTGGCTGTGAGCAACATGGTTATGTACAGCTAAGCTCTCACCACGCCAATGACGTAACCTTGTGTTAATCTCTCTAAAGTGGGGCCTCCTACCAGCTACCTCATGCCAGCATTCTATCATGAGCGTATACATGCGAGATGGGCAGTCATCGGGACAAGGCAAGACTTGACGCGCCCGGATCATTTCAATCACTTCCTGGTTAGAGAAACCGTAATACGGCTGGAGTCCATAGCTGAATATCTCCCATAATACAACCCCATAGCTCCATATATCACTCTCCACTGAGAATTTGCCATAGAGGATAGCCTCTGGGGGCATCCAGCGTACTGGCAACAAGCTCTTGCTCTGTACTCGATAATAGTCCGATGAGTATATATCTCTGGACAAGCCAAAGTCTGAGATTTTGACAGTCACATTTTCTCCTACTAATATATTCCTACACGCAAGGTCTCTGTGCACAAAATGGTGGGTGGCGAGATATTCCATTCCTGCTGCCACCTGATTGGCTATATAAAACATGTCTGATTGGTCGAGGACGTGAGGTGTGGTATCGTCATCACTGATTGAGACATCTGAATGTGGGGAGTGAGTTTGGAGGTACTCATGTAGGTCCCCATGTGCCATGAACTCAAATAACATACAGTGAGGTTCCTCTCTGAGACACACACCTATGAGGCATACAATATTAGGGTGCTTTAAATCCTCCATCAAATCAATCTCCTTTTTGAAATCAGTCTGTGTTTTAGACGCTGCATTATCTTTCACTGTTTTGATTGCTACTTTAGTGATCGCATGCTCTGATGGGTAGCCAATGAGCTCCCCTTTGTACACCTTGCCAAATGCTCCCTCTCCAAGTTCCTGGAGGAATCTTATACAGCTCATGGGGTATTCGGTTGATCTGAGGCTCTGCTTGGAGGTCAAAGGACTCAGTTCCATGTTGCCGTTGGAGCGCTTTGCGGTCTTATCCTTGAGTGCTTGTTTGTTTCTCTTGCACATGCATATTATGAAGAGAAGCAGTGCTAAGGCCAGAGGTACCGCGATACAAGGGACGAGGATCATGATGATTTCACTAACGCCTTCGCTGCCCTTTACTTCAGCTGCAAAACACAACAGATGCCAATATCAACACATGCATTAACAAAAAAGAAGAAGAATGCAATTCTAACTGAGCATGTTAAATGGCAAGTGCGTGTCTATGTCTTCATTACACTGGATGTGGATATGAACCAGTAAAGAGACACAATGTTGTTCACTACAATAGAAAACTTAAAGGGTCTAAACTCTTACCAAACCAAATCATGAAGTTTCATCAAATTCTAAGCTAGCAGTGTACAATGATGTTTCATACTCAATATCATTCTAGTCTAGACCCTTTAAATACATCAGTTTCAAGCTTCTAGGTGTAAAGTTGATGTTATTTTACAACAACACATTTCAGAAATACATCTCCAAAACAGCAAATTCAAAAATCATCTACAAAACAAAACTGAAGAATGAGTAAAAAGGCATGCTAAAAACTAGTGCTAATGCAAATGTCTTAAAATAATGAACATGATGATGAGATAAAAATCTAATTTTACATTCCCTCTTCAATCAATGTAACAGACAATATTTTCCAAAAATGTAATTCTCCTTAGTTGATATGAAAGAAGTAATGCTAATTTGCATTTGCAATGACACAATTGTTTATGTCTATAAAGGGTCTAATTGGGGTGTCTATCAGGTGTCGCAATCAGTGGAATGCATATCTGTTTACATATTTGATGCCAAATACTATTCCAGTAACTATGGGAATGAACTGGATTGTTCCTTGGTTGCTATGGTAACTAGCACTGTTGCCATACCGACTCAACTTCCTATAATAAACTGAAAAAGAAAATTTGGGATGAATGGAGGTACAGAATAGAGGAACAAAGGCAAGAACTTGTATGACATGTATGTACCTAAAGTCTGAAGTGAAGTAACCCTTTATCAAAATAATAATTAAAGACTTATGAAATCATTTTATCAGTCAAGGTTGCTACTGAGGGTCCATTGTTTGATACAAAGAATCAACATTGAGAAAAGATAAATGCAGTCTCTGGATTATAAGTTCAATTAATAAACAATCCACGAATTCTGAATCTGTAGCAAAGGTTATTTATTTATACGATAAGACAGAAATTATGATTTTATGAAACTTCCACCACATATTTCAAATGGTAACTTTTAAAAATATATTAAAATTAAAAATATCAAATCAGCAAATAATTTGGGAAAAGTTGTATTTAATTTAATCAAGACATCATGCTTTACTGTACTCAGGAAAGTACAAAATAGAGGTAAACTTATTTTAATAAGATGCAATGCCATGCCTGATGTAAGAGTCACTTTATGAGAGAGTATCAAAGAATTATCTCAAGGTTTTGTATCCAACTTATTCAAATAAAGAAAGTAAATAGAGAGGCATCAAGCTCCTAGCAATAAACTTGTATTCTTGACAATATAAACTCTCTTGAAATTAATCAATCAGTCTTATTTATTAATTATTATCATAAGATAGTGTTCATTTTTGTTTACTTAATTCATCTTGTGAATGCATGGTTCCGAACATCATTCATGTCTCGAGCCCTTCTTTCAGAGGATGCATTAAATTCTTAAATTCACTGAATATTTACAAGACTCTAGACAGCCTTTAGACTTCCTTATTATAAAGTAAAATTACTTAAGATTACTCTGTAAATAGCATGGGGTCCCATCCGATAATACTATTTTCAAATCAACTTTGCATTAACTTGTGACTGAACATAATGAAGAAGCTAAATTTAAGTCTACTCCTTTATACTTTATTTGCTTGATATACTTACAGCATTTAGGTATAGAGCATAGCTCTCTAGGAACATTGGGGTTTCTAGTAAAGCACCAGGGGGCATCTTCCCTGTTTCCAGGGTTACGGCAATAATTGTGGTCACCTGGGAAACAGAAAAATACATTATTCTGTAACATTTAAAGAAGATATGGATCATACAAATCAAGTTTATATTCGAGGCACACCCATGATATAACATCCAAACCTCAGACATACTGTCCAATGAAAACCCTTACGCCCATAAATAATATAGCAAATCATAGGAGAGAATTTGTATCATGTGTAATCTTAATAAAATATTAACTAATAATACCAGCTTAATAACTTATTCATTAACTTATGATTGATTTCTAATCAGCTGGCACTTCCTTTAACTTTTCTGAAAATATGAGTTACTAAAATGGATATAAAAATGATCATAGTTGTTTTAATATTCTAAATCTAAAAAAATGCTGATTCTCAATGCGCATTAAGATAATTAACATTTTGATATTGAAAAGAGTTAAATAGTTTATGTAAGAAAATAATCTGCTATAGCTGGTGACAATGTACAATGAAATACAATGTATGCATAAAATGTGTATAATGAAATACAAAACATTGAATTGATATGATGATCATACCTAGTTCAGGAAAACTTGAAGTTTGGAAAAAACTCATTGGATTGTGAGGTGAGTTTTCGTTCCACTTTTGGCACTCATATCCAGACAGAGTGTGACTCACTGTGCCTCTGTAAGTGTTCCCTGTCCCATTGTAGCATGTATGGCCTGAAATATATCATAAAAATTTACATGACAGAAAATTGATGAAAAATATCAAAATGTTCAAAAATTTATCAAGTCAAATACACCTGTAATAGGAAAGGGGAGGGAAGTAGTTAAATGTCACTAAAGGTGTCAGCACTCTCTTGCAGTACTAAGAAGTGATTGAAACCTGTAGTGCCATCTTTTAATGTGATTCAACTCTATCAGATACCGTATATTCCTGTAAGGTGAGACAGAGAATAATATTATTAAACAAGTATAATCTATCTAAACTAAACTTAACTTAAGAAGAAGAAGTTACTTACGTATATCTAGATTACGGCTGGGCCCAAGAGCACCAACGCTGAGACAATTGGCAGCCTCAGGGGTCCCTGGTAGGGGGAGGATATCACACTTGGGTAGGATAATCTTATCAGCTAAAACACAAAAATGCACGCATAAATAAAATATAGAGCAGATGAGCAGATTTTTACAATTGTTTCCACGTGAACAAATTGACTTAAGGATGTGTCACAACTGAAAAGTGAATTATTACAACGTAAATTCCCATCCTTTTGTGCTAATTACCATGTGTATATGACCTTGTTTTTATGTTTTGAGCAAATATGTTGAGAATTTATTGTTCAATTTGATTAAGACCTTTTTCCTAGGTGACAGATTTGTGAGCTGTTATCATAGGTGAAACTGGCAGATTTGAGAATATATTGTTTCTCGAGGCAATCTAAAATGTTCAGGTAAACTTAGCATCAAAGCTTAGTTTAATGTCCATAAAGTCAAGATGTTCGAATGTATAGACCTTTGCTTGATACAACTTGACTTTTACAGCAGAAAGGTGCTAGAAAGAAGTGAAATATTGACCCATTAACCATCTTTATATCCCCACAGTTTTTCACTCACATGGAAAAAGCCCACACATTTCTTACATTCTGTTTTCCAAGAGCTGAAGAAGGAACATATTTGAAGCTCATTTATCAAAAATAGTTTTGATTGTGTAACACTTGGATTGATATGAGAGGAATACATAGACATGTGTTACATAAATCATTTCTCCAGACAGATTACTTGTACAAGACATACTCTACAGATAGCGCCTAATTAACTGTATGTTCAACCAAACCAACCCCTAACTGTGCAACCAAAGCTAAAACACATACCTATTAAAGGATTGGCACTTGCAATGAGAAACTCATTTTTGCATATCGTATCCTCTAAGGCTACACATTCCTCTCTGCAGATTTTCTTCGGTTTGGGTTTTGGTCCGCTGTTGTCACATAGCGGAAATGCATTGAAACAGAGACTGGGTATTGCGTATTTTGCACAATTGGCAGATAGATCACTAGACTGGGCTATCACAGAATATGCAGCTGAAAGAACAACATAGACAGTTTTAGATTTCTATAATAGCAAATGGCCAGTTGCATTTGCTAAGGAACACCAAATAATCAAAGGTTATTATTAAGTTTTTATTTTTCCCATAATATTTAACCAGGTATCGCAATCGGGCGTCATGACATACGTGGTTACAGAATTCAACAAATGAGAATTTCCAAGCTATTCACATCATTATAACTTGTTTGGAAAGTAAACCTCACAATCTGTTGTTATGCTATTTCATTGAAATGTGACAACAAATGTAAAAAAAATTATTCATTTCTATTATTTTCTCTACAAAATCCCAAATTATTTGATGAATTTCTCGTACTTGCTAATCTCTCATCTATCTGCTTCTGTTGAACCTTAGATGTGACATAGATGCTTTTGTTGGCCAGGAATTTGTGACACGCAGCACCCTTGTATGGTTGACAGAACCCTTCCATCTGTCTAGCTTCCTCTCCATACATTCTGAAAGAATAAAATACAGAACATCAATATTTTTTATAAATTTTGCATAAACTAAACTCAAACTAGATAACAGCAACTGCAAAGCTCGGCAAATCCCATCGAACAGCCATGACTGCCATTTTTACAAAATCCTTCTACTACTTTTTCAGTTATAGCAAAAATTGTAAATAAAGCACATAAAAATGGCCACCATTTTTGAAATGGTTGCTCACTGCCAAATTGTCATTAGAAGGTGTAATATGCTTTTAAGTCGGCACGTATAGAATTTCAACAAAATTGCACATACGAGGGGTGATCCAAAAGTCTTGGACGCCTCGCTGTAACTTTGCTATTTTCTTATATAATTACGTGAAAGTTTCAGAGAGTAAAGATTAACATCTTAACAACTTTGTGTATAAGTTTCAACAGAAAATAATATATTTCAGCTACTTTTCTAAATGTTTTTTAATACCGGGTCCCTGCCACCCGGAACGGTATTTAAATATAGCAAATCACGTCACACCTGTTGTAATATGGTAAATACTTTAGGTGCAGGTGCACAACCTAACACCAGTCACGATATGGGAGAATTTCCGATTTTCAGGCTAAGTGCCATCTGCCATAATCATTTTCACATATTAAGACCTACTTTTCAACATATTTTCCGCGAATTTGAACACATTTTTCATACCGCTTTACCAATGAATAGAAGACATTTATGAAACCGCCATTGCTTATGTGATACAAATGCTGCTGGAGTGCCACTCTAAACCTCATACAATGAGTAATAAAAAAATTTCAACCCTCCTTTTTTGTAGAGAAAAGGAAGAAAATCACACGGAGCCATATATAGACTGTATCGTGCATATGGTAGCTGCTCAAGGTCAATAATAGTGAAAATATCTTGTACTATTCTTTGTTCCACTTTGATTTCTTTCATGTTCTGTATTTCAGCAGCCATCTTGCAGCAAAAATGATACCAGAATGAGGGTTGCTTGTCTGATGTCATTTTCTTAGAATTTGACAGATACGTGACATATGTGACATTATAACTAAAACACAATTAATTGGTTGAGTAGTAACAAAGGAAGTAAACTAACATGGTTTAACATTCAAAATTCAAAGAAAGATAGTGGTCAAGACTTGCGAAACAAGTGAAATGGCGGCAACATTTAAGGCTGAAAGTTGCCATGTGCGAATACCGTTCCGGGTGGCAGGGTCCCTATATTAAAAACTATCTAGAAAACTACATAAAATATATCATTTCTCCATGAAATTATTACACAAAGTAGTTAGGTTGTTGGTCTTTATTATTGGAAAGTTTAAAGTAATTTTATCAAAAACGAACAAAATTAGAGCAGGGCGTCCAAGACTTTTGGATCACCCCTCGTACATACTTATAAACATGAGCAGGGGAATTTGTCCCACATATGTGCACATGAGAAGTCAAGATCTAAGAAGTGGTATTATGATCGCAGTGATATTATAATCTTGGTGGCATATGATCTTGGTTGTATTATGATCTCAGTGATATTATAATCTTGGTGGCATATAATCTTGGTTGTATTATGATCTCAGTGATATTATAATCTTGGTGGCATATGATCTTGGTTGTATTATGAGCTCAGTGTTATTATAGTCTCAGATCTTGAAGTTTTCAAGTGTCTTGGCATGATCCCACATTTGTTCTACATACTTCACTAAATGGTTCATTAGGATGAGGAATACCAGTTATGTGAACATACATAATATAGGTATCGCAATCAGGCTTCATGACATGCGTGGTTACAGAATTCAACAAGTGAGAATTCCATAGCTATTCTCATCATTATATCTTGTTTGGAAAGTAAACCTCACAATCTGTTGTATGCTATTTCATTGAAATGCGACAACAAATGTAACAATTATCTTGAGTATAATACACATACCAGAACATTCTTAGCTATGGAAACGTCTAAATCCATTGTGAAAAGAACCTAAGATAATTTAGTCCCAGTCAACTGCCCTTTATAGGTCCTTTGCCTCCACAGAGTTAATTGAGAAATGTAATGCTTGGGGGAGGGGGGGATTCACTGAGAAAACAACTCCAGCATTGATTCATGCAATACCAATAATTAAGGTTCAATTGATTCTTTTTCTTTATATTAACCAACAATCAATAGTGTATAAATGAATTCTTATGTTCTTCAATAACCAATATCTTGTTTTTGGTAACCTTGCCTGCTTAGATATCCTTGGAGATGCCAATATCAGCCACAACATGGTTTTATGATACAGTGTATGATAAAAAACAACTAGGAATTTTTGTTTGGTAAAAGAGAAGTCCAAAGAGATGCAGTATTTCAACAAGATAAGAACTGTTTGATATCAAGGGATTTTTACCTACAAAGATGAAGGGAATGATTCTAAAGAAACAAACAAACAAAGATGGCCAAATCCTTCTGATACAATCAAGGTGGTTGCGAGAAGTGCATTGAAAGCTGAAAATTATGTAATGTTTTTGGTCGAGAGGGACGATAGGGACGATAGATCAAAGGGAGAGGGACGATATATCAAAGAATACAACTCCTCACTTCAACTCATTTTACAGGCAATAATAAAACTCTTAAAATCTGAGAGATTACCACCAACATTGAACAAAGAATGTGAAAATATATTTCAGGTGATTTTCAGTAAACCTTTGACATCTGATTGTAGGCCAATAAATAAAACTGATCAACGATACAAAGTATAATCAAAAGCAAGTAAAAACAGCTTTGATATAAGAGGATAACAAATCTCAACGCAGACAGCCCAACTTATTTGAGTTTAAACCAATTAAAGAATAGGATTAATCTTCACAATGGTCCTATAAGTTACTCATCAGTTTTCAAACTAAATGATACTCTTTAAAATTCCTTAGTAGTTACTCCTTTTTCTGAAGTGAAGGGGCTCTTTTAACATTTTAAGTGCCCCAATTTATCTGCTATTGATGTTTTAACAAGATACTTTGGGAGATTTCTACTGAAGTGATCCATAGACATCACAAAGTATCAATTAAAAAGAAAGTCCTCATAAAAAATACTTTGAAGTTTCAAGCAGATTTAGTGGGATATTAACCCATGGACTCTCAAGATTATTTTCCTCTCTTAAAAGCTCATGATTAACCCATTAATTGTTAGAATAAGATCCATGTAACATGTCCAATAGACAATAAATGTAAAAAAAAATAAAAATGGATTTTTAATAAAACACAAAGAACCAATTTATTTATGATACATTCAATTCACATTCATTCAGTGTTGCCTAACTTGTATCACAAAGTATAAGCTTGGATTGATAAAGATAATTCAATCTTGGAGACAAAATCTATAACAGCAATTATTATTAGCAGTCCAAAAATATGACACAAGAAACACATCAAATGTCTTGCAAGACAGTGCATAAAATGTAACTGCAGTAAAACAACAATAAGATTTTTATAGCACTGGGTAACTTAATGATCTTAGTTTCACTAAGCTGTCATAAGCTCGAGTCATCCCAGCATGCTTATATATCACATGTCCCTCTGCATAGAGCGATCCTGGCAGTAGAAAAAGAAACACTGGGAGAACAATTTGCTGTTGAGGAAGATCAGGTAGTTTAATCAATAAAATCAGTTTCACATTTTAGTTTCAGTGATTTCATCTAACCTTTGAGGATAGGTGAAAATAGGCGAGACAAATTTAATCCAAGTGTGATGAAATCCTACCATTATAGTTCAATAATATCAAAAGATGTCTGAAAATTCAGTCTGTAAAATCAGGAATGTTTTAAAAAGTTGGCGAGGTAGTGTTGCCTCACCTGACTCATTGGATATATCAGTTATCATTGTTATCATTGTGTGAAAGAACTGGCAAATCCATAATCTCGCCACAATCCCTTGTGACCTCCCACGCCACACACCTCGACACAAGGGTGAGGGTGGAAAGGAGGATGGGTCCAGAGACTTACATTACAATTATAACAGTTGACTTACCCAGTGTCATAAATACCCCCATTCCAGCCAGTATCAGGTGTGTCAGGCAGGTGCTCCTTGTAGTAGTCTATACCATAGGTGTCATCAAACTCACTGTTATCACTGTCTCCTAGGTTAGGATCATCGAGATCAGGCTTGGCATTTGGGTTTGGTCCTGGAAATAAAGATTAGATAAATAAATATAAATATGATAAGCCAGTGTACTCTTTTCAGGATGGGAAGAAAATGTATTTGTTAATGACATAATTTAGTAATTCTTCATTTCACTAATTCAATAGTGAACAACACAATTCCAGTTCTACAATGAACAAGTGACAGGCCTGTATCCAGGATTTGCCGAGGGGGGTTCACTTTTTGAAAATGTTGGTCCAAAAATGGCCAAAATCACTTAAAAGGTGCTCAGAATGGTGAAAAACTGCATGATTTTGAAAGATCTTTTGGCCAGGGGGGGGGAGGTTCGCTTAAACCCATGGAACCCCCCTGGCTCAAGCCTGAGTGAAATCAATAGGCAAGTGTTTTCTAACTGATCTCATCAAAAAAAACAATTAAAGAAAGAAGAACTAGAAATCTTTATATTAGCAATTCATGAGCTGATATGGAAAGAACCGGCGAGATATCTAGAATATGTATCAGCCTTAAATTCTGATCTTGGAAACATTCTACTGAGTTGATGCCCAGCTTAAAGGCATCTATATTCATTGTATATTCTCCTGATACAATCTCTTTACTTTTGTTCAGGGGAGAATCAAACACAAAACTTTTTCTTTTAAGATTTTCATACTTTGACTGTTTACAAGAGTGCGATTTAATTCAGTACCATATATATTCTTAAGTCTAGAAATCACATTTACTTCAATATTGAAACATATCTTTGATTTCTATGCTACTATGTGTATATGGGAAAGCCATCATGGTTCAATAATTTGGATGCCTTGACATATTTGCAACAAGTTGCAATCAATTCCTGCTAATCTCCACTGAATGAGGAATCAGAAGCTATTACCCGACCTGTCATGCTACAAATATCCCTGTCAATATTCAATCAACCCTGTCAATATTCAATCAACCCTGTCAATATTCAATCAACCCTGTCAATATTCAATCAACCCTGTCAATATTCAATCAACCCCTGCCTCAGTCCTTTAACAAACAACTGAACCATACAGCAGTATCCTGTTGCTGTATCTATTGATATGTGATGTTTCTCTTTCAATGATTCCGTGGGTCAATAATGCTAAAACATCAATGTCCTTTATATGGATCCCCTATAACCTCATAATTATCAAAATCCAATTTTAATCAAACTAATAGGGGAACTTTTATTTACTGTATCGAGTAAAACGAATGAAGTACATAATACAATAAATTAATTTTCATTTTTGAATGATGACTTTGGTTTGTATTCTACCTCAAATTAGTTATATTGACAAAATTCTACTCTCCAGTTATTCCACCATGCCCTTGGAAATAGCAGAGTTAATTGTATGAGACCCATGGGACAGTAGGCCTGATTGATTGACAACTGCATTGACATAGAGCTGATGAATAATGAACTTATATATGTGATTTCACTTATAATGCTACACAGCTTAGAAGAAATGATTATTTTCTCATTGATGGCAATTATTTCTTGAAGAAATCCTCACCCCAACCACTACTACTATTGAGCCCTGTATTTTGAGGTCCATAATATGCCAGTAGACAAGATTATATATACAGTAGAACCTGTCTAATTGAAACGCCACTGGAACCAGCCAAAAGTGTTTGGATTAGCAGGTGTTCACATTTTAAGTGGGACTGAAAAACAGTGTTCATATTGAGAGGTGTTTGAATATACAGGTATTATATCATTCATATCCCAGTGACTGGTACTCAATAGTACAATATTGTAGATATACATGTATTGATTGTATTCACAAAGAAGATCATATTCTATATCTTAAGGATTCTGTGCTCAGGAGGATGATGCATTCTATTAGATTACATTGGTATGGGCAATACATAAATCATCATATTTACGTCAAGTGATCAAAGAGAATACGAGAGCATCCCAACTTTTCTTCAATAAGAAAAACAGAATGGGATTCTTCTCTGACGTTTATGCGGCTTTAAACAACCCCAATACATGGTGAAATGCAACTGTTTCATACATGCACATCACCAGCGCATTCAAACCCAGCTGTCATGAAACTTATGAACAACTGGAAGATAAAATACAGGCAAATATATATATTAATGCCCAGAGAGACAAAATATGCACTTGGAAACCACACAAATTACACTTGTTCAGTTAGACCCAAAAATACCATTCATTCCATAAAATAATAGCATATTACCTGGTGTCAAATTGTTGGATCATACTAGTTTTCTCATATAGTGAGGAAACAAATAAATAACAGTGCAGTGAAATGAACCACACATGGGGTATGATTTACCCTCACCAGACTATAGGGATAACTTCAAATAATGAATGTATCTTTTTCAATGTCTTTGTGACATGACAACATACCTTGGAGCTCATATACCAAAGTCTCAAATTATGTAAAAAACAACAACAATAGCACCAGTCAAAAAGAAGAGCAGCGACCACCCACTCAATCTATTGCGGCTCAAATATGTTGTCTTGTTTGTTGTTTCTTACGGCTCTATTACATTTAAGTGTTCTATCAATGTCCATGTTGTTAGGTTTTCCGCAGAAACATCTATGATAGGTAAAGATGAGCCATGAGATAGGGTATCATATAATGTTATATTACACTACCAGGAGAAGTCTACACATAAAACTGAATACAGCTTATGCAGGCAATTACTTAAGGGTAGGGATTAACAGGTAATCTCTAGGAATAGGGTTTCTAAAGATTTTAGAACAAAAGCAGGGATTATATAATACCATTATCAGATCCCTATTGCTTCTAGGGGTTAAGGTCTACAAATTAAAAGTGAAGGTACCATTTTAAAGGTGGGAGGGTGGGGGTTACGTCATAACTATATTGATTACATATCTAATCAATGTTGATTTGACCTGACCCTTTAACTCCCAGTTTTGTGGCCATGAATTGAAAATGACAGTGAAAATTTTAATTCCCGATAGGCATATACAAGTTCTAACCATTCGGATGGCATCTCCACACCAATTCCATTGCTTATGCTGGTTGGCATAAATCAAAACTAGAGATATATAATTATAGGGAAACAAGTTGAACATATCCTCTCACAGTATGCGCCACAGTGAAACACAACCACATAAATTACAGCTTTTCCTAATTAGCGCTCAGAACTGACTGTAAAACACCAAATCAGCTTTGGGACAAATTCATCATATTTGGGGGTATATACTATATAGAGCAGCCAGCCGTGGTTGTTGGTTGGTGGAAATAAATTGCAAGCACAGTGTGTTCCCTTTGGGATGAATAACAAAATGCGCAGCCTCCTTGGGGTGTAAGACTTTCACGCAACACCTGGCATTAGTAGTTGGCTAATTATCTCAGATCGTTGAGATCAACACTTAGGACTGAAGTGCATTGATTTACAACTGCACTGACTGATGATTCTGCAATGTTTTCCTCCTCCATTCAGAAAATAGCTTCTTTTGATATTCTACTAATAAGTATTTTATGTATTACAGTCTATTTAATCAAAAAAAAATTTGCAACTTCAGCAAATTGTGACACAAACACAAAATGTGATACCAAAATAATTTTCATTTCCGACAATTCTCCATAGAACACATCAAATGATGATATCACATTACATTCAGTAAGATAAACGCGCTTGAAATTCCCAGGCCAAAATGTGTCTCTTGTGATGACTTAAGAGGGAAAATTACATAGAGAAAAAGACAATGTATGCAAACATCTAACAATTAGGAAATAGAAACTCTACAAGCCTACTAAAAGCCTATATTACATTAGCAAAAGGCAATCTATCTTGTCAATGGCTAAAGCAATCTTAGCATCACTTCAATGAGGTATTCCGCCTTTATCCTGATTCGGGGATTATAGTGATATAGCGTAAATCACCTATGATGTATCGTTTACTAGCTCATCCATCATTACTCTGATCAGATTCACCTTCTAATCTTAAAACAGCTTGTATATATAGGGCATACATGGTATACAGGTATGTGTGGCTCTAGTGGAACTTTCAACCGGAATTTTAACGTAACAGTTTCATACTTTGTTCCTTTTTGTATTGAATCTCTTTCCAACAAGCCATGAAATGTAAAAAGATGATAAACTGATTTGAACATCAATGTAGATTAATGATGATGATGTTTTCTCTGAATTATGTAATATGACTGTTTTTATGACGGCAGCTCTATCATAATTATATGTAATCGAAGAAAATCAGATTGATACAGTCAAGTTCAGTTGATAACTCAATATCCTCATTTGTTTTCGGATTAGAAAGGCACAGGAAGTCAATCTATATGCACTTCAAAATATATACTGTACCGTTTCAAATATCCTGTTCATAAACTGTATGCAATAATACTCTATTTTCAGCACTATTAATTTCAAAATTTATTTATATCAGAAGCACAGGGGATGATTAGTACATTATACCCATTGTAATTTTCCCAGAAGTAATTTTCTTTGAATACTACATCAACAAATGTGATTATGTAATTTCCCTTCAATCTGAAGCCAGATTTCTTCAAACAATCGATTTTAATCTTTGAGGTGTCACCGTTCACAAGTAGAAATTGCATCACAGACTAGCAGTATTACAATATTAGATCATTAATATCAGTTTAATCGCCTTTTGAAAAAGAGGAATAGGAAACTAGAGAGGGTTAAACAATGTTAAGAGGAAATTACAATCACTTTCTTATGTACAAAACCCTAACACTCTCAGAAAAAATTGTGCTCTATGAATATTTATAGCCTATCAATTTCTTGGAAAAATAATATCATTTTCTAAAGAAAACAGTATCAGTTCTTATTCAATTAGTGAAATATGTATGAAAAGTATTAGGTTAGCAGAGTAACTATCAGTGATGTATGAAATGTAACAGATAAGGCTAGGTAAGGGTAAGCAAAATATATTTTATCCCGTGTATATTCACCTGTAATTTGAAACCAGACTCATATGAGTCCAGTCTTTCATCCTACCCCTATCTACTTCAACTCAAGAGGGGTGTGTAGGGGAGGGGGGGTCACAAGGGGTGAAGGGGTGGAGAAGTGTATATAAATACCTGGCAGTATGGTCAGCTGACCAGAGGTTGATTTTCTCCCATATTGGTTGAGGCCCTGACAAGCAAATGTTCCAGCATCATCCATCTGAAGGTTATCAAGTCGCAGTCTGTAAACAAAAACATATAGGAATGACACAATCCGGCAAAATGTTAATACATACAGATGATTTCATTTCTATCCCACACTAAGATTATTTGTGATGTAATAAAAATCAGTCAGCTATGGTTTCTGATTAATTTTATTGTTTTAACAAAACATGGATAAATTGCTAAATAGTTCTTTTCCAGGAATGGTTCAATGCTTCTGAAGGATCCTTGGGAGATTTTTTGTGTAGGTATAGCATATAAACAAACAAACAATACAAAAAGAAAGGAACAAACAGACAAACATACTATTAAATCACCATTGTAAATACCTTGATCCCCAATGTGTGCGTTTAATGTTGATCCTTCCTCCCATGTCTTCATTCTTCAGAGATACCTCATTTCTGAACCACCTATATCTTGGTGCTGGGTCACCTGTTATCTCACACCTGAGTCTCAGTGACTCTCCCGTATACTTTGTCATATTCTTCATCACAAAATCTACGCGTACATAGCCTGCAAATACATAAATGTGAAATCAGGGTCAAAACATATTTTACACAATTTTTAGCATAATAATTTTTATATTTCTTATGTAAGTGCTTCATTTTAAGATTTTGCACATTTATATTGAAAGTAATTATACATTTGTTATTAGTCAATATATACATTTGTTGAAGATTTGAGGGTTTCGCAGACAGAGTGAGATGCAATTGTTTATCATCTAGAGCCAGGTTTAATTCTGAAATCTATATCCATTTATTCCAAATACTACATTGTTTCATTCGTAATTTTTTTCAAACAAATTCAGATCAAAGGATTGGCCAACATTTCCATTAATGCCTGGCTAGAATGTGATTCTATAAAGGTAGGGTTTACGACTGTCTGGATTGTCTGTTGAATTTCGAATATTGCCCTTCATTGTCTATTGGCATTTGCAATGTCATGCCCCTGTTATGTTAACATCCCTATTAGAGCATGAATTAGCCAGTGTCTTGTTCAAATCCATTTCTATGGATACAGCACTTATCAAGTTAGAGTAGCTAAGCAGTGGTACATTGTATTACCCAAGGTACCATTAGACAAAGAGTGCTGTAATATATCAAATTACCAATATCAACATTAATGCCCTTTTCAATTGAGGTTTATCTTCAATTGCTACTATTCTAGTACAAGCATTTTGGGACAAGAGTGAACCGTTACTGCCTGATCCTCCCCCTGTTGGGAAAAGACTCTGACTTAGAAGCTGAGTTCATCAAAAATACCTCATTATCCAATAGATTAAAATTCAACAGGTTACATATATCAGCTACCTACAAGGCACCCTCGTTGGGACTCACTTATTTCCATATAATGAAGAACAATTGCTTTCTAGTAATGAATCCAGTTGAATTGTCCCAGGAGATCACTTGGAAAGGCAATTAACGAACTTGATGTCATAACAAGCAGACAAGGAGAATAAGTTAGATTCGCATACAGTCTGTCTATCTACCGCATACAGTCTGTCTATCTACCCACGGGGAAATTATGGTTGACCCTTTTGTGATGATGATTTTGCAATTTCCGTAAAAAAATCGAAATAGTTTTTACATGGTGGTTTGCAATCTAACAGGAACATTAAAAATCAATTTTGACAGGTCGATGACAAGATTGTCCAGTTTAGGAAGTTTTATTTGTTCATTTTCTCATGAACGTTAATGTTGGAGGAAATTGAAAAGTTTATCGCTGGTTACAGATGTTAGACCACTGGACTAGTATAGCAATGATGTATAACTGAACATTCTGAGAACGGATGAAGTACAGAATATGAATAGTTGATAGCAACATGTGATACTGCCAGAATGATATGATACCAGAATGATATGACATAGGATGGTATGGTATGACACGATATGACATGGCAAATATAACATGATATATGGTTTTGTATGGCATCAATTTGATATGACATAGGATTTTATGGTATGGCATGGTTTGGTATGATATGGCATATTATGATATGGTTTGGTATGGTACTGGAATGAAATGACATAGGATGATTTGGTCTGATATCAGTTAATATGACATGACATTCTAAGACATAATTTGGTATGACAGAACTGTAAGCCACTCTATGGTATGAATCATTATAAATGCATTATTCAATACAAATGTATAAAATATAACAATGATCAATACAAACAATCCCAAATTGATGCACCATACACCATCTAGTATATTGTAGACTACAATGTCATCTTAGCATTGGCTGTTACAACCTGCCTGTCATAAATCTGTGACATTTCCACCTTTATTAACATGTTACATATCACCAAAACACATGTTCTCAGGGCCTATATAACGTATGCATTACATCATTACACATGTCAACTTTAATTGAATTTCCGCTTGATATATACTTTAGCTATTAACAATCATATATTTTATAAATAGGGCTTGTAAAATTAATGAGAATATGTAAATCATTTTTTGGAAGTTTTAGTATAAATGATAATATATGGAGAATGATTTCTTGAATATTATCTCAACCAAACTTTTATTAATAGCTTCATTCCAAAGGAAAATGAGCAATAAATGTCCATATTTGATATAAAAGTGATGTATTTGTTGACCTTTCTTGAAAGCTGATTTTATGATATACATATTTTCATTTTTGATTTCATAAGCCATAACCAGAAGTATGTCTAAGTGTTGTATTTGGCAAGTGAAAGGTACAATATGTTTTGCAATGTTACCATCTGTTGATGTTATAGATAAAAAGGGGTCATCCATTGGTTACTGTCTTGTGGCCTTCATTTACGTGCAATATTCATAACTCCAAGTAAATCTTAGAATGTTTTGGAGCAGGCCACATCCATGGTAAAGATCTACTAATAGCATTGAATAAAATAGGATCTGCATCCTATTTGCACCCAGATCAAACCAATAATTACACCCAATTGAGAATTCCAAATATGGGATACCTCAGACATTGTTTCATGTGAAACATGTTAAAATGAGAATTTGCAAGTTGAAATCCCGGTAAGGACATGGCTGTCTGATAATTTAAATGTCCATGACTTGGAGTCAGAGGCAGACATTCACACGCAAAATATATAGATCATCCAATATTACCAAAAATTAGTTAGCCAGAAAACAATTCATTAAGGTGAAACATTCTGTGAAATTCTGGCAATAATAAGGACAAACTCTTTCGAAACAATTGAGATACTTAGAGAACCTTCGGGCTAAGTGTACACTTGTCCACTTGTGCTAGCATACTGCCCCTAGAAAACTCACAGTAAACAAGATCATTAGACATAAATACTGCACCAAGTTTTCTCCAAAAATTACATACATCCTTTTTCATGTGAATCAAGAAATTGTCCTTCAGATCTTCAGATATGTTCAGATCTTGACAATATGGTGAGGACACGGGAGTATTATGCCCAAAACTCAATATATCATTAACAATATTCCAAACAGCTTCACTGAACTAATAAACAATGAGCTTGAAATTAATGGAAACACTGGACAATGTGGCATTGCGATCAAGAGAATTGAACTTTTGACTGACATTGTTGGGTTGGGTCAAAATTTGGAAAATGTGAAGTAACTAACTTTAAGGAATCTTTCTGTATATATCTTGACATGAGATGTAATATAGGATATGCTTCTTATGTTTATGCCATGTTGAATTGGCAATCAAGGAATGAAATGAATAGGTTTGGCCTTTTAATGAATGTAAGTAAGTTTGTTTCATGTGAGAAAGGAACCTGGGTGGTTAGGCCATCAACTTAAGACAAATGTAGCAATAACCATGGAGGAAATTATAAACATTATGATAAGGGAAAATACATACCATTCATTTCTACTAAATTTTAACTTCTTGAGATAATAAGCTATTGAGCAATCTTATCTCCCTTTGGATCCTCTTTCGATCACACGTATAATAAGCATCCCGCCACATCAATCTAATAGACATTCTATATATAAACACCCTACTCATGATATAACATAAGAATTCAATGACTCTTCAACAGAATTTAACTAAATGTGGTGAAAAGCTGTTGAGAATTGAATGAAAACAGAAACAGAAAAGAAGAAGATGTTTTTTACGATGCAGACAAAATACTACAAAGCCTGCTCCTTGGTAAATCATGGTGTAATGTTACGTGGAATCACCTTTCTACCCAACATGGAAACCATCAATGTTTGAGAGAAGAGCTAAAAATCACCACTAAGAAATGCAGAGCATGTAAAACACGTCCATCGTTATAAACACTGCTTAACTTTACATATAGTTTTTGTGTTTCCTTGTTGAAATCAGCGGGACCTCCAACACAGCCCCATGTTTTCTGGTCATTTGAGATGGCAAAATATGGAGAGACCTTTGATGGTGATACGACTGAGAGAATTCCTCATGAAGATGAACATGTTAAACATATGCATAATTTAACCTATGCCTTGGAAATGATTTCACTGATTAAGATTTTCTCAAAATGCATCAAAATCACAAATTATCTCAAATACTTTATATCAGGGTAGAATTTATATGTATTTCTAAAATCTAATAAAAAATAGCTACAAACAATAATAAAATGTCTGTTATACTGCATCATTCCATTTCACTGATGAGTTTAAAATGCAGCTTAGGGGTACAGAAAAGTAAAATATTTTGCTTCAATGTACTTAGCTGAATCATCCCCAAATGTCTAAAGTATGGGAAAACACCAACATAGGTGCCACACAGGCTTCTATATATGATATCCCAACACAACAAAAACAAAACAAAGATTGGAATTACCTTCAACCTCGAAATGAGCACTCTACCACTAAACTAACTAAGACCTGTAGGCTGATTCTCGTTCATACCTCACTATAGCTCTTCTAAAGAACACATTGAAACGTTTTGACCTTCAAGTCAAAGTCTATGAGTTAACAACAGAGGTGTCACCCTAGTCATTTGTTTTTAAGATAATTACAGGTGGTGATCATTCCATTTTAGTCCTGAACACCTTCAGGGAAAATAAATGAAACGTAGGTTGAAATATGGAGATGAAATGGACCATAAATGTCATTTCATATAGAATGTACACTTACAATATGGGTAAATGGGATATTTCTGTATGCCTTTTGGACAAATTGAAAAAAATGCAATTGTTATTAAAACAAATGATAAAACATTGGGAGTATCTAATGCACTAATCAAAATGACTACAAATCCAACAGGCAGTTCATATTCATAATGAATATGTTTTTTATCACACATATTTACGTAAGATTATCTTGATTTCTAATTGTTAAATAATTGCTGAAACAGTGATATGTTAAATATACCCACAAGGGGCATTCAATAACATTTCAAATTAACAAAACTCAAGCAGAGACCAATACTGACCATTTAGTTCAAGTACACGTCAGTTCAGAAAAATAAACTGATCAGATTCAATTTTATTTATTTGTTATTCGAGAAATCTAATCATAAGATAAGAACTCTAAATTTACCTAGCTTAGCATGAATCCGGAATACTAAA